AGAGAGAGAGAGAGAGAGAGAGAGAGAGAGAGAGGTGACGCATCGTGATTCTAAACAAACAGGATTGCCGGAAGTACTCTGTACTTTGTGCGAAGAATGGAAACATAGATGTGTGATGTGACACTGCCTGGCTCCGGTCATGTCTCCGCAAGTACCGACATGAATCGGTCATCGAAGAAGATGTGGCGAACCACGTTCGATGCCATGATTTCACTTCTCAGCAGTGGGCAGCATCATCACATATTCTCTTTCGCTATCCCCAAACGACACCACATCCTGGTCCAGGAGCTCCATATATCGACTCGCCTCCACCTTCTTTCCATTCAATTTCGTGCCATTCGCGCTGTCGAGATCAATCAGGTACGGCTTGACTTTGCTCAACTTGTCCCCAAACTCGTTCGTGCTCGTTCGGTGTCGGAACTGGATCACCGCATGTTGCTTCGATATACTGGGATGCTCTAAGAACAGATCCGTGATCTTCTGATCTCTACCAACCAGCCAAACACTCCTCGAATGGAGCTGGATGGTGTCGAGCAAATCTTGTTTCTTGAACACATACATTCGCCACTGCTCTTTGGCTGGGGGCTTGCGGGCTTCGGGTGGCTCATGATACTTCAAGACTGTGGTAGTGCCTGCGACAGTATTTGCTTCTTTGGCGAGGAGACCGGTGGGCTTGAAGTTGGGCTTTTGCTTCTCCACGGCCTTCTCGCCAGGCGGCAAGTCCACGCCTTTGTAGGAAGCCTCCTGAGATGGAAGTGGCGCGCGTGATCTCTTCACTGGCTGAGGTGAAGCCGAGCGCGACTTCCTCCTCCTCTTCGCGGTGGGAGATCTCGATCTTTTGCGTTGATGTGTGCGGCCGTCGTTCCGTCGGCTGCTTGACGGTGAGCGTGAACGTGAACGTGAACGTGCTCGATACTTGTGCCTCTGTCTTGCAGTTCGGTAGTCATCGCTGGAGTAATCCTTGGACCGATCTCTTCGCTCTCGTCTGGAGTCTTCGCGACGCTTCTTCTCGCGATTACCGGCATCCTCCCGCCTGCGAGATCGCGAGAAGTCTAGATCTGAATCTTCGTCCTCGGAGCGTGAATGTCTCCTTCGTCGTCTTGGGGCATCTCGCTCATCCTCGGAGGACAACGACCTGTCTCGCCGCTTCCGATAGGAGGCTTCCTTTCCATGCACTGACCGCGATGCTTCTCTCTCAGTATCCCGAGGCCTGCTTCGCATTTCCGAGTCCATTGTTACGTGATGAATTTACTTTGTCCTTTGTATCAAGACGCAGTGCACCACACCCGACGTATTCATCCACCATGTCGCACGAGCATAGCAGTAGGATGGCCGAAAGTCGTGAAGCCTCAGGCTAGGTACGCCGGGTACGGTACGGCGGCGGGGAAGTTCGTATCAGAGGGCATACCAAGCAGAACTGTTGACATTTGCCTTTTCACTTGACCGATATCAGGACTCAGCGAGCGTCCAAGAGGTGAGTGTGCCTGACCTGGCAATAAACAATCTCTGGGCGGCGTTATTTTCGCGGCATTGCTTCCAAACACTATGTTGCCACCACTTCTTTTGCTTGCCATAATATGTGGACAACGACAACACCTCCTGTCCCAGGTCTCATTATGATACCTACATGTACCTGTACTGCCGAAACTCACTACATTAGCCATTCGTCGCGAATACGTAGTGTCATAGCATCAGAGGGCAGACTCGGCCTATTATTGAATTAACTCAGCATGTGAGCAGCTACAGCGGTAGTAGGTATATTTCACAATGGGCTGTCTTCTCCCGTCGTCCCGTTCGCACGACTATTCCCAAGACCGTTGTCCCTCCTCTGCTTCCATTATTTTCACCTGGCTGCATCACGACGAGGTGAGAACAGGTAAGCTGCCATTTATTCGTGAAATATATGGTGGCAGTGGTTGCTGGGAGCTGACCAGGTGCCGAGCTACCTAACCTCTCCCTTTCAGCTTTTTCCGGTACAAAGCTGAACAATAATGCCTATAGCGAGAAGCTCATGTGGCACGATGCAGCAGTCTAGTCTACCACTGGGGACCTGTAGCCTTATAGCAGCCATGTTCATATACTCTGAAGTCGCCGCAGTTGCCTCAATCTATGAAAAATACAAGAAAGCTGCCAACCTGCATGCGGGGATCGAGCTTCTCGAAAACAGCACTGGTCCAAAAGCTCTCAAGTGTCGCATTGGTATGGCTAGGAGCATCGGATACCTGTAATTAGGTATTGATGGACCACGGTCACTGAATTCAGGACCAGATCCAAGGTCGATGTGCATGTAGAAGAAGGCATGGCTGAACCCCCGGAGCAAGAACTCCAAGAAACGCACTGGCTGAGTTAAGGTAGGTGCATAAGGTATACATACATGTACCCTATCGCTGCTACTCTAGGTACCTTACCCTCCCGTCTGTCTGTCGCCACTGCTCTTCCAACAGTGCAACTGCCCGTTGATCAGGGCTAAGGGATCTCCCGTCCTGCTCAGAGGAGGCTGCTTCCCATCGACCAGGCTTTTATCGTACGATGCAAGTCCCTCCTGCTACAACATGACCGTCGCTGCCTCACAAAACTGGCAAGAACTGTTGCTCTTCCTCCTCTTCCTCCAGCGGAATGTTGACGCGTCTGTGCGTCCGTGAGAGTACTTCTACTCTTCCTCTCTGCTCTCTTGATTCTTCTTCTTCTTTTCCTTCTCATCATCATCTTCCCACATTTTCAGCTTTGCATACACCAACGAGCCAGCCCACCAATATTCCAACATCCATACACCAGAAACAGCATCAATCTCACCATGCACGCTCTCAGCACTCTCGCCTTGAAGGCTGCCACCTTTGCTGGCGAGTCTTCTTCGTCTATGCCCAGATCTCCACAGTGTGCTGATGCATTTAGACAGTTGTCGTGCTGGCTGCAAGCGATGAACAAGAATGTGCTGCTTACTGCAGCAATAAAGAGACTGGTTACGATTCGGAAGATGCGAGATGGTATATCTGCCTGTACCAATGCCTGAGTGGTCAGTATCCCGATGTCTCTTTTGTTGCCTGCTGCTCACCGTCATCTAGGTGAGAACGGCAACTTTGGCCCCCCAATCTCCAACGGGACCAAGGTGGTCATGGCCCGCGGAGCCAGCTACGTGGCCTCGACCCCGGCTGCCAGCTACGCGCCCATGGCGCCCTTCACCGTCACCTCTACTGTCACCACGACCGAAACCGAGCTTGTCACCGAGTGTAGCTCGGCACCATTCGAACCCATCATGAGCACGCCAGACTCATTCGTCGTCCCATATCCCTCTACCAGCGAGGGCTCTATGACCCAGCCTCAGCCAGTCTACTCGTCGATGCCTTCCAAGAGCACGCCGGCCTCGGACGTTGTCCCAAGTACCAGCAAGTCTAAGCCAGTGTACCAGGCTACCACTTTTGAGAGCGCTCCACCTTCGGATGTCATGTCGACCAGGAGCGGGTCCACTACGCCTCACGCAGTGTATCCCACTGGCCACTACTCGGCATCAAGCACAGCCGAGGACTCTTCTATCGAGAGCGCGTACACTGCGTCGTACTCCAATCCTGCTGCCTCTTCGGTCAACAGCCGGTACACTCCGTCATGGTCCAAGCCAGCCGCCTTTTTCACCGAGAGCGCGTACACTCCATCGTACTCCGAACCTGATGCCTCTTCCACCGAGGGCGTATACACTCCATCGTACTCCGAGCCTGATGCCTCTTCCACAGAGGGCGTGTACACTTCGTCGTACTCCGAGCCTTATGCCTCTTCCACCGAGGGCGCATACACTCCGTCATACTCCGAGCCCGATGCCTCTTCTACCGAGGGCGCGTACACTCCGTCGTATTCCAAGCCAGCCGCCAATACGACTCCATTCAGGCCTTATGATGTCCCAACACCATCTGAGCCGGCCACATACCTAGGGGACGCGTCTGATCACTCTATCGGCGCTGGAGCTATTATGCTGGCGGCCATTGCCGCGATGTTGTGAGCGACCTTACAGCAGTTGTCTTTTTACACTATGATAGTTTCGGGATGAATGGAATGCGTTGATTTGACTCATGTATCCTTGCCACTTTCTTTCTTTCGTAGATGATACTCGCCCTGTGCCTACATGTAGTTTAGCAGCCTCAGTCGGCTTCATATGAGCCCGAGCGGACTTGACGTGCTTTTACATGTGTTCATATGGCTGCCTCGGCCTCACCCATCTTGGGCAACGTGAAATGTCTCTCTGCACCTGCACTATTAGATGGACGTAGTGTCCTGGGACCAAGACTTGTGTGAGCCGGGGTGGATATGGGAGGTAGTCGCAGTCTGGTGAAGTCGTCAAATGGTGGGAGGATAGGGAGAGGGACAATAGTGGCGTTCCTGCACTGACCACGTCGGCAAACAAAGCAGCCAGCTCAAGCTGCCACCTCCCAGCTGCCAGCTTTCCTTTGACGGACATGATGACTGACCAACACATTATCCCGCTCGACTGCACTGCTTGATCCACTACCTACCCCCCCTCAGGGCTGACCTCTTCGCTGATGGTCACGATCATGGAAAATTCGGCTATCCTTTTGCTATAGTGACACTCCGACACGTGCTCAATAGTTCTAGGTGGTAGCGAGACGAACACAGCCTGCACCGACGAACAGACAAACGAACAGACGCGAGTCAGACCACTTCACCCACGAACGACCGAGCGACCGAAGGACGCACAGTTGTCACGTACAGCACACTGCCGCACTCATCTCACCATGCGTCTTGCCTACTACGCTGGCGCCAGCACACTCGCTGCTGGCGCCTGCCTGCTCAAGGCCTTCTCGCAGCGACCCAACTTCTACTCGGCCACCGTCTACCTCTCGCAGTCCAACGCCTGCCTGCTGATCCTCACCAACTTGCTGCTCCTCTGCAGCATGACCTTGCTGTATCTCCTTCAGCGCCTCCTCTATGGACCTTTGCGACCCATCGAAATCGAGCAACTCAGCGAGAAGGCCTGGTATGCCGTCCTCGACACCCTGCTCGCCATGCCGAGCTTCCGGGAAGACGTGGGCGCCAAACTGTTGGGCATGTTTGTGCTACTGCTAGCTGGAAAGGTGTGGGGCTGGATTGGAGAGGGCAGAGTGGATGTGCTGGAGCAGGGACAGATGACGGGCAACGGAGCCAACCAGAAGCTCTTTCACGCAAGGTTGGCGACGAGTCTGCTTGTGTCTGTGGCATTTGCCGTGAGCATGTTCGTGTACTGCGTGGACATTGTCATTGAGAATCCCCGGCCGGGCATGATGGTGATCTTCACCTTCGAGTTTGCCATCTTGTGCGTCTTTAGCACTTTCACGCTCATAAGATATGGACTGGCAGTGTGGGACATTCGAGTCGTGAAGCAGCAGACTGCTGCAGCGATTGAGCAGAGAAAAGATGAAATCCAGGCGGAGCGGGAGGCTGCGATTTCCCTCGCACGACAAGAGGAAAGAGAGGTGCCGACTTTTGACGAGCCAATTGAGGTGGCCGAGGAGGAGGTCGATGTGCCTGGTTGGGAAGACAAGAGAAGGGCATTGTTTGTGGTCGAAGTTGTGACGGACTTCATCAAGTTGCTGATATACATCTTCTTCTTCACCGTCAGCGTTACGTTCAACGGGCTGCCGATGCACATTATGAGGGATGTGTACATGACTTTTGCCAGCTTCAGCAAAAGGGTCAGCGACTACATGGCGTACAGGAAAGCGACGAGCGACATGAACACGAGATACCCGGACGCTACGACCGAAGAAATCAGAGGCGATTCATGTATCGTCTGCAGAGAAGAGATGCTTGCTTGGGCGGATGGTGAACCACAAGCCGCTGCACAACCAGCGGCTGATGGACAACCCGCTCCGGCGCCAGCCCCTGCTCTTCCAGCTTCAAGGAGACGAGACGAGGGACTGCGGGCCAAGAAACTTCCATGTGGACATATCCTGCATCTGCGCTGTTTGAAGGCCTGGCTAGAGAGGCAGCAGGTGTGTCCAACATGTCGGAGACCGGTAGTCACAGAGACGGCAGCAAATGGATCGGCTGCAGCTGGAGGCAACGCCGCTGCTCCTGGTCAAAACGGCCCACCTGGGCAAGCGCAACCACCTCGGCCGCGAGGTCGGGTTTTTGGATTTGGTCCATTCCGGATCGGATTGGTAAACGCTCCCAGAGGTCAGCTGCAGAATGTGCTCAACCAGATCAGAAACGGTGATGCACGGGGTGCTCAGCAAGCAATCGATGCAGTAGGCAACGCGGCGGCCGGAGGTGCTGCTCAGCAACCGAACGCCGCAGGCTCAACACGTATACGCGGCACCATACGATCGAGTGTACCGACTGAATCGTACCTCCTTCAGCTCGAGCGGAGAATCATGCACGACGCTCATAATCTGGGAATCGACCACCAACAACTGGCCACTTTGAGGATGATGGAGGCTGAATTCACAAGACTGCAAGCCCAGCGTTTGCGACAACAAGTTGTTACCAACCAGAGATATCCCATGCCTGGTTTTGCGCCTCAGCATCAGCAACCGCCTTCCCTGTCGCAGGCTCACCAGCAGCTACATGGGGATCGCAATCAACAGATGGGCAGTGGACATGAGCATCTGCCGCCAGGAATGGTTCTGCCGGAAGGATGGACAGTCATGCCATTAGAGCCTGTGGGGGGACAAGTTCAACATGGAGTGAGATTGCCGGGTCCGGCACCGGATTCAATTGTACAAGTGAGCCCTGAAGGTCAGGAGCCTGTAGCGGGTGGAGTTGGTACCAGCGTGACAGATGCCGCAGCGTCCAATGCCACAAGTGTCTCGCAGAGGCCCAGCGAAGATTCGAGGGGGCCGACGGACGACAATGGATCGCCCCTCTTTATACCGACGGCCACACAGCCAAGCTCCGAGCGGACCGCTTTCCCAGAGGGACTCCTCGAGGCTGGACCCAGCATGAACCATTCCGAACAGCTGGGAAGCTCAGCTTCTCAGCAGACCATTGCTGCGGCGCTGCGTGATGCAGAGGCGCGAGGCGAGGCTGCTGGGCAAAGGTTGGCGGAAGCTTTGGGTGGCTCAGACGAGGCAGATTTGAGCACGCAGACGAGGGAAGCGACAGCGTGCCCAGATGTTGCAACGCAATCGCAGACCAAATCGCCATGGACTCAGGCTGGCTGGGGATTCGAGTCAAATGCACAGAATACCTCGCAGCCTACGGAAGAGACGGACTCTCTGGCTAATGGTCGCTCTATCGTTCCCGAAGGTCGTCCTTCCGAGACCTCACAAGCTGGCAGCTCGAGTGGTAAAGGAAAGGGCAAAGCTGTCGAGGTGGAAGATGTAGCGGACCCAGACGCTTGATTGTGGAAATCAAGCATGTATAGTTACTTGGAACTCACTACTGTATAGAAGCATTGGAGCGCACAGGCGTTACGGCATGGGAGGAATGAAGAGATACCAGCAAGCATGCATGTACGAATGAAGACCCGTCCTCTTTCTGAATTAGCCATGTTCGCGGTATAGTCGGCGGCACTGGAGGTGTCGTTCATGATGATATTGGCGTCGATGCAGCTTGAGACAGTAGCTCCTAGTTGAATGCCCTGTGGACCTGTTCTACGCATGCGATCGACATCGTGCATGTAGACAGATCTAGGTCCTCGCGAGAAGACATGCTTATGTAACCCACCCTTGGTGAAGGATCAAAACGCTTGGCTTGATTTTGACTTTCATCTAAAAAGTAATTTATAAAGCGAACTTTCGTTCATCACACTCCGTCATACATGCTGCATTGCCTCACTTTTTGGCTTCTGCATGCTGTGGAGAGCGGGGTCGAGCTGCAAAGCGGTTATTTTATTAGAGAAAAAACAAAAGTATTACCTCCTAGGAGGTACCGAGTCACTGACGGAATATGTGTGTGATAGGAGGTAGGAGGTAGGAGGTATATATATATAAGGCTGGTGATGGGCGCGGGTCTACGTGGGAGATGTAGCAGGTTTGTTTGCGTCTTTTTGATCTCGTACTATCTTATTCACAGTTTGTAATATATCAATTAAGAAGAAGGAGAAGAAGAGACTACTTTACACTCAAGATGTCGAATAATCGAAAAGATTTCCCGAGCGCCGACGAGGTCAAGGCAAAGTCGAAGCAAGGCAAGGATACTCTCGTGGCCAAACTACGAGAAGATGGCGTGTAAGTGAGGACAACGCAAGCAAGAAATATGAACAACTTTCTATTCAAAAGGAGGAGCAAAAGAGAAGAAGTGAGAAAGAGACAGATTGAAAAGAAAAGAAGAAACAAGAAATATCCATCCATTCATCCATCCATCCCCCTCCCCCAAAAGAAGACAAACAAACCCTCTCAAAAAAAAAAACCAACCTCTCACATCTCTTCTCTCTCTCCCACAGTGAAAACCCCTCCGGCCTCCTCCTCACCGGCTTCAGCGCCCTCTTCCTCGCCGCCATCCCTCTAACCTCCTACATCACCCAACCCAACAGCATCTTCGAAAAATCCCTCAACGGCCTCACTTCCACCCTCACCCACCTCATCCCTTCCTCTTCTCCCACCTCCAGCAGCACCAACAAAATCGCCACCCTAGCAACCCTCTACCTCACAGTAACCTACGCTCTTTCCGGCGCCGCCAGCGCCGCAGGCATCAATTCCGCATACGCAGAAGGTCGAGATAATAATTATCCTCGCAAACAGGTGGTGGGTCTGAAGGAGGGTTTGCCATTGAGATTGTATTCGGCGCATTATCATTTGATGGAAATGTTTCCTGGTTGGGCGGTTGTGGCTGCTTTGGCGCAGGGGATTGCGCCCCATGATCAGGGAGTGGTGAATTTGTTGGGGTTGCATGTTGTTGCGAAGTGTTTTGTGTGAGTGTCGTCTTTTTTTTTCTTTTTGGAGGGGGGAGGGGGGATGGGGGATTGGATATGGATATTGAAAGGCTGACCGTTTTGTGTGATGATGATTTAGGCATTATCCGGCTTATATTCTCAATTGGGGAAATCTAAGGTCGTTGGCTCATGTGGTTGCTACTGCGAGTGTGCTCAATGTCGCTCTGCGACTTGCGAAGAGGCCGTTGATGTAAAACGTCGGCGGGCTGAGGAAGAAGGAGGAGGAGGAGGAGGATGTCAAGATGAAAATTGTAAGAGACAGGCTGGCAGGTTTGTTTTTGGTACATGTATATATGTTTTTTATGATGCGTATCGCAAAGTTCGGATGAGGTTTCCAGATACAGTCTGCACATACCTACCATCCATCCCATAGCAGTATGACATCGGGCTTCCTCCACAGATTGCGTCCTCATACCATTCCCACCATATTCAAACTTCACATAAACAAGCTCTCCACCACCTACAATTCATCCTTCGCCGCCTTGCCCTCCTCCTTCTTCTTCACCTTGCTCAAATCAAAACCATCTCTACACTCAAAACTCGACAAACTCGCCTCATCCCCTCCCTTGTACGAAGCAACCTGTGGCCACGGACACAAAATCCTCGCAAACGGCCTAATTTTCGTCCGATCCGTTCCGGGCCACGGGATATTTCTCCCCACCAACTCCTCCACCGGCTCATCGTGCTCGACCCATCGGACCAAATCCTGGAAACCCGTCGTGGGATAAGCTCCGGGGCCTCCAAAGCAATGCGCGACACCCGGAGCTTCGAAGTGGCGGAAAAAATCTTTGACATTGGGGCCGACGAGGGCTGCGACGCGGTCGTGATAGGAAGAGGTACCATTGGGAGAAATTACTTGGTCGTGCAAGCCGTGCCACGAGAGGAGTTTTCCTCCGGATTTTTGAAAGCGGCGAAGATCCGGGTCGGCGGTGTTGATGGCGGAGGTGTATTCTTGATAACTCGTGATGAGGAGGTTGTGGAATTGTTCTTCGTCAATGGTGCTGAGGTCGTATGCGGGATCTTTGAGAAGCCAGTTGCGGATCCAGTCGGCGGCAACGGGGAAGGGTCGTGGTTTGCACTCGGTGGAATCTTCGTTGCATGTGGTTGATGCTAATCCGCCGAAGTTGGGATCGAGTCCGGGGAGAGAGGCGTCGGGTGTTAGGCCGAACCAGATGGATTTGCCGGTATCAGGATCTTTGGGACCAGACCAGGTGGCAGAGGCGATTTTGGCGGCTTCTGTGGTGATTTTGCGGGTGGAGCCTGCGCAATCATATTCTTGTCCGACGATGGTTTGGGGATCGAATTTGCATTGGCCTGGTGCAGAGATGATGCCGTCTTTGACGCCGTCGAGTTCGTCGCATGCTTCCACTGCTGCGGCGGTGATGGCGTTGAGCTCGCAGGCCGCTGGGTAGTAGTTGAGAGCCTTCATTACGATCTGTGGGTAGAACTCTGCTACGATAAAAGTCACCCAGTTCATTGCTGGTGCCACAGCGTAGATGCCTTGGTATAGCGTTGGGTAGCGTTGAGCCAGGACCATGCCTTGACGACCACCTAGAGAAGTAGGAGTATCAGTATCCCTTGATCGAGAACATTGGAAAATCGAGTAACTTACCAGTACTGCATCCACTCCAGTACGAATACTTGATCTTCTTGCCATAATAACTCTCCGTGACATGCTTGGCAATCAGAGTGAGCTCCTCGAGAGAACGATGACCCAACATGCTGAGCAAATGATAGTTCACATTGTGTGGACTCTTGGTCGCCCACGAAGACGAGTCCAGTGCGTTCTCATACCAGCTGTGCCCGGCATCACCGTTTGCTGCGGCGTAGCCCATGGATAAAGCTGGTGCTAGTGCACCATCGGTACCTGCAGCCTGTGGGAAATTTGTGATGAGTTCAAGATCTTTTTTTTTTCTCTTTATGAAGGAAACAAGCAGAGGGAAATAAGGAGAAGAAGAAAACTCACGTAACCACCTCCTCCTTGACCGAAAAAATTCCCATTCCATTCTTTCTCTTCGAGTGGCAGCCAGACATTGACACGAACGGAATCGTCATGACCTTTTTTACAAAAGTCAGTAATTTCATATCATTTCGAGATGAAACACATTGCTTCATCCTCTCTCTCTCTCTCTCTCTCTCTCTCTCTCTCTCCACATAAAAGGAAAATAAGAAAAACAAGAAAAACAAGAAAAAAAAACAAGAAAGAAGAAGAAAAAACAAAAAAAAAGTCCAACTAACCAGGATGCGTATAAATCACCGTAACATTACAAAAACTCAACGGTCCCGTCTGCTGCACCACCAACGGCATAGCTCTCGGAACAGGAGAAGGTTCTTCCATCCAATCTTTCAGCGGATTCGCCAGCACTTCTTGAACTTGCACCCCACGGAGAGTCGGGACGTGGGATGCTGCATCGTGCAGAGCTGCGGCGGAGCAGGAGAGAGGTTCTGCTGCTGCTGAAGATGCGAGTGTGAGTGCGAGGAGGGATGAGGAGATGAAGGAGGAGAAGGAGGTGGTGGTGAGGGGGGACATCCTCGCGGGTAGGTTTGGGGTTTGCTCTTCTTGTTGGGGGGCACTGTGGATGTATATGTGAATTAGGCGAAGAGGAGAAGGGGAAGAAGGGGAAGAAGAAGAAGGAGAAGAAGGAGGAGATGTCGATGTAGAAAAGCACAGTAAAAAGATTCAGCTGGTCGAAAAGTCGAGAAGCAAACCCAGAAGTATGATTAAGCTGGTCTTGCATTTGCCAGTAGGTAAGGTACCTCCTAGCTAATAAAGAGGTAGTAATACATGTACCTAATCTATGTACCTCCCTACCTCCTAGCAAGATGGACTAGCCTACCTTTTACTAGAGCCAGGCCCAGCTCCCAGAATCCCTCCCCAAGTACACAAAAATGGTGTGTTCCAATGGAGATAGGAAATAGAGGGAGAGAGGGAGAGAGGGAGAGATAGAGAGCGGGCCGGGGAGAAAAAAAGAGGATACTTGTTGTGTCTCACTTTTTTTGTTTGGGGGGGACAGTGAGCCCACTTTCTGATATGACTAGTTTTGTACTACGGTAAGTTATTAGTCTGGTGGTAGGCAGTTTTCTTCATCTTCTCCCGATGCATTCATTCATGCTGTTCAAGGTTCAAAGTCTGTCGGGGGGGAACAAGTGACGAACAAGTGCGGAGACTCACATTTCAGGTAAAATGTAGCTCTCGCATGTCCATGTCCATGTTCATGTCCATGTAGGAGGTAGGAGGGAGGTAGATATCATCGACTTCTGACTGGTTGTTCACTTGTGTGTGGGGAAAAGAGAAAAAAAAAAGCTTCGGCGTCGGAACAGATTCGGATCGATCTAGCCCCAGTCGACTCCACAATTCGGAAGTCCGACCCGATTTCTATCGTTTTTCTTCTCTCCGTCTACTCTCCACCCCACCACCCCCTCATTATTATAATGATATTATAAATACGCTACGCGAGGTACAATCAAACGTTGTTGCACTCGGCTTCGAGAGCGGCAACATCAATAGACTGCGCCGCAACGTCCGCACCAAATTCTCGCACGTCAGAACTGCCGAGCGTCTGATATGCGTGCCAGTCCTGAGCAGCGAGGCCATTGACCGGGTCACTGGCAAACGCTACCCAGGCCTCCTGCATAGCATAACTGGTGCCGTACTCCAAATCAGTACTGAGCCCTCGGAAGTTGGGATGTGTGCCGAATAGCATGGGCAGTTCCGCAGAGTGATATGCCCCCATCCACGGCCGAGGGGAGACGTTGGTGAAGTTGCCAGCGTACTGGTAGCGGTACGTTAAGAGGCCCATCTGTTGCCGATTCTTGATCGACTCCGTTGCGGGACATGCAAAGGCTGACAGCGTCGCCTGATGCGCCGCGGCGGGATCAGGTCCGTCTGCGTTGTATGCTGCGAGAGCGGTTCCTTCATCAGTGTTGACTCCCACAATGGCAGGCTGCAAGACTCTGGGTTAGCATCGCTTCATCTCAATACAAGGTTGGTGATGGATGGGGAAGTGTGCTTACAATCGAGGCCTGCTTGCCCGCCAATGCTCTGTCCGTGTAGTTGGAGAAGACCACTTTCTCGTCGGGAGTGGGCACGAATGATATTCCTGGCGAACCCGAGTAGTGGCCCACAAAGTCCGATATGGTCTGGAAGTCGATCGTACGCATGCAAGCCAACTGCTGTTCGGGCTGGTCCGCCAGATCGGGACAACCAACCTGGCTGGCGACATAGCTGAAATTGGATCCGCCACTGTCTGTCACCGATATTCCCTCCAGCAAACCAGCCACACCAGAGTCCATAATGGCACCGGCCACAATCGGGTCATCGGGGTATGCGTAGCCGTACATGTCGACACTTGCTGCGCCTGCCGACTGCCCCCACAGCGTGATTCGATTGGGATCTCCTTGAAACTGGGCAATATTCGCCTTGACCCATTCGACCGCGAGCCGTTGGTCCAGTAGTCCAACATTTTGATCTTCGAGCCCTTGTGCCGAAGGGAAACCAAAAATGTTGACGCGGTAGTTCAGCGAAACAACAATGTGATTGGGACTCCTATTGATCCACTGCGTCGGAATCTGGTACGGCACATCTATTCCACCCCCGGCAAACGCACCGCCATAGATGTACACGAGCACAGGAAGTCCCGCATCCAATTGTCCCTTCGTCGTCGCAGTCTCCACATTCTGTTGTGTCGGCGTCCACACACTGAGAAAGAGACAATCCTCCGAAATCGCTCCCGTCTGATTCAGACCTTGCAGATTGAACTCCAAAACATCCCAATGGTAGACCGAAGCTCCCGTACTATACGTCTGCGGACAACTCGGCGGCAACTCGGTCGCAGTGATTTGCTCCTCCTCTTGCGAAAGGGCCTCTGGTGCAGCCCATCTCAAATCCCCCACGGGAGGCTTCGCAAAGGGAATCCCCAAAAACTGTCGTACGTTGGGCAATTCGGGATCAAAAGTGCCCTGGACCACTCCCGAAGTCGTCGACACGATCAATTCATCGTCTCGAGGCGCGGCATGTTGTGCACTGCCGAAAGGAAGAGTCGTCAGCAGCTGCAGCAACAGGAGGACACACCGACCTGCTCCAAGAAGTCGCATGATTTAGTCTTTATAGGAGAGGTAGAAGGGAACGAAAGACCTGGATCCCGCAAGAAGAGCAGTTTCGAAAAAAAAAGTGTACCTCGTCTTCCCCTTTTTTTTTCACTCAAAGTAACGACTAGGTAGAGGTACATACATACCCAGGAAGTCTACTCAACTATATTACATCTATAGGGTAAACTCGAAAATCCTTCCCATTATGCATGCCAACAATGCCATGCCGCCAGCCTCCAGGCGAACTAATAATAATAATCTAAAACCTCCCTTCCCCGCCCCCTCTTCCCCTCCTCTCGCTCGCTCGCTCGGGGCATTGGCGTTTTTGTTTCATGCATGTGACATCCTTGGTTAGGTACTAGGTAGGAACGGAAAAAATGGGTTTCATCTCAATCAAAGCCTCCTCTTCTCGAGTCTTCTTCTCTTCCTCGGCAGGATACTGTAGATGTATGTACATTTGTACATTTATACAGAATATTCAGATTTGTTTCGGTTCGGGGTAGGAATTTTACCGGGACTGGGAAGAATATCATTTGGCATTCAGGCACAACTCAAGTGCAATATAAGATATATACATACATACTTTTGGGTTGGATTGGATTTTGAAATAGCCAATAGTTACTACTTTTTTTTTGCTTTTGCTCTTGAGGTGTCTATCGTTTCTCTTGTAGCCTGTAATAGACCTCCTCCTTCCTTATCATTAGGTACCGTATTAGTTTATTAGTTTGAACAAAAAGATTCAAAAGTTGTCGCTTACGGTAGTGTTATGTCATACCTACCTTAGTAAGGCAGAAGTAGTAAGTCCTGTTCCCCGCATATATATATATATATATATACACACACATATATATACTCTCTTTCCTACCGGGCCGTGCTTTGAATTTTTCTTTTTATCCGCTGCCCTAGGGTTACGGGTACTTGTATTCTACCGCGTAATTTGAGAAACAGGATACAGATAAAGTATATATACCAAAAAAGGACGTTGCATTCTATGTTTGTATACCTGATTTTAAAATTAAAGCTACCTGACCTACGGAATTCTAGTGTCTCTCTCCCCTTCGACGAGATCCACTCGTAGTTGTGAGTTCTAGGCCTACCTACTCTATTGGATGTACTCTATGTACCTGGAAAGAACGTTTCTAGCAAGGACGGGGGTGGTTGGATTGGAATTTTATATAAAAACATAGAAAAAGTACCTGCAGGCTTCAATTCATTACTCTTGTTACCGCTCTCGAACAGGACAACTCACTTTATACTGTCTATACTATCTACGATCTCGTCTTACCCTTGACTCTAGCATCTCGCCGAGGAATCGCAACAACAAGAAGGACGACGACAAAAGTCCTATCATTCTACCTTTTCAAACCTATACTCCTTATCTATAGCTATCCTCTTCAACGTATAGCCTGACCCTTAACATCCTCCACCCCCCTCTTAGCCTAACCCTTTTTACCGAGTAAAATCTTCTTCTTGTCGACTTGTCTTCAACAAGGTTTGGTTTGCTTTCGATAGGAACTTTTTTTGTTTGGGAGGTAGGTAGTAGCAGTGCTGAAGAGGTAGGCGGATGCTAGCGGAAGAGTGGGTTGACGGAACTTTTTTGTTTTTGCTGCCTTTTTTTTTTCTTTTTCTTTTCTTTTTTTGTTTGTTTGTGAGGAATGTTAAAAGCAAGTGGATTGGTATAAGTCTGTTGATGCAAAGACTTGAAGGTGTCAATCAAGTTCAGTTTTTGTTGTTGTTGTTTGTTTGTTTGTTTGTTTGTGTACCGGTTAGTACCTGTACCTAGGAGGTAGGAGGTAGTACCTCCTTACTCTCATCCTACGTCAGAGCGACATGAAGGCGTAGAGGTAATTTCCTCTTCTGGAGCACACTACATATCAAATCCTCCGATACGAGGAACAAGAATAGCCTCGACAAGGCAAGGCAAAGAAACGTGGTTCTCACGCGGAAAGGAAAAGCTTTTTGTCACCGCATACCATCATCCATCTTCCCTCTCTCTAGCCCACCATCACCACCACCAACAACAGTATCCACACATACTCAAGTAAATATTGAACACCAAATCCCCCCTACCTAATAATACAACGCCTTCTGCCACCAATCACACCTCTCGACAGCCCTCTCATCCTCCTCAACCTGCACAATACTCGTAGCATTCAACACCTGCACCGTGGCATTCTCACCATACATGGGAAAAAACGGCGTACCGACTTCACTGGGAAATCCAAATTCCGCAAAATGCGTAATATATTCCTGCAGAGCAATAGCAATGTCAGGGTTCTTCACCGTGTTGCTCGCGGCCCCATCGTTGTAGAACGTATATGGCGTGTCGGTCGAGTGGATGGCGGGCGGGACGTCGAAGAGGTAGGCATATGTGTGCTTTTGAAAGGCTTTGTTGAGGTAAAAGGTGTTGCAGACGAATGCGGCATCGGCGATGGTTTGCGAGGCACGAGCGAGCTGGTCGGGAAATGCGGTGCTGGGGTACAAGGTGTTTACGATGTAGTTCTTGTACGAGGGGAAACTGGAGACGGTGGGGAGGAGGCTGTCAATGTACATTTCGTAGTCGGTGCCGTTGGAAATGTAAGGGGATGTGAATAACAGTCCTTCGCGGGAGTTGTGGCCAACGAGAATTTTGATGTCCTTGGTGAATTGGCCCTTCGCGAGAAGTTGACCGGGGAGTTGAGGGACGAAAACTCCATCTACTGCTGGTCCGTACGTGAATTGACCATAGCTGGAGACGCCCACCTGCTTGATATTTGCAGCCTGCAGAGTCTCGTAGGGCAGTTTCCGCGCTTCGGCGATCGAGGAAGCGCCAGCCAGTCCTAGGAAGTCGTTGTATGTGCTTTCTTGGACGATAGTCGACACGATGGGGTACCAGCCTGGAGACTGTATGACTGCTTGTTGGAAAGGCGGAGGCTTCGCGCCGCCAAACGCCGTAATGTGATGCATGATGGAGGCACCTCCTGCGGACTGGCCAAACACGGTCACACGAGATGGATCACCACTGCATACCAATGCGTCAGCTGTAGCTCTTCCTGCTTCGTTAAAACAAGCAAAAGACTCTTCCATTCCGACTAACCCGAACTTGTGAATATGAGTCTGGACCCATTCGAGCGCTAGCTGCTGGTCGTGCAGTCCCACATTTGCAGTGCCGTCCTCTTGAAGAGTCGGACCTGCCAGCCATCCAAAAGCTCCCAGTCGATAGTTCAGTGCCACATAGATGATGCCATTATTGTTGTTGTTTTGACTTCTGGCGAGGAGACCTGCAGGGTTCCCATATTCTTGCTTCGATCCTACAATGTAACCGCCTCCATAGAGCCACACAAGAACGGGCGCACCTGGGAAGCTAGAATTACTAGCTTGATCGAAAATGTCCTTTGGTATTTGAACGTCGAGGAAGAGGCAGTCCTCAGTCGTTCGGGGATCCTCTGTTGGAAGGCTGCTGTTACTGCTGTTGGTGGCAAAGTCCGCCAATGTAAAGTTTCTCTTTCCTGCCAGATATTGAGTTGCGAAGGGTTGTGCTGATCCAAACCAGGCTGGGTTTGCTTGTGGGCAAATCCGGTCTACCTCGCCGGTCTCAACGATTGTTCGATTCGTCTTGGGAGGCAAAGGGGCCCGGAACCGGAGCTCACCAATCGGAGGCTGAGCATATCTCACATTGTTAAAGCTGTAATACTTGCCGGTGTCATTGAAGACTGTAGCTCTTTGCACGACGTAGCCCAGGTCGACAGTCGGCAGGAGGGTCGACGTCGTGTCTCGGACAACCGGATCGCTTGCAGACCTGGCATGAACATGTCCGGTCAGTATTAGTGGCGCGCTTAGCACCGAGATTCTGATCAAGGACAGCATCGACGTTCTTGGCAGCTGAGGATGAAAAGGTGCAGTCAGAACCAGGCAGCGAAATCAAGACATGTAGTACTTCTCGTATAGTAGTGAGATCAGGCAAGACTTTTCCCGATCGTGTCCATGGTGGACGATGCCGGCGATCACTCCACTGTGTAGCAGTTGTTTGGCATATGCAATGGGCGGAATCCGGGAGGTGCGTGCCGTCCCTTTCGGACACCGGCTGCAGGCAGTCAGTAGGTAAACATGCACCTGAATACCTGTCCGTGACCCAGTACCACGTTACTCGAGTGCACTGATCGAGTGCGCTGACCCATTGCTGCTCTGACGAACCAAATGCTTCTTGCCAAGCCACAATAGCCAGGAGACTGCAGAGCCAAATGATATGTATGACGCGCTTTCGCGATGCTTGCAGACTATAAGCAGTACTCAGGCGAGTGAGCATGTTTTGTACCATCGATACAGCGACAAAGATCAGATGCTGTAGTCTCACATGTGTTATCATCCGTAGGCACGTAGATCGATGTAATCTTGGATTTGATATCAGGTATGCGGTATCTTAACAAAATGATCTCTTTTCCTAGCCAAGTGTCGTGTTTGTCATGCCTCGCCCTGTTCGTCATCGTGCTCGTGATCGGCAGTGGTGTGTCGCTACATGACATACAGCAGATTGGTATCTAAGTTACAGGTTAGCATTGTTCAGCTGCCGAAGCGATAATAGTGAACAGACCAAGAGGATGACTGCAGCTGAGTTGCGGCTTTTGCGAATACTTGGCCTCGAGCTCATCACGAATACTATTGAGCAGCTGGACGTAGCTCTGCTGGGGGTTCTTCTTGAGGGCCGTAACGAACGCCCACGACATGGCTCCTGTAGCTTGGCCCGCGATGTTTGCGTCTTGCCTGTCATCATTACATGCATTAGCCAGGTATGGTATCCGGACGTGGATGTGTCAACGTACGATGTCTGGCTGTCCTTGCTTCCACTCCACATGATCACGTCTGCTGGACTAGTCTTGGTGCGAAGATTCTTTTCTCTTGTGTCTCCGCCAGTAGTAGCTTTCTTAAAAAGCCCTGTCGCTGTGGACAGCATACCGCCAATGTCGCCTTTTGCATATGATCCCACAATGCCCAACAGGCCTTGTCCCGCTTCTTTGGCCAAGTTGGGCTCTTTGAGTACACCTTGCGTCGAGTAGATGTAGGGAAGGTCGAGCGCAGAGCCCGAGTGGCACGAGTCGAAAATGGCAGTCAATCGCACACCCGGTTGAAGCGGTGTTACCCTGCTATCGTCAGCGGTTTTCTCTCCATACAGCACTAGGAACTCACATTATACGATGCATCTCGTCGTCGACAATGTGGCCTGCTTGTCGGAAGTCTACTGGATATATCACCTCGTCGTATCCATCTTCTTCATCGCCATCCAAGTCCTTAGTTTGGCCTCCGTGGCCGGAATAGTGGAAGAACAACGAGTCATTCGGCCTGGCGTCCTTAACGAGCCAATGCATTGCTCGCAGGATATTCTGTTTCGTAGGCTGACTCATAGGGTTCTGTTGGTCGTCCGTCAAGATCACCATGTCCTCTCTCTTATAACCAAAGTAGCTGTTCAGATATCCCGACATGTTCTTAACATCATTGATACATCCTCGTAGCTGTCCGCGCTGTCCAAAGTAGTTGATGCCCACGAGCAATGCTTTGCGTCGTCCCGTGCAGTTGGAGTACTGAAAGGTCATGTTTCCCGGTGCACCGTGTCCGAATTGCTGTTGCTGCTGTGGAGGCGGTGGCTGGGCCAGTCAGCATCGATACCTCTCGTTTGCTCTGCCGTTGCTCGACGACTTACAGGTCTGCCATAGTTTCCTGGCGGCGGCTGGCCATACTGAGCGGGAGGAGGGCCTTGCTGGAAGTTTTGTGGTGGGGGCGGGCCTTGCTGATAGCCATACTGAGGTGGTTGAGGGGAATACTGCTGCTGCGGTGGATATTGTTGCGGCGGAGGGTAGCCATTGTTACCATAGCCGCCGCCATATTGCGGCGGCGGAGGTCCTTGCTGGTTGTGGTAGCCTTGGCCGGGGAAGAACGACATGACGAGTGAGGTATAGGTAGGTGAAGGTAAGGTAGGATATGCGCTCTCAATTGGGCGCCTACAGTGTGATGTAGACTACCTTATTAATAGGCAAAATAAGGAAGAGAATGTCCTGCCTAGGCTGTCCCCAGGTTTGCAAGACTAGGTAGGTTGGCTCTAATTTCCGTGTAGGTAGGGAGTTCTATGCCGCGCAGCTGCTGCGATCTGCTGACGAGGCCGTGGTTGTGGCGGAGTTTCAGGTATTCTATGTCACGAGTCCTGGGGAGGCAGTATACCACTCCCGTCTTTTCCAGTGCGGATGGCTGGCGTGGTACGCCTGCTGAGCCGAGCTGAGCGTGTTTCACCGCGTGGCAGTCAATGACAGCTTGCGGCGGGGGCGGGAGCGGCGACGACGGCGGTGGCGGCGGTGGTGGTGGTGGTGGTGGTAGTGGCGGTGGCTGTAGATGGTGGTGGCTCTGGATATCGCAGGCTGTGGCTCAATGTCCCTCAGGATATTGTTGTGGATAAACGGGTATTGGTACGGGTAGTTGAAGAGGAGGGGTGAAGAATGACGCAAGGCCTTAGTTCTATTTTATTCTAGCTCTCGAACTACCCTACATGTACCCTGCAAAGAAGTTTCATGTTGTTGCCCCTTAGTATGTAATGATAAGGTACTGTAGGAAGTAGATATATGCTGCTATACCACCTCCCTCTGGACCTTCATCTTTCCTCTCTTGGCATCTGGCCCGTCAGGATTGCACGGCATGGCACGGCACGGCATGGGAGATGGCTACATACGTCTCTCCCTCACGCATGATGCACGTGTGCATGCACTAGTCCTACAGGAGGCAAGGGGAAGCACATTTATGTACATGCACATCATATACATGTAAGGTAGGCAAAGAAGGGTGAGCGGCATCTCAATCATATCCACTTGGTTGCACAAGATGGACCTCCGCGTACCTTTACAATTCACCCGCGACACGAGTCACGACGTCTCCAGGCCCGGCATGTCGCTACCGAAACTCCGTCAATCTATTCGATCGACCAGAACGTCCCGATGAACAACCAGTTTAAAAGGTACTCGGGCCAGCCAGGCCAGGCCAGGCCAGGCCACTGCGACACTCACTACATGTACTCTCTCTCTCTTGAGTTCGACCCTACCAACTACCATCTTCTCGCCCGTGTCTTGCTGCTACCTTCTACCGTTTGGTCACAACAACAATGCGAATTACACCATGGATCATGTTATCGACCGCCGTAGCTGGTGGAGTCCACGGAGCATCTCTATCTCATGTCTGTAGCACATCTTACATCCAAGCAGCATTGCCATCGGACGACACTCTCCCAGGTGTCACTATTGATGCATCTTCCGTCATAGCGGCAGCAACATATAATGCTTCTATGACGGGGAATGTCATGTACCCCGACACCGGTGCTTTCGACTATTGCAACGTAACATTTGCCTACTCGCACAATGGCAGAAACGATCGGGTAATGGTGACTTACTGGATGCCACCCCCTTCGAAATTTCAAGGACGATTTCTTGCCACGGGAGGTGGTGGGCTGGCCATCAATTCGGGAAATGATTCGGTTGCTGGCGGCATGGCATACGGCGCCGCAGCAGGTCTGACCGATGGTGGTTTTGGTAGCTTCGATCAGCAATGGAATGCGGTATTCTTACTTGCGAATAACACGGTCAACTGGGAGTCTGTGCACATGTTTGGCTACCAGGCCGTTCACGAAATGACTATTCTCGGGAAGGCCTTTACAACCAACTTCTACCAGGCGAACAGCACGAAGCTGTATACGTACTGGCAGGGATGTTCAGAAGGTATGCAATCCAGAGGACCTACAGTCTGTGAGATGAGATGAGAGCGAGCATCGTGAAGCGACTAACACCTGGACACAGGTGGGCGCGAAGGTATGAGCCAGGTCCAGCGCTTTGCCGAGACGTACGACGGTGCCATCATTGGAGCACCAGCGATTCGATACAGCTTTCTACAACCCAATCAACTGAGCCAAAACATACAACAGCAGACTCTCAACTACTTTCCACCCACCTGCGAGCTCGAAAGAATCGTCAATGCCACTCTGGAGTTTTGTGATTCTCTAGACGGGAAGACAGATGGTGTGGTCTCGAGGACCGATCTCTGTGCCCTCCATTTTGATATCAACTCCACAGTAGGCCTTTCCTACTCTTGTCCTCCCGCTGCAGGCACGCCTTCACTCGGAATCGACCCCACGCCTGCTCAAAACGGCACCGTCACTCAACAAGGTGCCCAGGTAGCTTGGACCGCCTTACAGGGCCTCAAAGACTCGCAAGGTCGTCAAGTCTACATTCCCTACCAATACGGCACCCCTTTCCTCGACGGCTCCACCAAATACAACAACGCAACCCAAACATGGTCTGTCGGCCAAAGTGCCTACGGCGGAGAGTGGATCGAACGGTACCTCCACCTCCAAAACGCCACCTACCTCCCCACCCTCGAAAACATCACCTACGACACCCTCCGAGACTGGTTCATCGCCGGCTACCACATCTACGGCCCAACTCTCCAAACCACCTGGCCCGACCTCCAGCCCTGGGCCTCTGCGCCAAACAAAAAAATCCTCCACTACCACGGCGAATCCGACGAAAGAATCCCCCCCGCCTCCTCCGTCCGCTACTGGAACTCGGTCCGCACCTATCTCTACCCCGAACTCTCCTACAACGCCAGCGCAGCAGAAATGAGTGTTTGGTATAAATTCTACATGGTACCAGGCGGTGCACATTGTTCCAACAACCCTGCCGAAGCGAATGGACCGTGGCCGCAGACGAATTTGGCCGTCATGATAGATTGGGTGGAAAAAGGGGTGGAGCCGGGGAAATTGAATGCGACGCATTTGGGAGGTGAGTGGAAGGGACGGCAGGCGGAGATTTGTGCGTGGCCGTTGAGACCGGTGTGGAGGGGGAGTGATGATATTGATAATAATAATGGGACGAGTATGGAGTGTGTGTATGATCAGACGTCGTTGGATACGTGGCATTATGATTTGGATGCGTACGAGTTTGAGATTTATTGATCAGGGGAGAGGGGGGAGAGGTGATGGATGTGATTGGTGGAGAGATAAGAGAGAGAGAGAGGACATTGCACTTGAGCAGGTGCCCGGAGAGAAAAGGTTGAAACAACCTCGTATAAAAAAAGAGCTGATAGTTGATCGGGGATATGTTCGAATACAGAAGAACAATCGCCTCACAACGTCACATCATCATCCCCGGTTATGCAATGCCCACCCACCAACACCACGCTTAAGCGAAAAGTCATCAACACAAAAACCAGAGCTCGAAACGTCGGCGACAGCCTCTATTTCGCCTCAACTTGCTTCCGCCCCTTTCTCACCCCTTCCAACTTCTTCAACAAAACCTCCTCGACTCGCTTCTGCTCCTTCCACTTCTCCGCCCCCATCTTCATTCGGACTCCTGCGACGACCATCAATCCCACACTCCTCAAACTCCTCTTCTTTTCCCGAAAACTCATATCAGGCGTAACGCCAATCTCCTCCAATAGTCTCAAATCCTCCTTGTTACAAGCATTGTACATGCTCACCTGCAACAAGAAGTAGTTTTTCGTATGGATCAAATCAGCACGGAACTGCATTTCTCGATGCAAGCTGGCTCGCAGGAACTGAATTTGCTTTACGAGACCTTTCAGTTCAGATTGATGGCGTTTCGTCAGTGCTGATGAATTGTCCTGAGCCCGAACGAGATCCTGAGAGTGCTCGGCGGAGTATTGCGCCTGCTTAGCAGAAGCTTTGGCTGCTTGAAGTTTAGCTTTGAGTGACTCTTCTCTCTTCATGGAAGCCGAGAGTTTCGCTGCACGGTCTTGAAGATGAGATTGGAGGGTACGGATTTCCAATTCTGCGTCTTCGAGATCACCTTGGTTGTTGTTCTGGGCATGGAAGTTCGCAGTGTCTTCTGCACGCGCACGTTGCAGGCGCTCGCGAAGTTGGCGTTCTTTGCTGGCCGCACTCTGTATTTGGGCCTCGCGCTCTTGAAGATCCATCTGCAGCTGATCGACCTCGGACTGAGCATCGCGTAGCTGAGCGCGGAGTTCTGCTTCTCGACGGGCGTGACCAGATGAAGATCCATTGCGGTCTTGGAGTTGAAGTTGCAGATCCTCCAATTCCTGCTTGGCGCGCTTGAGCTCCTTGATGTTATTTCGATGCTCACGCTCCTTGCTCGTTTGTGCTTGCGTGCGGTTCTCCAGGTCTGCAATTTGTACTTGCAAGTCTTCAATCTCCGCTTGAGCATCCTGCAGCTGTGCTTGAAGCTCACTCTCTCTCCGCTTCTGACTTTTGTCGGCCCTGTCACGTTTTGTAAGCTCGATCTGGAGTTGTTCTGCTTCAATCTTGGACTTCTTAAGAAGGTCATGGAGTTCGCCACGCTCTTCTGCAAGTGTCTTCTCCTGCTCTGCATACTGCAGCTCGGCTTCCAAAGACTCCACCTTCTGCTCCAGCCTCGAGATCTTGCTATGCGCCTCTGCAAGTTGTCGCCTCAGATCCTCGCGATCACGAACCGGCGACAAATTTGTCTTGGTTGTCTCAGCTGTCTTGAGGTCGATGCGAAGCTTTCTGATGGTTGACTCCAGCGTATTACGCTCGGTCTCTGACTTGCGTAGTTGCGCCCGAAGATCATTGCGCTCTCTCACAGGAGTTCCCTCGGACTTGGCAAGTCTTGCCTGGCTGATCTCTACCTCAAGGTCCTGAATGCGAGAGTTGAGCCGGGCTTTCTCGGCCTCAACTTCGACAAAATGCTTATCTAGCAGCTCGATTTCTGCGTCTAGGGCATCCTTTTCCTCGTCGAATTCAGCTTGCAGCTGTTTCTTGATCAAGGCAAAACGACGTTCGGCATCCTCAACGCCACCCTTGCTGGCCATACGAGCTGATTCGAGCTCTCGCTCGAGCTGCCGCACATCTTCCTGCCGCTGTTCCATAGCCTGCTGAAGCTTTGTGCGAAGCTGATCCAGCTCGTCTTCGAGCCGTGAGATCTGCTCATCCTTACCCTTCAGTTCAGAGCCTTGCCTGCCTAATATGCTCTGATCACGGTCTGCAGCCTCGCTACGCTTCCGCAAGTCGGCGAGCTGCTGCTGCAGGGTTTTGTTTTCATCCTCGACAGATTGGCAGTGCAGGTCCAATTCGTCCAGCTCAGCTTCTTTGTCCTGTTCAAGTTTCTGCAGAGCTTGCTCGAGCGACCGTACCTGATCAGCTTGCTGCTTGAGGAGACTATCTTTCTTGGATGGAGTCTCCATTGCGCCTACGCGTGCTCTGAGACTCGTGATCTGTTGCTGTTGATCCTTAACTTCGCGTTCCTTCGCTCTTAGGTCTGACTCCAGGCGCTGGATCTGTTCATTCTTCTGTCGTAGCTCGGCATTGTCGCCGGACTGGAGGGCAGTAATGCGGCTCTGAAGGACCTGCATTTCCTTTTCACGAGCTTGAATAAGTCCATCCTTTTCGTTCAGCTTGGCCTGCGCGCTAGCAGCAGCGACTCGCAGCTTCTCTTGCAGCTCGCTGACCTGGCCTTCAATCTCGGTTCTTCGTCCTGTCTGCTTGCGGAGGGCTTCGTCACGAGCACTCTCTGCAGCGCGCATGCGCTTCTCGAGATCTGATAGCTCATCATTTCGCTCCTCGATGACTCGCGACTTGTCTCGTAGCTGGCTCTCCTTCTCCTGGATGATGCAGTCCTTCTCCCGTAGTCGGGCATCGGTCTGCTCAGCTTCAGCATCCCAGCTCCCACGTGCCGTTTGCAGTCGTTCTTGTAAAGCTCGAATCTCGCCATCTTTGTCCGCCAGTTCTCGTTGAACGTTGCGAAGCTCGTTGTCCTTCTGCCGTACTTCTGCATGGTGATTGTTTTCTGCAGTCTGCAAACGTTTTTCCAATGCTCGTAGCTGCTCGCTTGATTCATCCAGTGCTTGGTCTTTCTGCCTCAGCTTATTTTCCAAATCTACAACATCGCCTCGCAGCTTCTTGGTGGACTTCTCGCGATCGTAAGAAGAAGTGACGCGTTCCTCTAGTTCGGCAATGCGCGCATTCTTGCGATCCAGCTCCTCGTCCTTCTCCTTGAGCTCGTTCTCCATCTCGTCAATGTCCTGCTGCATGTGGTCGACATTGGCGTTGTCCTGCTGGAGAGCTTTGACTTGCTGCTGCAATTCCTCCAGTTTCTCGTCCTTTTCATCGAGCTGTCGTTCGCGGTCCCGGATATCTGCTTCCAAGTCGCCAATGTCATCCCGTAGCTGCTGAGTCTTGTCAGAGTCACCACCCGCGCGCTCGGCAGCTTGCAGCTGTTCCTGCAGCTCCTCGAGTCTCGCATCCTTTTCATCCAGCTCCCGTTCGCGATCGCGTACTTCTTGCTCAGCATCCAGCAATTGATCTTTGAGTCGTTGCACTTCACCTTCATCACTCTGCAGTTGCTCGGCCTGGTCGAGCTTCTCGCGGACATCGTTCAACTCCTGCTCTCGCTCGTCGGCAATCTTCTGCGACTCTTCTGCCATTCTCTGCAGGCGCTCATACTCTTCCTGGTCCCGCTCACTAGTGTGCCTCTTCTTGACTTTTTCTTGATACTCCTTCAGATAGACCTTGTACTCTTCCAGCTGTTGCTCCGCATCTTGTAGTCGTTTCCGCTGCTTCTTCAAGTCGACCTCCAACTGCGCCTTGTTCGTCCGCAGCTCCACATTCTCCTGCAGCGTCTGCTGCTGAAACTCGCTCCCACTCTTGCGCATCGCATCCTCGAGGTAGTGAATCTTCAGCTTCAAGCCAAAATTGTCCTTCTGGATCTGATCGAGCTTGGCTTCTTGGTCGCGCAGGGTAAGGACGTTCCCAGTCTCGAGCACACCGTTCCTTTTGCTTGGCAGCTGCGGCATGGGCGTTGAGTCCAGCATGGACGAGCTGACTGGGTTGGGAGCAACGGGCGTGACTTCACGATCGCCGGAACTACCAGTGTAATCGTCCAGCATCGAGGCCTCAATGGGTAGTCCCGGTGTCGGTCTGCTGCCAAAGCTCGCGCGCAGTCCCGCCGGGGTCTTGAGATCGCCCGTCATGTTCTCCTTCTCCTCCAGAAAGCTCTGCTGCATCAGTTGATTCCTCTTGGCGCTCTTGAGCAATGGCGTGAACTCCTGCCTGCCCGTAGGATTGCGCTTGTTGACGAGGGCCGTTCGCGGTCGCGGCGTCCGTGTCGCCGCCGGTCCAGGACCACCGCGGAGTCCGCGCATGTGGTTTCTGATATCCTGCGCGGCATCTTTGCTGGGCGATCGGAAAGGCTGGTTGAAGGACATGTCGACGAGGCCATTCTTGCTCGGGCTGAGGAAAGTGTCGTTCCCTCGTTCCGTTCCCGGCGTGTTGATGTAGTGGTGAGCCATGACCGGCAATCAGCTGCTGTTAGTATGCCGCCGCATACGACTGAAGGTGTGTCAAGCGCTGCGGTGCCAAATGTTCTGTAATGCTAAAGAAAAGTAAGGTCGTAGTAGTGCCTCTGCGCGTGTCAACAAGCTGGCTGCCTCGAAGTTCGCGTTGTTTACCGGTCACAACAAACTCCAACCTTAAAAAACGGGTCCCTCGGTCGGCGCAACTTCGGTCGAAAACTTCCCGCCAAGAGGACGACAAGAACATCATCCGCCTCCACCTCCTACAGCTTCTTCCGCTCCTCCACGTGCACACACTTCACATATCAGCATCGCACAGCGTGGAAGCCTTGCGACGGCTATGAACATATTCCTGTGGTATCCATGGAAGACCAACTCCCAGATGATGGCCTGAAGTGGTTCGGCGAAGGCTTCGATGGCTTCCCTAAGCGTCTGCCAGACGATTGCGTAGAGTACGTTATACATGTTGTCCACGGCGGACTGAACTCCACTGCCGCTCTACGAACAAGGCTGAACGAGATATTGAAGGCGGCAAATGAGTTCAAGAAGACGCTACTCAAAGATTACATCTGGCAGCGGCAAGAGTTCGACCTTGCGCTGCATCCGAAGATCGACCTGTCGAAACCAGATCAGAATGAAGCTGTTAAGACCGTTCCCCACTTGCGAGGACGGACAGACTTTGGTGACTCAGTAGCAGATGAGTGGCTTGTCGTGCATCTGCTGCACGAACTGAGCAAGAAGTTTCCGGATGCCTGGATACGCGTCTACGACACTGATGGCGAGTTTCTGCTCATCGAAGCTGCCAATTCGTTGCCGAAATGGCTCAATCCTGAGATCGCCGAAAACCGCGTCTGGATTCATGAAGGCCGTATCAAGATCATCCCACTCGATGAACACTCGCCACCACGAAACCTGACTTCAGAGGAGGCGCTATTATTCATCAAACGAACGCCAGACAAGCTTCTCGTAGATCCATCGATCGAGAAAGAAGCTTTCCATAGGCTCCAGGAATATCCTTCAGCTATCTCTTCTTCTTTTCATCATGCTCTCGTAACCATCCCAAGAAGATTGGCATATCTCCTCCATCGAAATCCATCTTATATTTCGCCCGCTATCGAAGCTTTCTACTTACGAGATCCGATCAGTCTGAAACCTCTTGCCACAAAAGATACCAACACCCTCAATTTTCCACCTGAGGACTTTGTCACTGTGAGCGTCAAGTTCACAAAGGTGGGTTATGCTCAGCTGCGAAGTCAGCTATTCGACCCGCCTCCAGCCTGGACTGGTATTATCCCTCGAATGCAGGATGAGAAAGTGGCGATCGGGATGAAACTTACTTGTGGGTTCGAGATGGTGGTGACCGACAGCCAAAATCAGGACAAGCGGGCCGTGCGGGAGATGAAACTGTTGTTAGAAGACATGGAGAACGGAGAGGAGGACTTGCCAACAGATTCAGAGCTGAAGGAATGGCCCAAGACGCAAGATGATGAGAAGTGGCTTGACATCGACTATAACGACTTCGAGAAGGAACTAGATGGCAAAGGGGAGGCGCGCGGCAAGAAGGGCGGCTTCGGCGATCAAGGCGCGCAAGACAACCTGCGAAAGATGGTCTCCCGGTTCGAAGACTTTCTGGAGGACGATGAAGCTGGAGTAGATGGAGTTGACGATATGGACGATGATGATGATGGTGATGCCACCAGTTCATCCTCTGTGAATGACGACGCAGACACGAAAACGAGTACAGGTCCCTCCAAAGCCAAAGACTTTGCAACATCAGAAAGAGGAGACGATGAGTCCGAGGAGCCACCGACCTGCTTTAACGGGCCGGAAGCTCTCGAAGATATGGAGTTCGAGCGCGCCATCCACGACACAACGGCTATGCCAGACTGGCATCTCGAAAAGTCTGGCTTGCTGGACGAAGCGCGCAAACTGGCTTTGGAGGATGACGACGCAGACATGAGCGATATTGACGAAGATGAGGAAATGCGGAAAGTCATCGAGTTGATGGAGCAGGAACTCAAAGGTCACGGAGCTCTGAACCTTGAGAACGGGACGTACAAGAAGGTGAGGTCCACAGATAATGCTGCGAAGAGCAAGCCTGTCTTTGGTCCGCCACGGCCACCCAACATGTCTGCATTTGCAACCACCACCAAGCCTACGAAGAGCAAAGCCGTTAAATTTGCGAAAGATGACGAAGAATCCGCGGACGAAGAAATTCCTCCGTCATCACGAAGCGATCAAAGTAAACAAATAAGGCTCACTCCTCCTGCCTTTGCCAAAACCGGTCCTTTTGATAATCTCTCGGAAGTTGAGGAGGGCGCGGAACTCTCTTCCGATGAGGAAGAATTCAATGACGTGGATCTGGACTTGGCCAAGAATATGCTCGAAGCGTTCAAAGGACAAGCAGGCATGAGTGGCCCTGCGGGAAATCTGATGAAAGCCTTGGGCGTCAGCATGCCGAGAGATGAGGGCGGAGACGATGAATGAAGAGGGAGGATGTAGTGATGACTGACGACTAGTAATCATCACCAATCCGGCACCAAGTCATTGACATGCCGACTACTCCCTCTTTTCACAGTTCTTGCGGCTTCAGCTCCCACAATCGGTAACATCTTCATCCCCTTCTTCTTCATCTCCCCTGGCACCAACTTCGGATCCAGCAAGCCAGCTTGCACAAGCACACTCGCCTGATCCCAGTAAATATGTTCCGATTCGAGTTTCGTTCCCACGACATGAAAGATCGACACCATCACAATCTCAATCTTGCGGTTCGTGGGAGGAGTCCCCGGTAACAGCCACGAAATCTCCCTCGTATGTCCAAAAGACAGATAAATCTCATCCACAATCCGATCGGCACCGATCGTCCGACTGAGCAGTTTCAGAATCGTCGCTCCAGGACCATCACCACCAGGTTGTAAAGGCGTGAAAAACTCATTATAAAACTCCCCGATGTCTTCGGCTCCCACGCCACCCGTTAAGGTCGGAGTATGGATAATATGCGCCGTCTCCCTCGTCTGCTTGACCATAGCTTCAATTTTCCCCGAGTGGAGATATGACACGTGATGATCACGCACCGCTTCCACATCCGGTTCGACACGAAAGCCTTTTCGCACGGTAGTCAAGGAGCGCGTAAAAGCGAGTTTGGCAGCGACGGGATCGAATTCTTCCAAATCCGATTCGGCAAAACCGGAGCGACAGCCCGTGTACGTGTAAGTTTGAAAGGCGATGTTGAGGCGTTCGCCATAGCCGATTCCGGGATCGATGCGCTTCTTGACCAAGGACCGTTTGCCTTGCAGACCAAGGACTTCGTGGTGTTGTTGGACAGTGACTTCGTTTCCTGCGAGATGGACGAGGACTTTTACGCCCGCGGGGTATTTTGTATGGATGGAGGGAATGACATTGGGGTAGTATGCGACGATGGCCACGAGCTTGGGATGATTGGGTTTGGTATGGCCGAGAAGAGCGAGGTTTGCTGCTGTGCCGTATGCTGATTGCTCAGGTCGTCAGCCATCCATCCATCCATTCCATCCCATCCTCTCGCAGTCCTGACCAAATCTCTTCCCTTTCCTTTTCTTCTCTCTTACTCACCTACAACAGCATACTGTTCACTCACACCAAATTGATCTCCCACAATATGCAACCTTCGAATAAAGTCATCTCCGCCTTCCAACAGCGGCACATATACACAATGAAACCCCTCGTCTTTCCAAGCTTGCATAACCTCTTCATCGAAATCTTCGGTCTCGGCGCATAGCGCTACATGTGCAATTTTGCTCTTATTGAGCGAGTTGAAGAATGATGGGTCTTGTGAGTTGAACCAGGGCGTGTTGAAGGCGGACATGTTGGAGTTGGAGGGTTGGATGATCCAGGAACTGGACATGACATTGCTGGAAGTGCTGGGAGTGCATTTGGTGTTATTTATTGTTTTTATTATTATTATTTGCTATTACATCGTTACGCAAGTCCCACTGAAAACCGGATGGTGGTCACCAGAGCTGCAGTAAGTGGAGTGGGTGGGTGTGGTGAGGTGATGTCACGTCTTGCAAGGATCATGATTTCACGTTCTGAGGAAGTCTTGGCGATGGAGGATAAATACCTGAGGTATTCCGACTCAATGTTGTGCATTCATTTACTCACTCACTCACTCTACTACATGTATACACGATTGCCGATTTCCTCCACCTCAATCATTCAAGCCTTTCTAGCGGTACCAACGCCCCGCCGATAGTCGCCTCCTCCGTCGAGCATTCTGAAAATGTCAGATTGTATGATGATGGATCTGACAGCTCTTGATTAACCGCACCAACTGCGCTCCTTGCTGATGATTTCGCTGACACTGTTGCTACATGTATGCTAGACTTTGATTCCACAGATCCACAATGCCCGACTCGTCAAGCTGTCGAGATAGCAAAAGCGGGCTCGCCAGCTCCCGCAGCGAAAGATATTCAAAGTACTCCGGTCCTTCACCACCATAATGATACACCTCCCTGCGCAGGATATCGAAGCTATTGAAGCGCCAAGACATGTGTCGTGTCGCCCGTGTAATATCGCGCTGCATAGTGCGCGCTCTCTGATTGACTTGGATCCGAAACCTTCGAGCTCTTCGAGCGCCCACGGCAACCTCATGATAAATTCCAATCGAATGTCCCCAATAATATTTGACTTGCTCAATCAAAATACCATGTTCCGCTGGGAGACTGCCGAGCCATTTCGCTAGCTTTTCGATCCAATTGTCTGGACTCTCGAATGCGAGATGGAAGATTTTTCCTTTGCCGTAGAAGTGTCGAGCTGTTCTCTTGCGGACTTCTTTTGAGATTTGAAGGCCGATTGGTGGCTTGTATTGAGCACCGATGGTGACGATTGGCGGCGTGGCGGTGACCAGGTCGATGATCTGGTCTTGGAGTTCCTGGGGTAGGCTCTGTGCCAGCTCGTCGAAGGATGGCATTGTTTGTTGTTGTGATGTTCACCTGTCACAAATGTGGGGTGGTGTTGGAGTTGTCGTTGGAGTTGTCGTTGGAGTTGTCGTATGGAATGAATTGTCGTATGGAGTTGTCGTATGGAGTTGCTCTTGGAGTTGCTCTTGGAGTTGCTCTTGGAGTTGTCGTTGGAGTTATTCTCGGAGTTGTCGTTGGAATTGTTCTCGGGGTCGTCGTTGGAATTGTTCTCGGAGTTGTCGTATGGAGTTGTTCGATAGAGCTGCTTCGATACGACAGAGATGTGTGTAGAGAAAGTTAGAGAGAAAGAGAGAGAGAGACTGGGAGAGGAAGACTTGGGAGAGTAGAGTCTGACCTCCATTATGCTTTCTGGTAATTCTCTACAGTCCTGACCACCCTGTACCAGTACCAATACCAATACCAGTCCAGTAAAATCGTCCACTGAAGCTACCAGATTCTCAACCCAACCCAATAATCTACCGATCCACAGAACATACATACCAGGTATATACCCAAACTGTGACCATATACCTACAAGCGGGTATATGGGACTCGAGTCGTTGGCTACTATCGTAGCAATATATGTGTGCAGTAGGCAAAGTCCATATTTAGCTTCTAGGAATTCCAGGTAGCTTCTACGATGTATCCGGATGTGAGCGGAGCGATATATTTTATGAAATATGGCGTTTCAACCAATCAGATCAGCTATTCGGTTTCCAAAACCGTTACTCTCAATAGCTCAGCTGGAAGAGCGCAAGACTGTAATTGTACCACACCACAACGTCATCTTGAGGTAGACACCACCCATGCGGTTCTAAAAATAGAACGACGCTAACCCCATTCGGATTAGGCCCGCGGTTCGATCCCGCGTTGGGAGATCACGTGAAATCTTTTTGTCCGTTTCGAGGTTCGATTATCTCGTTTTGTTTCTAAAATATATGCAAAGTTGCAGACTCCCTCCTGCTTTTTAGCGCAGGTTAGTTAAAGATTGAAAAAATTGTTCACACGCACAAATTCTACGGTTAGCTAGGCAGCTACTGTATACTAACTTTTCCACCAGATGTGCGAAAAAGAAAAGGAAAGAACTTGACGACTCGAACATTCTTTCTCTCCTTGACTCTAGTCTCGTGAGATCTGCCTGCATGCTTACTCAAACCAAAACGTCTGTCTGAACAACAATCTCTCACATGCCTCTCCAACTCCTCTCGCCTGCCTAATCATTCTCGCCTTCACGCTTGGAATTTCCCAAGTTCCAAGTGTTGACCCATTGGCAACAGAAAGGAGATGAAATATCTCTAGAACCCATACATTTTTGCGTTGGATTGTATTCGTCACGATACCTTAAGGTACCTACATTAGACCTCGTCTGATGGGAATGATCTTGGATGACAGAATCGGCCATATAGTGGCGCCAGGGCTTGGACTTGGTCATGACTGGCATCCATGGTTCGTTGGGGGAAATGCGTGCGATGCCACTGCTGGTGCATTCGGTCAGTGGGCTTCATCAGCTCTATCCTTTAGCTCACTATTTCTCTCGCTCTGTAGGTATGGTCTTCGATGCTATCCATTTGCGGAACTGGCTAAGAGATTGAACTGGATACATGACTGCACGTTCCTTTGCAAGGTGGAAGATGAACGGAGCAACTCTCAATTTGTATGTATTTTATCAGGTAGTACAAAGAATCAGCCGGTTGCTTTGGTTTTCAAAGGACATTCATGTAAAAATCTCTTCTCCTTCTCATTCAACTTCGACGATGGATCTAAACCTCTTTGCAGCACGCCAGTTCTGTTGAGCTGTGATATCTTACAATGATGTTATGCGTCCACGGCATACTACGGATACTGTACAGTCTTCTTCCTTTCATGTGTTCTGCTTCCTGTGTTCCAAGCGTTCGGTCTTCTAAACAGCATCTTCAGCATCGACTTGCCCTTGCCCCCTTCTCTTTTCCGCCGTTCGAGCCACTCGTGGAGAGTGAATCGAAGAACTTCCTCGCGTTTTCCCAATACATCCAGTCCTCGCTCCTCGCACGCCATTTGTACTTCGGCATATTCGAGTGCCTTGGACGCCGTTTCTTGCTGCAGCAGAAGCGAGTCGTCAAGTGCAAGATAGCTTACATGCTTCACGATCCGTTTCCTCAGCATGGACGAAGGCGGTGCAATCCGCAAACGATCCCACATCCGATTATGCAGATTGAGGGTAGACGACAGATGTAGAAGCTGGTCGTCTCTCAGCTTAGCTAGCAACTTCGTTGCATACTGCGTGTGTGTTGTCGGCCAAGCTGACGTCTGTGCCTTGCTGACTGCCGTCTCCTCCACTGTAGGCTCTTCTATTCCAGCTCGAAAGGAAGCTGCCCTCCTCTCTTCACTCTTTCTCCTCATGCCTTCAATCTGCTTTGGAATCCTGCATGTGCCCGGTGCAGCAGCAGGAATAAAAGGTACAATCAATGGTAACCATTCTCCGAATAATGCAACCAAGAGGCCAAAGAAGGGTAACTTCCCAATGTCATGATTATTCCTCACCAGTAACTGAAACTCACTCCTCGTCATGCCCACCTCAGTTTGCCTCGTCACATCCACATTCTCGTTGTATGCGCGATGCCTCTTGATGCGTGTTTTCAGCAATTCCGCAGCTTGGCGATTGAACCACACTGCTTTTACCCCCATCCAGTAGAAAGAGCCATATGCTCTGCCAAGACGAATGTAGTACAATGCGATATTGCCATCACCTTGTTCGGGAAGCTTGAGGGGCGGAGGTATAGTGGAGCGGGGTGGATTGAGAGGATCAGGTTTGCGAAGGCGCTGTATCTCGAACAGGGCGGCTTTTTCGTGTCGCTCGAGGTCGATTTCGAAATTTTGTGTCGCGTATGAGCGGGATTGGTAGAGGTGCGAAACTACTATGGAGCGGGATAAGGGATTGGCATTGTATCGGTAGGTGGGAGGTCGGTATTGCGAGACAGCGCGGATGCAGCTGCTCGGCCAGTTTGTTGTCATCGCATTGAGACACTGTCGTTGTTGTAGAGAAGGAGAAGAGTAAAGCGCGCGCGCCGAGAAGTTCAACAAAACTTACCTGTAGAAGTCGCGCCGACGAGGGTCATTAAAGGCGTCATCGTCATGATTGCCAAACCACAAACCATGGACCCAATTGGATGCGAGCATCGATATAGTTACACAGTTATACTACAGGTAATTTACTACACAGGTCAGAATACCTACAGCATCTTACCTTATTAGGTCAGATATCGTAACTGATACAGACAACATAATTGCATCAGTCTGGCTGATATAGGCAATCGCTCCCAATTATCTGCTCTATTCACTTGCTATAGGTTCTCCAATGGTGGTTCACGCGTAGCTTAGTCAGCCGTTCTCGTGGTCTCTAGCCGTCCTTCTCCCTCCTCACTTGCACTAATCTGACTTAGGAGAGGTAATTGTGAGAAGGCTATGCATTAATCTGGTGCGAGTATTTGCTCTCGTCGACACTGTCTGTCTGCAGTGATTGGAACATGCATCTGTCGGCTCACTTGGAAGCTTTCGAGTATGATCTATTGTCTCCACGTCTTCAACTTCAGAAGGCCAGAGCACCGCACTCAATTTGAGGGGCAAAACGGCCATGTCTACGACCCACACAATTTCACTCGTTCTACGAGTGAAGTGATTCGTGTTGATTGCAAAATAACCTGCTGCGGCTGAATCAAGCCTTGTTTCTCCTGTTTTTCGGTCTGATTCCGGGTCTGCACATTGCAGAGGTAGAAAAGTAGCTTGAGAAACTCGCATATACTATCGCTTTCTCAAGACTCCCTCGGACTACTAGTTCTATTCGTCACCTACTTACTGATTTTTCATGTCTCATACCTCATACACCATAATTTGCTCCAAGTACATGCTGTCTTCACAGGAGCCAATGTACTCGAAACATCACAAGCCGTGGACATGACGGAAGTGTGTATGCATCACCATGGCAGATGCATAGGCGTCTTCAGAGCCTCGTGACCCTTGCCAAATACTGCCTCAGCGGTACCGATATCGCTGGAGAGGATTGTGTCAGCAGTTGCACCTGACCTTTTGCGACATCGTCCACGAAGACATTGTACACTTACCGTGGTCCTCTTGGAGCCCAATACTCCCCCGTCTTGCTGATGTCGAAAGTATCGGCCCACTCTCTGAGAGTACTGGCAGCCTCCTCGGGCGTCACAGCGCCTCCGTCGTCCCAAAACTTATCGAAGCCCACGTTCTTGGTCATTTCCGTGCGCATGAAAGCGGGATGCACAAGTGCAACTGCAATGCCATGTGGCTTCAAGTCCATGCTCAACAACTTACCGATCATGTTCAGAGCAGCTTTGCTGGCGTGGTGACCATACATGCCGCCACCTTCACTTTCATGTCTCAAAGTGATCGAGCCAGCTTCTGAGGAAACAAGGATGAGTTTGGAGCCCTTAGTGATGTTTCCATTCTTGTATAGGGCGCGTGTGATGAAGATGGGACCAATAGCGGAGGTTTTGTACATGGCAACTTCAGCATCATAGTCGGGCTCTTCGAAAGATTCCTTGAGAAAGACACCAGCGGAGATGATGACTATGTCGAACTTTTGACTCGAGAGCTGCTGCGCAAGAGCTTCGCCTACGTCTCTTGCGGCGACGTCAATATTTGAGAGCCATGTCACGTCTTGAATTGATGGTGGATTGCTGGAGCGAAGCGTGCCTGTTACTGACCAGCCCTGTGGAGTAAGGTCGTAAGTGCATGCTGAGGTGATCAGATACAGAGGTGTATGAGCTCCTGGAAGTGGTAATATACCTGTTCGGCGTAGTCCTTGGCGAGAGCGCTTCCTAGTCCCCTGGATGCACCGATGATGAGCACGTTGCCCTGGTTCCCACTCGCCATTTTGATGCTGATACACTCAATGTTGATGCCGAGCAGTGGAGTCGAAGCGTATCTAAACTGAGGTACCTCATGTGTAGTGCATACCTCATGTATGGTTGTCGAATGGGACATGTAAGGTGCCGCTTACTGTACGCGGGATGACGTCAAAGCAACCTACCGGAGCCGCCCGGCGGCCACTGCCGAGGCGTCCCGCTCTCCCGTACCTCCTACCTCCTACTTTGACTTCATTCTCCGTCTCTGTTGGACACTACCTAATGAATTAATGTATCCGTCAGCAGGCAACATAAGGTAGTACCGCTGGTGCGATCCTGGCAAGAACCACAAGAACTGCCATGCTCCTACAGCCGGCAGCTTATCACCTATTGGGAACTACACCTTACAGCTCAGATTCGGACGCTCGCAAGCAGAAGGTACTCCTCGATGATGGAGTTTCTTGACGCTGGCGGTAGTTCTTGAATCACGAGATGTCAAAAGCGCTGAGACGAATGCCGTTCCAGGTAGGGCAATATTACCACTCGCTAGGCCTTCTCCAAGGAGGAAGTGATCTTGGAACCAAGCTTTGGAGCATCCAGTACATTGAGTGGCTGCACAATTGTCACGCTACCTGTCATCGGCACTGGAGCGCACATTCCCGTCTCTCTCTCAATGAAAGACTGCCAAAGCACTTCTAGTAAGCCGGCTGAGTTGGGGAGTGAGGCGCTTGGTATCACGGGGAGTGCGCCGAGGAGCCTGAGCGAGGCGTTGCAGAATGCAGAGGATGGAAAACAGGGAATGCCGGAGCTTGCTCGGCGATGAGTCGGCGAGGAACAAGCTGCAGGTGGATTTGGCTATGCAAAAGATGCTTGATGAGATGCTGGAGAACGAAATGGAGAGTGTGGCGTATGGAGAGATGGTGAATGAACATTGATGATTGCGTCGCAGTACTGTAAAGCAGCACAAAAGGCAGACTAAACTCTACACAGGTGCAACCAAATTACTACATATCATACAAACATCTAGGAAAACCACCTTTCACAAATCAGCATTCCTTTCGCAATAACGCATAGATGCCTCAACGTCGACGCTCTCCTCATTCCGCATATCGTAAAGTCAAATTCTGGCATCCATCCACAAAGAATTCGGACAGCACCAAATGTGGTCCCACATCTCCGCCACACGTCTGGATAATATTCAAGCGCTCCTCCTGAATTTTGCCGAAGAGATTGATCGTCAATTTGGCCATCTGAACGCTCTGAGTAATCGAGCTCACTACTGGAATAATGGGGGAAAAGCCACCCAGCGGCGTGTCTTGAAAAAGGACGTCATACACGTGGACCTGGGTATCGCCGGGAAAGAATGACCCATTAATGTAAGCGTAAAATCCAGTGGCCGTGTCTATCATAGCGTCTCCATTTGGGTTTTCATCATCTTTGACCGAGCTGTCCTGAGTAGTTGTCCAGTTCGCTGCGAGGGCTTTGTTGGTAGTGAAGGTGACGGGATTTCCGGGGTTGGGGGAGACGACCAGCCATTGGTTGACTAGAGAACTGTCGGAGGATGTTTCGACGTATACGTGTCTACCTGCTCCAGGGGCTAGTGTTGGAGGGGTTCCATTGTCAAAATCGATTGTTGGAGTTGGGCTGGGCTCGGCGGTTGGAGTTGGGTCGCCAGTGTCGATGCCCAAGAATGTTGTCGCTATGGTGGGGTTTGCGAAGCCGATGAGTGGAAGATTGGCAGGTGTAGCGAGTGAGCTGGGATGCGTCAGAGGAGTGCTGGCTGAGAGATATCGTTTCACTTACATGGTGGAAAGAGCTGCAATGACAACGAAAGTCTTCATTTTGGCGGTGGTTGAATGAGGGAAGTTGTAAGTTGTGTATGGCAAGGAAGGGACAGTTGCAATGAGATTGTTGTTCGAATCGTAAGGAAATGGACCAGCAGCTGTTGGGCAATTAAGCCGGACTTTATAGTCTCAAGTCAGATGCCCTTGAGGCTTGAGTGTAGACATGCGGAGTCTTCGTGGGGTGCACGATCTCGCGTTCTAGTGCCCTTTCGGGCTGTCTCTGCCGTGCCACACTTTTTGAGATGCCCAGTCCGATGAATCTGATCTCTATCCCGGCGAGGTCCCTTCGAGGTTCCTTCGAGGTCCCTTCGAGGTCTGCCTGTGGGACTGATTGATGCGGATAGACTGAGACATGAGCCGGTTGGCAGTCGGAACCAGCTCACACTTGCCACCAGAGCGGTTCAAGTTCCATCGCTGAAGGCTGGAGGACTTGTTCGAAGCATGCTCTGCGTTACGTTATGTGCGGTTGTTGTACAAGCAAGCATGAATCTGGCCATGAACTTGCAGCTACCTGTATCGAAAGTACCTATGTTCGAGAATTATCGTTTTCAGAGGGAGGCACAAAGGAGTCTATAGAGGATCGAGCATCTCCAAGGTGCTACCTCCTAGCGTTGTCACAAGAACATGAAGGATCAGAAATTATTGCTCGTGGAGGTACCTCTAGTGATGTTGATCTGCTCATTCTTGTCGCGCATCGTGAGCCGTGTTTGACGCCGTGTCTAAGATCATGATCTCATGGCCCCTCTGGAGATTTTATTCAGGGAGCTTGACGCGGGTCGGGCATTGGTGTCGACGATATCGATGTCGATAGTCGCCCATGCAGGTACAATTATAGTTACCCATGCAGGTCCACTACAACATGCAGGTACAACGGTTCCATCGGTATCTTCGGGCCGTTGCTTTATGCGTTGACTTCACGTGCCGAGTGTGTGAGTAGAGACGGCGGAGAGGTGAGACGTGAGGTATGAGATATGAGGTATGAGGGATGAGAAAAGAGGACGGGAGGGAGGTCCAGAATCCAGAATGTCGCCCGAGCGTCTTGGCAGCGCCAAGAAATATGCTTGTTTTGCTTGTCCCCGCCGCCACCCCGATCATCTATTCTCCCATCACGATTCTCGAGACAGGAAGGCGAGACTTGTCTATTACCAGTGCAAGAAGCGCTTGGCCAGGCCCAGAGAAGCAAGCGTGTTGTGCTGCGGTGATCTTGATCAAGCTACGCTCCGGAGATTGCCCCGACGCTGCATTTTGCCTGGCCTTCCCTCGATCGCAGCCTGTATCGTCGTTCGTCCTTACAATCTGGAACCTTGGGGAGATGGCGTCGCGAGGGATTCTGGCCGTATTGGCTCTTCTACTTGTTGCTACCTACTCACAGAAGACCAGTCAACAGGATCCCGCTGGTGGCAACACCCAGCCAAACATGATCTTCATCTTGACAGATGACCAAGACCTACACATGGACTCTGTGGCTTATATGCCGCACCTGAAAAAGCTCATCATAGAGCAAGGAATGACGTTCAAAAAGCACTATTGCACGGTGGCACTCTGTTGCCCCTCGCGCGTAAGCTTGTGGACTGGCAAAGCCGCTCACAATACTAATGTGACAGATGTGAATCCGCCATATGGTAGGTGATCATATCCTCGCTCTCAAAGCCCCGTCCTAGTCTTGTCACGCTGCTTGCTGAACTATCAGCAGGCGGCTATCCCAAATTTGTATCGCAGAGTCTCAACTCCGCTTACCTTCCTGTATGGCTGCAGTCCCTCAACTATGCAACATACTATGTCGGTAAGCTCTTCAATGCACATAGCGTGCACAACTACGCTTCTCCTCGTGCAGCGGGCTGGACTGGCTCAGAATTCCTCCTCGATCCGTACACTTATGAGTATCTCAATGCTACCTTCGTCCGCAATCATGGAGAACCCAAGTCCTACGAAGGACAGTACAGCACTGATTTAATCGCTGCCAAAGCATTCGGGTTTCTCGATACAGCATTAGACGAATATCAAAAGGAGGGAAAGCCATTCTTCCTGACCATCGCGCCGACAGCGCCCCATTCGAATGTCCATATGAACACCCAGATTGACGGAAACTTCTCTGAGGGCTCGAATACCCAATCCCCGCCCATCCCAGCTGCTCGTCACTCCCACCTATTCGAGGACGTTGTGGTGCCTAGGACACCACATTTCAATCCAGTGGACGCCCACGGCGTATCTTGGATCTCTCGGCTACCCCGCCAAAACCAAACAAATATAGACTTCAATGACCACTTCTACCGCTCTCGACTTCGAGCACTACAAGCAGTTGATGAGATGATTCATGATCTGTTCATGAAGCTTGATGCAGCTGGTGTCACAGAGGAGACATTTGTCTTCTTCAGTACGGACAACGGGTATCATATTGGACAGCATAGACTACAACCTGGCAAACAGTGTGCCTTTGAGGAGGATGTAAACATTCCGTTCATGGTGCGTGGACCAGGGATACCGATCAACAGGAGCACAGACATCATCACCACGCATACGGATCTGGCGCCGACATTCATTAGTTTGGCTGGCGGGCAGCTGAGAGATGACTTTGATGGGCAAGTCATACCACTCCACGGCCTCTCTTCCCGATCGCTCAACCCACCTAACCACCAAATTATTGGTCGTGACGTTGGGTCATCTTTGACAACGCCTGCGAAAGATTGGTCGACTGAGCACATCAACATTGAAATGTGGGGAGTGATCATGTCAGAAGGAGATCACGGTTCTGTCCTCTACCCAAACCATACTTACAAAGCTTTGAGGCTTATTGCAGAAGAATACAGCTTGCTCTACACTGTCTGGTGTAGTGGGGAACGGGAGTTGTACGACATGAAGAAAGACCCGTACCAGACGGAAAATCTTATGGCCGCAGCGCAGAGCGACACTGCTATGTCGATGCCGCTGCAAACCCCAGGATCTGTCATCTTCAGCTCGCAAGTCACGCTCGTGGATCAGTCACACGTGCATTCGCGCATCCAGCTACTCAGTCGACTCGATGCGCTGCTGATGGTGCTCAAGACGTGCACGGCGCGAGCCTGCACGCATCCTTGGCAAGTGCTGCATCCTCTGGGGGACGTGAAAAGTCTGGCAGACGCGATGGGACCACAATACGACAGTTTTTATACATCGCAGCAGAAAGTGGCGTACGAGAAGTGCGAGAAAGGATTCATACTCGACAGTGAGGGACCAGTGAAGGTGGCTGCCTATAGCTTCGATGTTGGTGCTTAATAGAGACTATGTAAATGTAGGATAAAGGCATGGATATGTAGTCAGTAAGCAGCACGTCGCTGTCACATGCAATATCTGACTTCCGAATGAAACTTCGAGTTCACTTTGGACGAAAATAACGCTTGGCGTCGTCATTGCATGCCGGGTCCACTTTCCAACTACGGTACCTCCCACTACATGTAACTTGGCATTGTTGTATGCCATCTCCATATACCTGACCACATACGATGCATGACTAGGTAGGGCCAGATGAGAGCAATGTCCTGGTTACGCGACTGGAAGCATGAGCGATCAAAGTAGCCCGGAACTCGCAGTCGAGAGCGAGGCGCAATTCTGGACCGGTATGCAACAGCAACAACAACCGGCCCCATGCATGAGACTGACAGACAATTGATGGAAACCCGCACAGAACTCGACGATATTATCTCGCCAGACCTCACCACCTCGACCGCCTCTCTGGCGACTTCCGACGTCACCGCAGAGTCGCCGACGGGCTCGTTGTCCAGCTCTATCTTCGAGGATCACGGGCACATCGACGATGCATTGAGACGATACCTCGCCTTCGCCAGTCGACACCTGCGCGACTACCTGCCGAGTGAATACGACGTGGCACGATGCTGCTGGAAGCTGTTGGATGCGGAGCTGTTCAAGAGGAATGGAGCCTACGTGCGCCGGCAGATCCTATACTGCTTGCTGCAGGAGGAAGACACGAGCACCTTGCATCTGGCGGCGGCTGTGTTGCTCTTCGATGGGCGCGCCAACGAGTCTACCTTTGAGCTGATGCAAGCGGAGGGCACCTTTCAGCGCTTGCTGGACCTGATTCGCGAGAAGCGAGACGACGACGATGTCGGGCTACACCGGCTGTTATTGGAACTGCTTTTCGAGATGAGCAGGATACAGAAGCTATCGCGCGATGATCTTACGGCAGTGGACGACGCCTTCATTCTCCATCTCTTCCAGCTGATTGAAGAGCTCTCGTCAGACGCGAACGATCCATATCATTACCCTATTATACGAGTACTGCTAGCCCTCAACGAGCAGTACATGTGCCAGGCAAATGCGCCTAAATCCCCAGGGTCCGCAGACATCGGCGTGACGAACCGTATCCTCAAGCTGCTGAGCTTCCATGGACCTTCGTATCGCACGTTTGGCGAGAATTTAATCCTACTTCTGAACCGGGAGACGGAACTCGGCCCTCAACTACTAATCCTCAAGCTATTATACTTACTCTTCACAACGCCTAGCACGTACGAGTACTTCTACACAAATGATCTCAATGTGTTGGTCGATGTGATTATTCGCAATCTCCTAGACCTAGACGAGAGCCACGACTCCGATTTAGCGCCTGATCGTGATGGCCAGCGCGCACTGCGGCATACATACCTCCGAGTACTATGTCCATTACTGAAGAATTCCCAACTTGCGCACGAGGGACAAAACTACAAGCGCCTGGAGGTTAGACGTTTGCTCTACCTTCTTATTGATCGCACGAGTGCGCATTTTGCACCCGTTGATGAGACTGTGATAAGGCTGGTGATTCGGATCAAGCAGATCGATTGGATACGAGAAGAGGGAGACGAAATGGAAGCCGCAATTGAGGAAAAACTAGCTGCAGTCAGTGTTGCTTATGGAGTCACCGCGCAGAACGGCAGCAGTAGCGGCAATAGCGGTGATGAAGTCGTGGCGAAGAAGTTGTTGGGTATGAGTTTGTCGGAGGCTGGCGAGAGTTCGCTGAGCGTCTCAGTATCAGACGTCACTGCGAAAGTGGTCAAGGCCAAGCCTAGTGTCCCTATCCCGAGACGTATGCGCAAGACTAGCAAGGTCGCAGCGAACGGAGGACCTGGTGGAAGCCCTGCAACTACTCAGGCAGCAGTTGTGAAGGATGGGCTTGAGGAAAGGCTTTTGGAAGTCTCGCACGCTCCTCGAGATACTACCCAAGCTGTCATGATCGAACCAGAGACGCAAAGAAGGCCAAAGCTGCCGCCCGCGCCACCCAAGTCGAAATACGGACGGAAGGTGATTGCAGATACACTGAAGCCGAACGCTGCCAGTGTCCAGATTCCAATGAGAAATGATTCCAGGAGTCCATTTGCTGATGAAAATGCTGCCACTTGAAATGTCTTACAAATCGGCAGCTCGGGTAGATGGCCTTTGGATATGGCCGAACTGCTTGCAAGCACACTTGAAGCGATCCAGCCACGTTGACAAGCTTGACTACACCCGCCAAATATCAGGTCTGGGCTCCACAATTCACGGGGTCAGGACGAGGTTGGTCAGTCCATCGAACAGAGCTGGACACCCCAGCCGGACAAGGACAGCGCAAACTTGCAACTCATCGCAACAGATGAAAACTGGACAGCTTGTACCATCAAATTCGGCTGTGCGTTTATCTTGTGCTGTGCCACAACATTCGAGCTTATATCCGTGTCGTACGGCACTTGCGTTGGTATGCACTAGGCCGCATCCGTGGGCGTTACCTTGCACAAGCCACTAGCCTACTTGTTGTGCTCTTTGCGCCACTCTCTAGACATTTGTGACGGTGGCAGCCATGAAGAAGCCGTCTGCCGCATGTAAAGGAATGATGGCACACTTGTAGCTATTCTGCTCACGCGGCTTACGGCGTGGGCCCATATGGGGCAGAATGCTTCTCAAGGGCAATCACAACGTGAATGCTGTCATGTCCATGCTTCGAAAGTCCTCAATTAGCAGACTTGGCCATATGGGACACTGGAATCGGGCATATGGGCCCGACCGGACAGAGGCACAATGCTGTGTCACAACTTCCAAGTATGACGGGGGACTCACCCTGGTGGCTGGAATATGCTTCGCTTCAGCCTTACTGTACATCAGGCATCAAATGCTGCGAATTCAGGCATGCAAAGCGTATGATCAGACAGTAGAAGCCTGGTTATCTCAGCCGGCGATACCGTAGCGGTTCAATGGGCACATGCGCTATTCTCGAGCATTCTCACTTCTCGGTGTTCTTCAGTGTCCAGGAATTAGACCAACACCCGCTTCGGCTTCCAGTGGTACGATGATGATCAGTACCGGGCAGATGTACTCAACCGACACTGGCATTCACTCAGACGGAGGATTCATTCCCCACTGCTATCAGCCGGCCTTGTGGTGCGCACCACAGCATTACGATGCTGGGGCCATGTATCGTTCCATGGGTAAGGACGTCTTCAGCACTACGGCTGTTTCAAATCGTTTTTTGACCTTGTGATCCTCACGACTTGTCAACATTCTAGATGTACATTATGAGCAGGCTGCCGAGCTGCACAGATGACCTCTCTGGCCAGTATATCTCTTTCTCAGGTCGCACAGCGACGATGCCGCAGTCGTTTGCACACGCAGGTCTGATCGCGAAGTGGACGGGTAGTGCACATGCCCGTGATGCCGGTAATCAAATGCTATGACACTTGCGTTTGTTCGCATTCGCCACGAATTGAGCATTAGCCGCGCACTTACTTGCGCGGAGCAGCTTCTTACTTCAACCATCTTCTTCTGCTTCTCTATTGTCGCTGAGTTGTTTCCATGAACTTGCAGTCTCGCATACATCTCACCAGCAGTAGAAATCACACAAGCCAGATGAAGCTCTCACTCGCCGCTCTGTTTGCAGGTCTTGTGGCAGTAGCAACACCAGGTACGGCTCACCCAGTGAACCATATGTGATCGTAGAGTATATGTCCTAACCACTCACGCAGCCAAGATCATCAAGAAACAAACCTGGTTCACGGCCCAACGACCATATCCATATGGCATCCCAGATTACGATACGCCTGCCTACGGTGGCTCGCCAACTCCTTCCGGCACGACAGCCTCGCCACCCTACCCAACTGCGAGCTCTTCTGCCTCTTCCGAAGGCTCGCCAGTCGGTGTGACCAACAGCTCTTCCGTTTATGGCTCTACTGGCTTCACTCCGTTGTTCTCTAGCACCCCTAGGATTGGCACATGGACCACATCAATTTCGACCACGAATATCTCGCTCACCTGGCCTGTTACCCGCTCTGAGAGCACTCGCCCCGCCTGGCCTTTCACCACCACGGGCTCGACAGAAGGCAGTCCAGTCTCAGCTGGATCAAGCAGCAGAGCTTGGCATGGCAACTCGACCATCACCAGCCTTTTAGCTCCCACTGGCCTGACCTCGACGCTGCTGACGACCATCACCAGAAACACAACTGTGTATCTCAGCTTCACCTCTTCCACTGGCTCTACCGCCTTTTCTATCACGAGTCTTCCAGGGACAGGGACGGCCTATCCCTCGCTCACTACACCTGTCTCAAGCAGCAGCGTACCATACTATAGTAACGACACTACCACCACCACCACATCAGAGTCCACGCTCACTGTAACTGTGACCACGACTCTTTATACCACCGCAAGTAACAGCACCACCACCACTCTTGACTCACCCATCATCGCCACCTCGAACTCATCTTCCATTCTCACTCCAACTGCTTACTACTCACTACCCTACACCACACTTCCTTGGACTGGACACAGCAGTAGTAGCAGCAGCAGCAGGAAAAACTCGCCAATCATCGCTAGCTCTACCACCACCACCAATTCATCCCATCCATCCATCGGCTTCAGTAGTGGTTCACGCACTGGCACGTACGGCTTCACAACTTCAACCATCTCGCATTACTTTCCTCATACGTATGCCACTGCCGGACAAGGCAGTAGTAGTACTAATATAGAAGAAGATTCTCCAGTATCAGCTACGTCGAGAGCTTCGTCTGGTTTTGGCACTTCTGCCACGCCGACTGCGTATGGAACGGGGACGGGGACGGAAAGTGGTGATGGTGTGTTACCCTATGGTCCTTCTAGCTCGACGGAGTATGCTGGTCCGAGTGCTTATGGAGCGTATGGTGTTGATGGTGATGAAGGTGATGTTTAGAGCGGGTTTTAAAGGGGAGGGGAGTAGATTGAAGAGTAAAGTTGAGTGGACGAATGCAAGGAAATCAGGAGAAGGAGGAAAGGCAAGCTCACCAACGTAGGAGCTGGGAGGATAGAGAAAGGCCGAAAAAACAACCTGACCATGGGTGGGCACTCACTTGACATGAGTGGGAAAGACTTTGTTTTGTAAGCAATGTATGAAGGCCAACCTAGGTAGGCATGGTAGGTAGAGTTGGGAACTGGACTTCATAGAAGGCCACCACCAAAGGCCCTCCAAGCCGAAGCAGAAGAAAGTATAGACGCTTATCTGACAAATGAATTTATTCGGAGTCGATGAATGTTTCGCTTTTCCGACATGCAATCAAAAGTCGTGACATAGTGGTGGATTGCGGTTCAGCGTTCGTATCGCGGGTGATGTTTGGGGTTTCTGGTTGTCTGCCATCTTGAAAATGTAGCCCAGAGCATATCAACGTCCATATACCACCGGTGGCGACCCGTTCTAATCCATTTTACATCGGTCCTACTTTACGTAGACGAGAGAGGCTGCTGGATGATTGTTTCTGACATTACTTGAGTAGGACACTCCAATTGCGCTCTCGTCTAATCTGTTGTTGCCTCGTGCTCACATGAGCCCAGCCTTCGTTGCGGACATAATGCAGAGGATCAGATCAGTCCGCTGGATTTCCTCTCAGGTGTCCAATTCCCACTCATCACATCATCTCTCGTGTCTCCATTCTTCCCTCCGATGTAACGTCTAGTCCACATCATTGTCCGCAGTAGTGGCCGTCGGCGCCGTAGCAGGCGCTTGCTTAGGATAAAACTCCAATTTCCCACCCTCCTTCAGCACTCCCGTACGATCATACATGCTTCTGGCTCTCAAGAAAGGATCGAGTTTCCAGTAGTTCTCGGCCAACTTCCTACTCAGCTCCGTCCTATCCTTTCCATCATCCCCTCCATACATCCAAGCGCTCGTAGCCTTTTCGTACTGGTCCGCCAAGTCCTTCCTCTCTTCTAGATACTTGTCCCTTGTCTGCGTATCTTGCATAGCATTGTCTTCTCCCTCCCGGGGCTCTGGGTATGAATATGTCCAGTCCTCATCACCGCCTAGTTCCTTCATGACATGTGATCGTGGAATCCATTCCTCCAGATCCGAGACGTTTGAAGCAAAGTGGACCTTCGATGCCACCACGGGATCGAGCCAGCCTTTGATGATTTTCCAGATGCCTTGAAATATCCAGGGAGATTTATAGACGACGACGCTACCCAGCGATTCGGGGTAGTTTGCTTCGAAACATTTGATCATGAACTTGACAGGAGTGTAGTCCATGTTGGCCATGGAGAAGTCCGTCATATCGAAGACGATGGTCTGATTGAATTACGTCAGTTGTGGTAGCGAGGAGAGGACGAAGGGCAAGGACATACCGCGGTGTCAACAGGGGGTCTCAGCATCATCCTCGCAGTCTCTATAGTGTGTACGGTGAAGCGCTCCAGACTCTTCTCACTCTGCTCGCCCTGTCTATGCAATCTCACCCGCACATAACAGCAAGGTCTCCCGGCTTTGTCCACGCCATGCAAGAAGCTCTTTCCCATCCTCAGCTGCGCCATAAAATCATCACCCTCCTTCTTTTCGGCAGCATTAGAACTTTGACTTTCCCGAAAAGCATGTCCCTCTCCACGAAGCATGATATCATCGTCCACGTGCTGCTCTACCAATCGCCAATGCATAGTTGAGATGAGCATTACCAGCGCATTCTGAACATCCCATTTTCGTGCTCGCAGGAAGCGCAGGAGCAAAGCATCGGGATCGTCATGTTTGGAGAAGGTCCACAGAGCATCGCGTATCTGTTCAGGGCTCAGGGAAGCCAGGGCCTGCTCATACTCTTTCGTTTGGCCGTGCTTGTCGTTGGTCACACCGTTAGTGTCTTCTGACTTGTCCTTCTTGCTGCGACCCAGGCCGAAGCGCGATTTCCTTTTGTTGGGGGTGTCGCCGCCTGATGAGTCGGGTCTGATGTCGGAGGATGCTCGAGAGCGAGTCCCGCCGTTGGTCGCGTGATCGATTCCTGCAACGTCGGAGAGAGCAATCCACATCTCCTTCAGCTTGCTCTCTTGCTCCGGTGTCAGGTTACCGGGTCGTCCGGGAGCATTGCCGTATGGAGCCGCCATCTCTTCTGTCGCTCCCTTTCGATCGAGAAGTGGCGGCGCGCCGGTCTCCTCGTCTTCTGTAGGCTGTTGTTGGCGGTATTGGATGCTGTAGTATGCGACTCCAATTGACACCGCTCCGGCGACGACGAGGCTGGTAACACTGACGCCACTCCGCGCAGGCTGGATGAGTCTTCGCTGGCACACGGATCGCTGAACAGGGCCGGATGGCGGGGCTAATGCGACGCGGGAGACGGCTGGAGAAGGAATGCGATTTCTGCGGCAGCTGGTGCGAAGAAGGCAAAGAATAGAAGTAGGAGTGCGAGCGGTAGAGGACATCAAGAGACGGCGGCAGGGGATGGAAAAGGGAGCCGTGGGAAGAGGCTGACAATGCCATAGAACGAATAAACTGCTGGTAGCTGCCTCCTCTCCTGCCTACACTAACTGAGGGACCAGGAGCGATGACGACGATGCATTATTACCTACCTAGTCTCGGTATTGCCAATACGAGCGCCTACGAGCGCCAAGTCGTCAACAGAGACCGCCCAACAACACAACGCGTCTGCTGGGGACGCGACCGTCTACCAACACCACTCTCCACCGCCACCGGATCACCACCACCACCCCCATGGCGACAACCACTACCCCCGCCACTTCTCACCCGCCCCAGACCTCCGCCTCGCACTCCCGCACCCACTCCGGCGCAATCCCCTCGCGCCCGACAACCCCCCTCCGTCCCCCATCCCGCTCTTCCCTTCGCGCCTCGCAGTCCACTCCCTCAGGCTCCGCCAATGTCAGACCAGGCGACCACCCTCTCTCTTCCCTCGAACCTTCCTTCAGCGAACTCTCCGACAGCATGGCCGACCTCGAAGCAAACATGATGCATCTCCAACTGCTCAACGACAGTTTGTCCCGCTTTTCCGAGAACTTTGGCGCTTTCCTCTATGGTATGAACATGACTGCTTTCTGCGTCGACTTCCCAGAGGCGCCACTGAAGGAGAGTTATGCTAGACATAAGGATACGCAGGGGAGAGATCAGATGGAGGATAGTCCATTCAGAGGGTATGAAGGATATGGAGGACAGGGGAGAGGGAGGGAAGGTGATATGGAAGCGACGTTCATGACAAGTGATACGTCTGGGTTTGTGGAGAATCCTGAGCCGAGCACGGTGAAGAAGAGTGGTGGCAGTAGTAAGTTTAGTGAAGTGCCGGGGAGTCTGAGCACACCAGGGAAATTTGCTGGGAGAGGGAGAGGCGGTGTGGGTACTGGGAGGGGAGGGGCTGGCACCAGAGGAAATGCTACTGCTACGGCTGGTAGAGGACGAGGAAGCGGCATTGCGAGGGGGTCCAGCACCGCAAGAGGCAGCACGAGAGGCACGGGCATTGCCAGAGGTATTGCAAGAGGGAGGGGCGTGCGGTGAAGGCTCAAATCAAAGGAGACTTAGCTTTCGTATGACTTCTGCTGAGAACTGGACGACATGCAGACTGGGACGCCATCAGGGCAAACACGCGGCAAACCAGCGACCCTATGCTACGAAACACGGATCGACAAGTTCCCTGTTAGAGATTTATGCATATTCCGCATGCCAATACGGAAGTCGATCAAACAAACAGAAGGAAGGCCGCAACCTCAAGATGTTCCGCCAGATGCACAACTCCTACTAGCTGCCGATATGAAACGATGATTTCTCCCACATCTGCCTCCTCGGACAGAAATCCAGAAACCACCGCATCAGATCTCTCGGTTCTGCTCGCGTTTGTGTACTGGAAAGGTCGTAATTCGCCTCCCCGTAATTCAAGCCCGTGTTTTGCCCTTGGAGGAGTTGCACGACTCGTGCCGTAGGTGTGTGTCTGTTGTAGCATGGAACCTCGAAGCCCGCTATTCGGGCTCGATCCCCACTTTAAGGATCAGGAGTCAGGTACGCCCAACTGTCGAGTTTGCTCTGATCGATGAGTAGTCTGTGGATGCGGAGCGTACAGAAAGAAAGACCTAGAACACCAGTGGGAGACGTACGATGATGCCGTCTTAACTCTTGGAAGGATTGATACTCGAAATGGCAGAACGAATAGTAAGGTATCTGACGCACATGGGGAGCTATTACGGATATTGCACAGGGGAGGGAGGGAGGGTGAGTTGATTGATATCACGTGGAATGGGCGATGCGCGTTGAGCAAAGAGCAGACATGACGACTTTTTTTTCAATCATCAGCTTTTGGAGGTAGGTACATACCAGTAGCGACGGGAAGCTTTTGTTACACTTGATGATGACCTACGACACCGAACTAGGCCATTAATGTCTACAATTATACCCCATGGCCTCTCTCCTCCTCTGAGCAACACTCATCGTCGTTCTCCTTGGCAACAAATCCTCGCCACTCAAATCTTTCTGCTCCTCATCCGCAATAATCTCCTCCTCATCATGCACAACATTCCTCCTCATCTTCCTCACAGTCTGCTTCTCCGCAATAGCATCCAGCCACTTCGCTAATCGATATCCGGCCTTTGCAACCTGCAATTGAATCGTATCAATCACACCATCATAGTAGGTCGGATACAAATCCGCACTACTGGTCAGAGCTGAAGCTCCGTCGGGCATGACTTTGGAGCAAACAAACGTATTCGCATCCGTAGCCCATTCGAGCGCTGTGCCTTTGGCGTCTTCGATATCGAGACCAGAAATCCAGGAAGCCTTTTGTGATTCGTAGTTGCCGGAGTCGATTTCGGTGATGAGATCGTTGGCCCAGGACTGTGCGTCGGAGAGGGAGTAGCCTCCGCGGAGTTTTTCGGGCATGTTGCTGTCCCAGATGTGGTGGAGGTTCTTGCGGTGTGAAAAGGGTACGTTAGTTTGGAGTTTCATTGAATGAGTGGGGAGCAGGATGGGGCGAGGCATTACAGTATTCGTGTCGTCGAAAGTGACGTCTACGTCGTTGCCGCCGACTTCGTAGGCTTCATCGTGGAGAGGCTGGGTGATGTCGCCGATGAAGTGGACGAGAAATCGGAGAGCATAGTTTACTTCTTGGTCGGAAAGGGAGCTCGATTGTACTCTTGTTGTGTAATTTGCAATGGCGCTGACCGAGCAGCCTTTAGTTCCGCAGTCTCGATCATAGTCTACACTGCAGCTCGATGGTCTGGTGCATATTAGGTTAAGGAGAGAGACTCGCAGCATCGATGTGGGATCTCTTACGGGTTATCCTCAGCGTCAATGTAGTGGAAAGGCGAAGAGAAGGCACCCGCTGTAGTATAGCGATAGCTGTCTGCCCATGTCGCTACATTGGCAAGATAGGAAGTTGACGTATCGTCCAGGATACCTTGTGCCCACTGCTCGGTGTGGTCGGTGACATAGTGCGAGGCGATATAAGCCACGGTTTCATGACCTAGAGAACCCCAGGCATAGCTTGTAGGTATACTCGAAAGAGCAATTAGTAACACTGAAGAAGCCATAGCCGAAGATGAGTATCAAGATCGTAGGATCAGCCTGCATATAGAAGGCTTATATACTGGCACTGCACCGGCTCGAGGTGAAACGCGAAGCACAATCTCGGGTGCTTGCACATGTATAGCTTGCTTCTTAGTGACAAGAACGCTGTTGGTGTGCGATAAACCACGTACTCCCGACGAAGTCGGCGTAGAAGACCGGATTCGGAAGGTAGCTTGCGATTTGATGCAATTGATCGACATCGTGAAGCCAGCCGCCAAGCCAATCATAGCGTCCAGCATCGAAAGCGCTCAGAAGCTCGGTTGCGTGCACGCTTTGTGAGAGCTGATAGGACGATATAACAACTGTGTCCCGTAAGTTCTCATCCAATGCAAACTGATCGTCCAGCCACGCATCGGAGGCTGCTTGTTGAAGCTTAGCATTAGCTTGATGCTGAGGGCCGCATGTGACGAGTTATGCTGGAGTTACCTCCTAGGCTGCTTGCTCTGCCACTGAGGTCCAAAGCAATCAATATATTGTAGATATTGTTAGGAGGCCACCTACGCTCAAAGGTGTGTCTCAAGAGTTATGAGACACCTGAGTGATCGCAACACAGTAAGCTCTTCTACAGCTAGCGCTTTGCATTGAGAACATACTCACGCGAAGCTCAGGGCAATCACACCGTGAAGCGAAACAGAGCCGGCCATATTAGATAGCTTGTTCAGGAAGCAGGACAGCGCCATCATCGGGCCATTTGAAGACGTTGCCTAGAAGTCCTCGCTTCTCGATTCAATGTCCCCTATGCACTTTGCCCAGCTTTTTGCATTATCTTGATCCTTATCCTTCAGAGATAAGGTCCAGCACACGGTATCTATCCAGATCTCGCTGAATAGCACTCCACTCTTCTGTCGTGGAAGAACATCCGAAGTTCTACATCAGGCGCTTGCACGACCCCTGATTGCGGGCCTCAGGCACGCATATTTCGAAAGCGCCAGGCTAAGGTACAGGTATATAGCGTATACGTCCGTACGAGCCTTAGGACAAAAGGATAGTCGGGTCAGGTCGAGTGCATCTATAGATATCTAGGAAACTACTAACAGCTCGACACTCGATAAGCCGTACAATCCGTAGTCCGTAAGCCTCTCTAAGAATAGGACTGTCGATAAGCGTCTCGTTTGTAGTACCGTAATAGTTGTCTGTCGAGTACCTGAGTCTACGGAGGTGTATATTAGTAAGCGTATCGAAGATGTCGCGACTTTGGGCAAGTCACTCTGTCAATGATACTCTAATCCCGTCGGCCCGAGCCACCACTAGCGCGCTTGGCGCAAATTTCGAAGGTCTTATAATTTTCTCTCTTCGCCAAACTTCTGTTTCCTTTTCCTCATCTATCAGTAGGTAACTACATGTTACTAATCATGGCTTCGCTACGGCGACTTGCTGAGGGTTGTCTGTCTTCAATGGACCTTCCTCCGTTCCCGGCCCTGTAGATTGAAGGCGTCCGTCTTTCCTACCAATCGCGAGGAGTCCTCATTTCTCTTTGGATCGGGGTTGTGGGATGGCCGCTACATCTTTTTTCACACATACTCTATACATGAAGAGGTGTTGAACAAGGGCTTTGTGTGTCTTGCCTCTGTGCTTGTCGCTGTCGCATGAAGGTGACATGCTCTCGCCGTCTCGATCTCGACAGATTCCCGGCGCTTCCGCAGGATCTTATCGGAGTTTTCTACCTGGTCTCCAGAGCATCTTGATGTGCCCCGGGCATTATCATGCAACATATCTACGTATGTGGATAGAGAAACGTCTGTCTGGGTGTTTCATTATTTCTCTCGTGCTGCTTCTATAGTACATCGTCCTCACGTGGTTACGTGAAGCATCCCCGCCGTTCTCATTCTCTATCATTCCTCCAAAATTCGCAAAACGAGGGCCGCATAGCACTGGTCGTATAGCATACTTTCAAGTGGTCCTGGCGGTCTCTCCAGTCATCTTCGGGTAGTCTGGCAGAGGAAATGATGGTGCTTTGGGAGTAATCCACTTCCATATGCCAGACCACGCAACCATTTTGAAGCTCGTCCTCAGAGCCCATATACCCCACTCACTCCGTGGATTTGCCAATCTTGGCGAATTGCCATTCAAGGATATCGTCTGCTGGGTATCGACAAATGTTCTGATTCTGGCTTCATATGCTTCAAAGGCTGCAACTGGATCTTGGGGATTTTCCGAAAGCTCTCCCGCGATCACATATGCTCCGAGGACCGATAGGATGACACCTTGTCCAGTCACCGCTGAAGGTGCATAAGCCGCATCGCCAATGAGTGCCACTCGATCCTGCGACCATTTTTCCAGCTTGATCTGTGAGAGTGAGTCGTAGTAGAAGTTGTCGCTTTCCAGCATACCCTTCACCGCTCTGGGTCCCAGACCTCCTACACCTTCAAATTCCTCTGCAATGGCCTTTTTCTGCGAGGCTTTATCGGCACGACACATTGCTGCGAGCTTATCCGACTTTTCCATGACTGACAAGTACGCCGAGGATACATCTTGGTTATGGGGCCGGATCAATATGATTCTGCCTCCAGTGGCGTTTTGCCAGCGAGAATTCGGACTATCGCCGTCCTCGCGTGGCAAGGAGAAATAAGCGCAGTAGTGATCGCGAGCTCTGAATGCGTTGGCCTTTGTTTTCTCGTCAAAAGCAAGATCTCGAGTCTTGGATCGCAGGCCATCTGCTCCGATCACAGCATCAAACGTGGCGTGCTCGCCATTGTCAAAGGTGACAGCGACATGTGTTGGCGTTTGCGTGAGCTCTACCACCTTGGTTCCATATCGAAACTCAACCAGATCACACGCATCAACCGCTCGACACAGGACCTCGCACAAATCTCCTCGCATAATCTCGATTTCTTGCGTGAGTCCTCCAGCGATGGCAGCAACCGGCTTACCGTCATCGTCCGTGAATGCGAAGCCGCCTTCGCCCGTCGCTCTGGCTTTCATTTGCTCGAGCAGGCCCATCCGGTCGATAATCTCGCGCGCTGGTCCTTCGATATCGATGCCTTGTCCGCTCTTGAGTAGAGATGAGGCGCGTTCGATGACAGTTGCTCGGTGGCCAGCTTTTGCCAGCCAGTAGGCTGCAACTGGACCAGCGATGCCACCACCAATGATGAGGATGTTGAGAGGTGCCATGATGAAGATGCTTACCTTTACTTACAGACCAAGTTCAGCTCTAGAGATGTACTATTATAGGTATGTAGGCAGGTACAGGTATCATTGTATAGTCAGCTACGGCCACAACTCGCCGTACTGGAAAGTTTGAAGTTACTGGGCATAGGCTCACAAACCGGGCCCTTTTACCCATATCACAAGCGCCTCTGACGTGTACGAAAGTATGCCTTGCCCGTACCGGCGTTATCATAGTGCGGAATGAGAGAATGAAAGAAAGGAAATATGTGAAACGAGATCAAGTGAAACGCCTTGCGGCCTCTGGGAGAAGCCCCATCGCTGGCTTAGGAACATGATGCGGCGCAATACGGTATGGCCCCAGGCATACATACCTACCTTTAGAGAGCTGAATAATGTTGAACTTTCTGGTCAGTTGTCACAGACGACCACACTGAGGGCCGAGGCATGGTGAACTATATTGGAGGCATCAACCTTTCGGGTTTGGGAGTTTGTGGGAGTGAACCAGATATCAACCAATCAAATCAAGGCCACGCTAGCAGATGTCAGCCTTGGCGGCTGGGCTGGCTGAGGTGAACCGTCAGAGGTCAGGGCAGGGGTCAGGTATACCTAGGTACCTTACATGTACCTCAATGTTCTCTCTCTCTCTCTCACACCAGGTATCGGTGATCCCTTTCCCCCTCTTCGGCGATTCGTTTCAATTGAGTCCAGAACAATGCTCATGTTCTTTGTGGAATCATCATGCTGCATATGACCCAGGGCGGCAATAGTTCTAGGTCTGGGTAGGAGGTACAGCAAGGACTTTTGTGACATCCCAATCTCAGTCTGTGCCACAGCGTCTTGGCATCTGCGCAGGCAAGGCCTCTGACATTCCGGTAGGTGGGTATACTTTGATCTCATCATCAATCTTGCGTACATGTATCCTGACAACACAGTCATATCATGCTAGCCGCTGAACACATGTAGTAGCGCCACTGTCGTGGCGAGAGATCTCTTTTCACAACAACAAGCCGCCGCGAACAGCATCATCATCACCAACAGCAGCAACATGCCCCGAAACAAACTCCGTCTCCAAGTAGCTCTCTACGCTCGACCCAAGCATCCCGATTCCTACCACTACGCACTCTTCATCTCACCCAAGGACTTTGCAAGAGAATCCACATCAACAAAACCAACAACAGCAACAACAAAACATCACGTCAAAAATACCTTACAAGTCGACGAAACCACAGGAGCAGCAACCACGCCGTGGCGTTACGAGAAAGCAGTCCTGACCCACGGCGTAGAATCCGAGCCAAGATTACTCGTGCGAATTCTGATAGCAAAATTATCCATGTCTCGCGAACAAGTCGAAGAGATTTTGCAAAGCGTGCCGATTTATCAGGTCGATGACGATCATAAATCCAAGGATACATGTAATGACGATAGGAAAGAACCACCAAAGAAATTGTTTAATTGTGTAACCTGGGTCCGAGATGCGTGCGAGGCACTGCAGACGCAAGGCGCCATCGCGGGGAGGAAGCTTGAAGGATGGGATGAGATTGAACGAAAATCTGTGGCGTACGTGAATCAGAAGAGGGCGCAATCGCGATGGGATGGGAGTTGGAAGGGGGGTAGTAGGGGAGTGCCTTTGATGGATTTGAATGGAGGGCAGGAGATTGTGGAGTAAGATTTAGTAGTAAGTCGGATGCTGGGCTTGGGCGACGAGTAGAGCGATATGTGCTGCCTGCCAGTCAATGATGGCTGTAGTCTCTGTCGGATCGTCATGGTCGACGAAGATGTGCGCCGTCGACTCGCCCGTTATCGCTCCTCGTTCCAGAGCTAGCGTCCAGACGAGCAACTGTAAAGTAATCCAGAGTCACGAGGGCAGGTCCACATGAAGCGACGGAGCACTTGAAGACATTGTTGATTCGAGAAAACCTCATCAAGGATGATCGCACTCTCGAACGGTTCTTAAAGACCACTTACATCCACGAGGTTTCGGTCGCCAGGCAAGACGATGGGGGTTTCAATGACGAAGGGACGAACAATGCAAACGACATGTCTCGAAACTTGCGTTGAGCAGATCCATCAGCACACAAACATCCCTGAGGAAAATCCGGGTGTAACCCTTCCAAATCGCCTCGCCATGAATTGCGATGCCAAATGCCAGCGGAAGTAGAGTGGTACACATACGCATCGAAGAGGTGTCTTCCTCTAACCGGACCTAACGCGGAACGCTTAGCGGCTTAGGTCGTGAAGAGCTGTACCAGTCAGTGTACGGTGCACCTACCGAACGACTTTAGCCCGCTCTGATATTCACATGCACTACCTTACTTTATCTAGGTAGCCTACCTTACCTAGGTAATCTCCTAAAGTACCTTATACCGCAACAGCCGCTATAGCCCATACGGAAATGGAAAAAGGTAGAGTGTAGCGTCTCATACAATAGAGATATACCTGGTTATAACTCTGAGAAGGTTTCAGCATGCGGTACGGTGCGCAAAGAGTCTTCTTGCCAGGTACTGTACGGAGCCATCATGCAGACTTACCAGCATCTCATCATGACCCAATCAATCATCGTTGTACGAGAGCGTACATTCTCCATGCTACAAATAGGTTATGTAGATAGTAAGCAATCAGAGAAGTGAACATCTTCGACGAACCATGACCTCGCGACAGATTACATGTGTACTCTGCTGTCTATGCAGGCTCCCTTCCAGAAATCGAGCAGACACTTTTAAACAGGCACACTCATCAGATTCAAAACGCTTCTCATGAGCAATCACGCTAAAGCTGAAATCATCATATCCTGCGCATCTCAATCCTCTAAAGCAGGCACAAACCGTTCCACAAAGTCACAAATATCTCTTAAGACGGGCCCACTCAGACTGTGTCCCAACCCCTCATATTCCTTCACCACCAGATCACTCTCGTGCATTCCCAACTCTCCCAATCTCGTCAAGGTCTGCTTCCATACTCTTCCCGGTATCATCTGATCCTTCGTGCCCCTCGCCAACATGACCGGAACATTCCCATGCACAGGCGGTAAACTCTTTGCAGCTCTCATATCTTCCAGGACCCTCCCGTTACTCAATGGCAGATAGCCCATCAACCCAACAATCCCACCTAATCTGCCCGCATATTTGCTCGAAGTCAGATCTGTCAAGAGAGCCATGGCGCATCCTTGCGAAAAGCCCCCAAGGATGATGCGCTGAGGTGGGATGCCCTTAGATGTGCACGCGTCGATGAGCGATTCGAGGTACGCTACGGTTTTTTTCATGCCTTCCGCATCTTCCTCTGGCGCGAGCTCGGGACGGTCCGGCGGAAAGGAGGAGAAGGAGGAGGGATTGTACCAGGCTGTGGTCATTGCTTCGCGCGACTCCATAGCGTTGGGGATGATCCAGTGGAGGTAGGGGAGTTTATGGGCGGATTGGAATTGCTGGGCAACGGCTGTACAGATTCACGTCAGCGACCCCGACAAGCAGAAGTTAGTGGAGGCAAAGCAGTAGGCTGCACATACCTTCGAGACCTTCGGCGCTGTCTCCTAGACCGTGGACGAGGATGAAAGCTGCGCCATGGGCTGGATCTGAAGTTGGCTTCTCTGCCGGTACGTAGATGGGGTCTTTACGTTTGGGTTCGGAGGGCAGTGTCATGCGACGCTTCATTGGGGCGGCCATCTGGTCCACCTTGGGGGTTGGGTTATGGCTGAGGGTGGTCATTGTGAGAGATGGGGAGAAGAGGTCGAATTGAAGTATAGGTAGTAGTGGTAGCAGAGGCAAATAGCAAGCAGTGCAACGTAGGGCTAGGAAGAGGTAAGATCGGCTTGCAGAGGGAGGGCAAACTGGGACAGCAGAGGGAGAAGAGGTAGATGGAGGGTACAGGTAGATGTCAGATGCGATCGGGAGCGGTATATGTACTTATCTGTCATTGTGCTCACACTGTCCACCAGCCTCCGCCAGCAGGACAGGACAGGACAGGACAGGGCAGGGCAGCTCCATTACTCGTAGCTGAGAGGCAGTGTACCTCCTACCTCCGTAGTCCAAGTCCAGTAGTCTCCGCACGACCGCCGGCTTGTCAACTGTCGTACTGGGTACCAACCTCTCAGGTAACTCAATAGTGTAGCTAGGAGAAGCTATTGGCGCAGGTGGGGCATCGTGAAGTCGAAGAGGAGGGAAAGAGGAGTTCCACCTCGGAGAGAACAGGAACGCTTCTGACGTCGAACTCTCATATCGTGACCCGTTTATCCGCGCTAGGAGCGGCGAAACCTATTCTCCCGCGGACGAGTCCCTCACTCAACGCGCATTCTTGACTTCATCGCTTCGCCTGGCCACGCGCTGACACTTCGGTCCTGTTCCACCTCTGACGTTGCGTTGATTACCTTACATATACTATCGTCCTCTCTGCTCTGTCAGCAACTCACTCCGGAAGAAAGCGAGACCGGGCGGGCCATGGCAGCGCCAGGAATCGGACTACGCTTTCGAACGCCATACATCGAGGAACTTCCCACCGGCCAGCAGCGACAAGCCCCCGGTTTCGCATGGGTGGCAGTAGCTGGTCCTGTCGCTGATCCGGCCAAGAACTGGGGCACCGTGAACAAGAAGCGAGCCAGAGGCGCGGGGACTGCGCAGACAGATGTGCAGAAGGAAGCATTGAACGCGAAGCAGCAGCGACAGGTGGAGAAGAAGATACGAGAACTGAACGCCGACACGGTCCGGGATGTGCAAATACCGATACCGAAAGATGGAAAAGGGGGAGGTGGTGGTGGTGGTGGTGCATTCCGATTAGGAAAGACACCCAAGACGAAGAAGATTTTGGGAAGTGGAAAGACGTTCGCTCATTATTTGGAGGACGAAGAGGCGGAAATTGCGTTGAAAGGGAGAAGAGACTTGGATAACCCTCCAGGCCCGAAACCGGATTCTCAACGTGCGAGTAAGACTCCCCTTGCGAGACGGAAGCCTCCGATGCTGGTGAAGGAAGAGAGTAGTATGAGTAACAGTCCTGCTCCGAATGCACCACCCATTCCTTCGATCGTCGCACCGCCAATGCCGATGGATCTGGATGAGCATGACGGTGAAAATGACTCGGCTATGGATCCTCTTCCCACACAAGCTGAAATGGAAGCTCTGTTGAATGCCCCGCCTCTGACTTACAATCAAGCACGCTCGGCGCCTCCACCAGCGAGCGCTCCTCCTCCCCGCCAGTTCTGCGAAACGTGTGGGTACTGGGGAAGAGTCAAGTGTATGAAGTGTGGCAATATGACTTGTAGCGTGGTCTGCAAGGATACCCATGATGAGCACAAGTGCCTCAAGTTCTATGCATAGGATGCTAGATCGGCGAGGCGCGTGCACTAATTGAATTGATCATTGAGAGGACACTGGGACCGGAATGAACGGGCAGTTTGTGCATTTGAGATACCCATCGCGAGTTCGTACTTAAGAAGAACAGACTCCATGTTAGGACACGTCTGCGAACTACTTCGATTCTTACAAGGACTGTTTGGGATTGCTGGCGATTTCTATGCATATCTTCCTGGCCACAAAGGATGACACATGGAGTCGTCGAGGTGCTGCGCTGCTCACAGAAGCACTTGCCCTAGCCTGGTTCGGACAAAGATAGCGTCGTGTCGTCAGACTGCTTCCTCTCCCCCTTGCATGGCATGTTTAGTGAGCTTCTCACGCGCCCATTGCTCGCAAGGATGCCGATGACTTGCTCGTTGGTGTGCCTGGAACTTATACTAGATTCTAAGTCCAAACTCTGCCTTCCAATTTCTTGCCGCGGTGGAATAGCAGGATTCGCCATCTTCGTGTTGGTGGTACCAGCATGGATTCTTGGCTAAGCCGCTACCGCCGTTGTCAGGCTTTAGCAGTTTCAACGCCAGGCTTTTCAGAAAGTCATTCGGCAATATATCGTCGCATATCTGCTCGAGGAAGTCCTCGTGACGCCTGAAAACGTCGAGCATGATATTTCGGAAACCAGAGCATTCCGGGGTCGCATCGTAGACGGTCTGGATCGGAAGTGCGTGGCACAAGAGCTGATTTGCAACCTTTTCTCCTCCTTCCTCCGCTGTTGCCGCAAAGAATACCATCGTATCCATTACGGAATGTTTAAACGCACTATCCATGAGCTGCTGGCCAAGAGCCGCTGCCTCTGCCAGTATTTCCCAGTCGGCTTGGTCTGGGACGCTGGTTTCATTCTTCACAGCTCCAGCGCCTGCATGAGCTACTCTGTTCAGGTCTCTCCCTTTGTGCACAACTTTACCAGAGTACGCCCAATTAGCGTAGAGCATGAATGCATGCTGGGAGACGTGAGGGAGATCAACAGTCGCTTCGCCTTTGGACCATACCCGCCTCGCTTTGGCTTTGAAGAATTCGGAACTCGCGCAGAGGACGCTTTTATGCACATAGATCTTCGTTGCATTGGGACCTTGATCGACATTGACGGGAATGATGGAATCGTCCGTGGTGATGAAGTGCGCATGCTCCCCTCTGGGCAGGGTTGGCGCTGGCTGCGCTCGAAGTCCTACGTCAGCACGTCTCTGCGACATGTGCACTCCGCGCAATCTTGTCTGCCTCCGAAAGCTCGCCGCGCCGTTGTGCTCAGACGGCAGTGCAAGATTGGCCATCTTACTTACTGACGACCTGCACCTCATCTCTTCGTCAAGATTGTCTTCCGTAGGTAGATGCTGACTTGTACCCTTGATCTGACTCGAGAAGTGACGGATGTCTGTTGAGCTGTGCTGATGTCGGAAACTCCAAAGTTGGTGGGAGGGACGAAGCGAGAGCAACATATGAGATATATATCTGGACTCCGGAGCGGCACGGGTCACTTCATCGGAACAACCACAGAATGGAAGCAGTGCGAACCATGGAACCCACTGGCGATGACTCCCATGAGAGATTTGTTCAGTCCTCTGGAACGAGACATGCCTACGAATCAGAAGACCAACCACTCCATGTCTACCTTAGGATCAGATCAGGTACTCCAGTTGCCTCAACTGCTTGCCGACCATCCAAAAAAAACCCCCACCTCGAAGAGCCAGTGCGCGAGTCTCACAGTGACACTTGCACAGAGACAAGCATCCAGCATGACACCGGCCGGATTTCTTCGAATGTACATTTATATGTACTCCTGCCCTCATATGATATTGACGACAGAGTAAGTACATGTACGTAGTCATTTCTCGTCTCGAACACGGTGTATCCAGTAAAAAGTGCCTCACTCACCCAGAGTGTACCTAAGGTAAGCTTTTTGCGCGAGAGAGTCCCTACCTTAGGTAAGGCAGTACCTTATTCCATGATGTATTTCCGCTGAAAAAAAAATCAGGTAGGTACCATAGATCGGCCGCACCTGAATTTTTCTTTTCCTTTTCCTTTTTCATTTCTTTTTCTTTCCTTTTCTTTTCTTTTTTTTTCTTTTTTTTTCCTCTCTGCCCCCTTTACTGATGCTCGTTCGTTCGTTTCCTTTCATTCATGCAAGCGAGCTCTGGGGCTTCGATAAGTGCCACGGCCTTTCGGTGAGGGGCGGAGGGGAGAAAGTAAGGTAACGCGCGGTAAACTCGAAGTTGCCACCTACGGTACCTTACCTCCTACCTACCTGTACTTACTTCAACTCTCTACGTGCGCTCCCATGACTTCGGATCTCTACCAAGGTACCTACAGGTAGGTAGGCACTTCCGGGAAAATTCGCTTTTTTGTCTTTTTTCTCCTGAAGTAACATGTAATCAAGTGTGTACATGTATGTACCTTTGATTTCATAGCTGCATATTATGATATTGCGCTATAGTTATTATAGTAGCGCCGTGCTCTAGCAGCACTGCCTGCTCTTGTCATTATTTAATTTTCTTGTGCAGGTTGTTCCTCCTACTCCCAAACATGGAAGGTAGGTATATACCTACAGAGCGGATCGGTGCATAGAGATCCCCCACCTCCTACCTAGATCATGTAGTTCCAATTCCAGCATCTATCCAAAATCCAGCCCATGGGGAGCTCCCCTGGGAGGGAATTTGCCTGTTGGTGTCACATAGATTTACCATCTTTCAAGCTCCAAGCTCCTGGTGCCGCAATTTAGATGATCGCCTTGGCTCTCTGTACGTATACCCTCGTCGGTGGGGCTTTCTGGCGATGCTTGCGGGCTTGCTTGGATCGGTGTCTGATTGAGAGCATCCACGAATCGGATTGATTCTGCTCCATTCATCATCAATGGGCGGCGCCATCGACTTTCAGAGGTACCACTACGGACTTTCCCCGTGGACGACGTCGAATGGTGTACGGGGATCCGTGTGAGAAAGTGGTGGGACATCAGCTGAGGGAGATGCCAGGAGGGATTGACGACTTTTGTTGTTGCGCGCAAATGGGCCTAGACGTGGTCTTTGGATTTCGTAGCCTCGCCCAGAAAGAATTCGCGCACGCTGCACTGCGCGCTCTTATGGCTGTCTTTGCTCTTGAGCTCGTGCTCGTCATCCATGATAACCCTCTCGTCGCTTGCGTACGAGCCCGACGATGTATGCTGGCTTTTCCATTTTCCCATCTCCACTCCATACGCGTTACCCATATCCATCGATGGCCTTTGCGAGCGATAGACGTCCACGGATCGCGATACCGTAATCGTACCATCGCCTTCGATGACGTTATGTGACGGTTTCTTCGAAAAGGATAGATATCTACTGCCGGACCCACGAGATGGCTTGTCCATGGACAGCCTACTGCGAGATCCGTCCGCACTGGATCGGATCCATTTGGTCGTACTGAATAAGGGCTTGATGCCTGGAACGCAAGCAACAAAGGTACCAACCTAGTTGGAACGAGTCCCAAGGTCAGTAAGTCGTTCTTATCACCGCGTGATTAAGAGGAGGAAGGAATCCTTCGGACTCTTTCACTGCACTTACAAAAGTCTCCCGGCTGGCCCACCCTAGCGCGATTGCTAAAGTGTCGAGCGACGTTAAAGAGTAGTATGCCCGCAATATCGTCGCAATGATACAAAAGATGCCCATGGAGAAGAGAAGAATCAAGGCAACTTTTCGAGAGGGATGAACCTTGACTTTGAACAGCAGAGGCTGGCAACATCACCAATGTCAGTGGGAACTTCCAATCACGCCTTGTGGTCATGCTTTGTCCGGGTACTAACCATGGGAACGGCTATGATGGCTAGGTCACTCAGACCGTTGAGCACAGCAATGACGATGTAACTGCGGAACGATCAGCTTCTGTGCATACCAGAATGCAGAAGATCGATGACGGACTTGGCCGGACGCATGGTACACTTATCTATTGTGCCGTTCCGGTTAGTTGATTGCAATGCGCAGTGGATGATTGTAACGACTCACCTCCCGCATATGGCTGAATCTGCCAGCTTTTCGAAATCGGCATGCAGATGAGCGCGTGGCACAATATCGAGCCCAACCACGACAGGAAAGCGAATGCACAGACAAGCCGGACTAACAGTTCCTGCCTATCTATTCCAGTTCCAAGTTTGACGTATACCATCAGTAAGACTCCCTTCAGGCTCCATAGGAGTGTGATGTACCAGAACCATTCGATGAACCTAGACGTATGTGAGCATGTCTGCGTCAATCCTGCCACAGCCTCATTCCTGCAACAGAATCACGTACGCCAACTTGGAACCGAGCGTCAAGTCTGCAATCTTGTCGGCGGGCACTTGCATTGCCGTTTGCTCGTTCAGACCAATGTTGTTTCCATAGGTTACTAGGACATGTTTTAGTTCATGCCAAGCATTCTGCTGCATCATGCAAGAATCATACTGAGCATGTATATTCCTGCAATTCGATCGAGTGAGTATAAAACGTCCGTCACAGAGAAGTTGACGGGATGGCGTACCGGCTGCGGTGAGAGAATAGCACACCATAGCAAGACCTGCAAAGACGTCTCCCAGGTCGAACTTTTCGAATCCAAACACTCTCCATCGGGCGAAGAAGCGCAGCAAGATGAGAAGCATGCTGATGGCATACTCTACCCATACTTCGGTGAATAGAGCATCGTTGGAAGGACCGGGCATTCCCATCTCGCCGTCCCTTCTCCAGCGCGACGGTCGAACAGAGCAGTTCTCTCTCTTTCTCTCTCGCTCTCTCTCTCTCTCTCTCTCTCCTCTCTTGCTTGCTTGCGAGGTGGGGAGGTGGTAGTTCCAGGAAAAGGGTTAGATGATGGTCAGACGGAGAACCGCGCGTTCTCTTTGCGCCTGGCGGCGCGGCATAAGGACAGGAAGAGGAGTAGACCAACACGGCGGCTCTGGTGACGATCCAGCACGGAGTGGTGAGCTGAACTGCCTGAGTTCCGCCATTTCGGGGATTGTCAATCGCTGATAGCACAGATAGCGTGCGGACCAGCAGGCTAAGACCAGCAGGGGAATAGGAGGTTCCAAGCAGGCGAAAGCGCCTAGTGTGGTTGGGGGGAGGTGAGGATGAGGCCCATGAGGGAGACAGTGTGGAAAACGAGACAGGGCTCCCAGCCGAAGACCGAAGTTGAACACGGACGCACAGGGCGGAATCTCTTTTTTTTCTAAACGAGAAAGACGGGTGGCCCATCCGCTCCCGCCCGCTGTCGTTCCCGCCTCACCCTCCCGCGCTTCCCTGTACATTGTTATGCCTCTGATCTGTCTTTATGTCGAGCATAATTAAAATAGTATCAAGGACTCACCGAGCCACCAGAGTCTACCACCAGAGTCTGTACTACAAGATCAACGTCTGATGGACTGCTGCAGCGTATCGATTGGTATAGAACTAGCCCCGTCGACAAATTCGCCGGTCCAGCTTGTGAGGGGGGTGGTGTTCGCATAGCTCTGCATACTAAGGCACATATTCACTTGGCGAGTGTTGTCGTGGTTGTTTATGTACATGTATAAGGTACATGTACCTGTGCGAGCTAGGCTGTTCGCCGTCTAGTCACCGCATTCGTAAATTTCGTAGCACTTTGGACGTCCATATCAGAAAGATGTTGTCATCACTTTACGACCTCCATACATAGCTCAGCCAGATGTATGTCAGGTAGCTAGGATACGGTAGATATGGTATGCGCTCTCCCAGCGAAGATCAAACGGGGACAGGATTCTACTTCGGATCGATTCCCACTGCTGCGATGACTACCTAGATGTCGGGTCCAGGACTACCATGAGACGGAATGCTACCTACCGTAGATCCAGGGATGAGATCTCCCCAGCCCAGATCCTTCGCTATGCACGTATACGGGATGGCAACCTCGCAAACACTCGCAGCCTGCTCGGTCGTGTGACCCTTGCCATATTCAGGCGGATCGTAGAAGACGAGTCTATCACCCGATGCCTCCAGAGCTTTTCCAACCTGCGCCGTCTCATCATGGATGAACACGTCGTACGCCGCGAGAATGGTTGACATGGGGGTCATGCTGTCGCCACGTGAAGTCAGTACGAGGTTGTCAAACAGGCCCCTGACGAGAAGCATAGGTGAGGTAGGTAAAGTATAGTAAGTCACTCACCAGTCGGCGAGGCTCACAGCGCCATTCATCTCCTTCGGCATGCCCGTCGGCGAGCTCACGCATTCAGATAGAACCACATTCATCAAAATGCTCTCCTTACTCTTCAACAACGGCGCCACTTCTCTGACAAACTGTAGCAGTGCTGCAGTCGCCTGTTGTGTCCCGCAGTCCTCTCGAAGGCGTTGTTGATGCGGAAGGATGCTCCTACTCACGATAATTTTGCCTCCAGGCGGATCATTCTGCCTCATAAAATGCACAGCCTGCTGCAATACATCCCGTAGTCCCTCATACACAATTGCTGTACCCGTTGGCGAATCTGCTTGTGTCATGCACACCAGATCAATGCGTTTCCACGTTTTCCACACATGCGAAAACTGTGCAGCCGCGGACGAGGCATCGCACGGAAAAAACTGGGCATTGTGGAAGTCGTTGATCTGATGCACGAGATGTTGGCCCGCGGAGATTTCACTGTCAATGAGAGCGACTCGGTAGCCTTTGCGGTGGAGATGTTGGGAAAGCTCTCGTGTTGCGATTTCCGATGACTGGATGGAGATGGATAATCATAATGATAAGATAGGATTAGCTACATAGATATCTTGTTTGAAGGCTCTCACAGGAGAGAGTAAGGTAGTAGACGAGGAAAAGACTGACAGTATTGCCTGTTCCGATTACAATGGCGACTGGACGATCATTCGAATCGCTGTATCGACTGTTTCCATTTCCATTCCAGTATCCATTCTGATGATGGAACCCTCCATTCCGCAGCACGTCCGGAGTCTCAATTTCTCCCGCCGTCGTAAACGACCTCTCGATATCCACAAACGTCAATTGTCTGGTGAATTGCCGAGAGCTCCTCTTCTTCTTGGTTGCCAATGCCACCGCTTGGCTCTCGCTGGCGCATATATCGTCGGACATTGAATGCTGTCACACGACAAGTCACGTTGGGTCTCCACCACCACCAGCAGTCCACCCACGATCATCATCATCACCCGCAAGCGGAGAGAGGATGTATCCACTCTCCCATTCATCCTGGATCGTTGCTCCGGAGCGAACGCGTCCCTGTTTGCCTGTCGCAGTAGTTGTGGAGCTAAGGGGTATATCATACGGACGAGCCAATGTTGGCTATAGCCTATAGTTGATAGTGTGCCTAGGCGAGCACGTGGACCCATGGCATAATATCGGTAGTGCTCCACCATCGGCACTAAACTGAAAATTCTCGCTTTCGATTGTCATGAAAGACGCTATAGTCGATAATCATGATTCAAGTGTCCGACCTGGTTGATCAAGCTTGGCTGCTTGGTACAGTATATATCGTAAAGCTCGAGTCGATGATGGCCTATGGGATTCTACAGTACGTACCGCTAGGTGCTTCCCCCGTAGCGAGAGAACTTATGCAATGTAGGTTGCCGTCCCCTCTTCTCGCGTAAGGTAGCTTAGAAAATATTGTCGATATCTCCACTTGGAGGACAAATTCGCGAATAGTCCACCCAATAGGTGAACTCTCCCGGTACATTTCCGGGATTACACTTCTGAAATTGCCGGATGGGAGACAAGAAAAGAAGAAGAAGTAGAAGAGGAAAAAGTTCGACGTCTCCATCTTCTGAATGGAACGTAGGTATGTAGTCGCGAATTCGCGATACAGTTCGAAAAGTCGATACAGTTCGAAAAGTGAAGAAAAAGAAGGAATTCACTCTCTCGTACGAGAACATCGGCGCTAACAGATCATCCACTGGTAGATAATTCTCATATTTCGTCACGACGTCGCCTCGTGAGTCGTGATCATCAGATTGAAACAGATCAGATCCCATATACATTACTGTAGACGATTGGACGATACACAAAATCCCTGATCTGCCGAGCCTGGCAAGCAAGTTGGCAAATGGCAACCAGTTAAAAGTGGAGATTTAACTTCGATAACACCAAACCTTTAGCGCAAGTGAAGCGAACGCACGCAAACAATCTTTTCTCTACCCCGGCCGGATCTTGTTTCCGTAGGTTGTACAAGCGACGTCAGCGGTTGAAGGTCAGGTTTCAGTTGTTTGCAAGAAATAAAGAGAAGGGAGAGAAGAAGAACGAGAGATGTATGCATACCGAAGAGCCGAGCAAGTGCATGTATCTATCTTTGAGGAAAATCGCCGAACCGACGAAGCTACTACTATAGCAATCTGTATACATACGTGTCTCGGGTTGCTTCGCTGATCGGAATTGTTAGCCTCTCGGCACATTCACAGACACCGACCTACTACCCCGACGCAACAGGAGTACAGTATAGTCCCCCTTCTCTCTCTCTCGCTCTCAGCCAAGCCCAGAGAAAGACCATCGTCAGACAAACAGAGTCATAACAACGATCTTACAATCAATAATCAAATCCAAATCCAATCATGTCCATCAACACCCTCTTCCGCAAACTCATCGACCGCTATCAACAAGCCCGTCAGATCCACCAATCCCCCTCCTCCCACAAAGCAGACCTTCTTCGCCAACGAGATGAAGAACGTACTTCGGGAACGGGAGATGGTCTCCTTCACATCGCTCTGCAACCCGCAAATCAATCGGTGAATAGCTTTACGGCGGCGGATCCGGCAAAGTATTATCAGAAGGGGAGAGCTTGGGATAATATGTGATGATTGGGAGGAGGAAGGATGGATGGATAGATGATTGATAAGAAAGGATACGAGTACGTGGGAAAAAGAAGAAGGGAAGACAGAAAAATGGAATACGGCAGAGCAGGGGGAACATTCTAACAGGGGAAGGATTTTAACAGGGGATTGAAGTTCAACAGGGGAAAGAATTCCAGGGGAAAGAATTCCAACAGGGGAAAGAATTCTAACAGGGCGAAAAGTTCCACCAGGGGGTTGTTTTTGGAGTCAGAGAATATAACAGAGACTAAAAACAGAGAACACTGAGAGAGAGATTGAGAGATTGAGAGAGATTGAGAGACAGAGGAAAGGAGACAGAGAAAAGGAGACACAGAAAAGGAGACACAGAAAAGGAGACACAGAAAAGGAGACACAGAAAAGGAGACACAGAAACAGAGAGACAGAACAACAACAATAACAACAACAGTATACATATGAAACAGCACAAGGATAAAATACCCAGGTCCTGCTCCAGCTTGAAAAAACCTCCATTCTCCAATGAAAAAAAAAAATATGTGGAAATGGAAATACGATTGGTTCACCAAATTGGTGGGTTACGGGGTACACCGTACCTGTAAGGCAAGACAAATGCTACCTTAATCCAAGACCACCCCGAAAAGAGTAAAAACAAGAGTCGATAAATACGACGACCATACCCAGGTGACGACGAGGATACCGATGATGATGAAACGACGAGGATTTTTTCTTTTAAGGGAGATGGAAGGTTAGATGTATCATGCAACCAAGGGATGGATGGATGATGAGGAAGAGAAATTTTGGCAGTGAGAGGGATTTTGGGAAAGCCGGACAGACAGACCAAAGGCAGGTAGGTGAGGTAGTTACCTACATGTAGGAAGCAATCTTGCAACGTGATCTTTTTTTCTTTTTTGGCATAGCATAAATGACCAGAAAAATCATGTACCGATCAACCCCTTCCCATCACAACACTACACACAAATGACAGAGACCAAAAGTAGTAGTAAGTGTCATGCCGGAAAGAGTACATCGGAGCTACTTTTCCACCTCCCCTCGAGACACAGATGCACTGCGAATCGAGTCCTTTGTCCCTTACACCATTTCCCTTGCGGTTACGGTTCTTCGTGGACAAAGTGGGGGGGAATATAGCTTTTTTTCTCAATCTCTCGCGTGTAATACTGAGCTAGATCTCATTGTCCTTGAGGAAGTGCTCCACCTTGCCACGCGAGTTGCTTAAGTGGAAATTGTGAGAAGGAAAAATTTGGGGGATTCACAAGGACGGAGATGGGAAGGTGATCATGGAGAAACGCTGTGTTAGGGTATCATTGGAGAAGTCAGTACAGAGGGTATAAGTTTCAACTTCATGACTTCTTTTTTCTCTTCAGCCAAGTGCTGTTGCAAATCCGACTCGTCTGGCCGGTGCTGATGAGTGCCCACCTGCCATGCTGTCAAGTAAGCGATCCATGCCGTTGAGATCCAAATCGCCGGCATCGAGCATGTGTTGATCCCGGTCAATTACTGCTGCTGGACGCTCAGTGAGCTTTTGCTGGAAGAGATTTTTGGAAGGCTTGGGGGCTAAGCTTTGGACGATAATGGCGTGACCCTCGGTTGATATCAGCAAGTCGCGTGGAGTGTTCATCTGTCCATTTGCGGCGCTCGGTCTGCCCGGATGGAACTGCGAGATAGAAGTAATGTTCTCCATGTGCAGCTTGATATCTGTGATGTGAGTTAGGCCAGGAGAGTACAATGAGCCAAAGCCGCCACTGCCGCCATGGTTTGCAGATCGCTGGTAGAAGGACTGCAGGCTGTTGATCGAGTAGATCTCGCTGTTAAACCAGAGGACAGCACTCTCCTCTGCAGGACCTGTTCGTGCATTGTGGGCGCTAATGGAAATGCCGCCCCGTGGTGCCACGCCTGGGACCTTGGGCGCTCCTGTGAACAGCTGCTCCGCTTTCGTCCTTCTGGTGTTGGGCGTCATTGGCGCAAGCTTCGATACGCCACTTCTCTGCGTCAGTGGCTCAGCGGCCTCGGTATGGTTAGCAGTGTCAAGAAAGCCGCGAATTGCAAACTTCTCGAGCCGCTTGCCAGCAGACGGTGTCATCAGGTCCCACAGACCCCATTCCCCATCCTCCAGGAGCACGAGGATAGCATTGCCTGATAGTGCCCATTTTGCAGCCAGAACCGACTTCTGCCGCGCAAATGCAGCACCGACATTTTGTGTCTCCTTGTCTGAATGATACGGCGAGTGGAACGCCATGAGCCACTTTCCTGTAGTGCTCGATGGTGTGCTGCTGAGCACGGAGTCGCTCGAGCCAGGGCGTCTCTGATGAATGTTCGCAGCATATGGATCGTATATGCGGACAGTACCGCTAACGTCGGTGACAAGCAGCTGGGCATGTCGAGTCGAGGGATGGAAGCTGACTTTCGTGCCGACCGCAGGTAATGCCACCCGCCGCAGAAGCTTCTCGTGGGAGATGGCCAGGATAATGTCCCCCGTCACCTCAACAGACCAGACGTGGAGAGCGCGCGATACAGTTGCAACCAACAGACGCCCATCCACATCATCCTCGTGACGCGCAATCAGTGGCTGCTGCTCCGAAGGTAGGTACTTGATAGTCAGATCTGACGAAATGGGTCCTGTATCTTGCAACGTGATGATAGACTGGGCAATGTCCATGATAGCCTGGTCCTTCTCCGCATCTGAAGGTGGAGCGAGTGGTATGCTCAGCACTGCGACCTTGCCATCGGTACATGCCACCACGACAATCGCCGTCGTTTTCAACAGTCTCACGGGTATAGCTGTGGGGTTGATGATCGGTACGGCAACACGCAGAGCGGCTTTCGGCTTGTCTGCAGAGCCCAACTCGATGTCCAACGCCTGTATGATGCCGGGAAAGGGACAGTCCACATCCTGCTCCTCCTCCTCTGCCTCAAAAAGGTCTTCCTGGACCCTCTCGTGCTCTTTCGCCGTGGAGTCTATCCCGTCATCGCTAATGAGATCGATTACCTCGGAGTATGTGCCATTTGTGGGTGCCGCTGCTGTCGCACTCTCTTTGCGCCGTCTGCCGCCTCGCCACAACACGCGGAGGCCGCGTTCGTGGCCGTAGACGAGAAGTGTAGAGCCATTTGGCGCAGTGACCGGATAGACGTGGGCCGAGTGTATTCGATGCGGGAGACGGTAACTGCTCTCAGAGCTGGTCAGCGGTGTTTGCGCATCGATGAGCCTCGTCTGGGCGAGGGCGAGGGCGAGGGCGAGGGTGAGGCAGGGCGATGGTGATGGTGATGGTATGGACTGACTCTATATGGAGCTTGCGCTCTCGTTGCGTGACCCGCGGCTCCACGTCCATGTCCAGTGCAGTGCAATGCAGTGCTGTTGTCGAAGTTCTTTTTCTTCTTTCACGCCCGGGATTATTGTTGTTGTTGGTGAGGTGGGAGCTGCCTTGCCTCGCGTCTTCCGTCGCGTCCTCCTCCGCGCACCTCACTTCACCTGACCTCTTCACACTTTTCACACTTTTCACTTCAACCTCACTTCACTCTTAATTCATCCTCCACAGCCATCGCACGACCCGGAGACTGGTCGATCAAGATGCGAAAGGTCAATCTACGCGTCGATATCTGGAATGGCGGCCATCAGCTCACTGGGCCTACACACTCCCGTCGGCCTTCCATATCTGGTCACTGAAGGCATCCTCCCGCGAGACCCCAGCAGAGACCTATACCAGTGGGAGGTGTACACTTCCGATAAGGGAGATGAGGAAATCGAAGAAGAGGTCCTCGCCACGCGGCATGCCGTTGTCTGGTCGCAGGGACAGTTTGTCCGCAATGCCTACCGCTTCGACTTGGAAGGGGAAGACATCATCCAGGCCCTCCTCACTACCTTTCCCACTGGCACGAAGTCCAAGATTCAGGAACGGCACATTTCGGGGACAGATCGAACTCCTCGCAAACGGCTGAGACAGTCAGCAGAAACACGAGATCATGACAACCAGCAAGCATCGCAGCCCGTTCTGGAAAGAGCATTGGTGGTGCTTTTCAAGTCGAAAGCTCACATCTATTTCTTGCGCGGAGCGAGCCATATCGTGAATCTGCCTTTTGAAGTCGAGAAAGCTTTCCCAGCTCCTCGTGGGCTTGTACTTCAACGAAAAGCGACAGACAAACTCTTGTCGCCCCCCACACCCCAACTTCCCAGCGCACCACCAAATTCCTTCATATCCACTCAACTTCGGACATCACAGTCCTACTTACACTCTCCCACTTTGCTCTCCAACTTCGCCATCAATAGGCCGACCCATCCTAGTCCACTTGGGAAAGATACGAAGCTGGAAGCGCTCTTCCAGACCCTCGCCACTGGATCGCAAAAGGAGTCCGAGGACGATATTACAAATATCTACTCATTGAGCAGCCCGCTGTCTGATCTTGGCGTGGTCACATACTCACTTCAGCATCAGAAACCTGTCAGATTTGGCAAATCACGCACTGGCCCGAACGTGGAGTTTGAAGCTCTTGAGCCTGCTGAGAAAGTGATATATGTGTCTGCTAAAAATGAGCTCCACACACATCAAAAGCTCGGTGTGGGACCTCTGATCCTTGTGGTGACTTTCAACGCCGATGCCAACGTGGTCTCGGTGTGGCATGCCTGGTACCTCGAGGAGAAGTCACTGCGAACATTGCTGAAGCTCAGGACAGAACAAAAGGCTGCCAAAGCTCGACGACGGAGTTCTTTTCTAAGCGGAAGTGCTGCCACAGGAAGTGCAACTCCAGCTGTTCGACGCCGAGATGGTCCTCGAGAGAGTTTCGCACCTGCCAACGCTCTGCTACTGCCCGACGCCCTTGCGTCGCAAGGGGATCCATCGCGAAAAGCCACGCAAGAGGAGGAAGCGCAGATCATGGCTGCGCAAATGGACCCAGATTACAAAGATGAAGGCTCACAACAGCCTGTGCGTGAGGGCAACCGCAGAATTAGCAGCATCAATGCAGATGTCCGTACCAGCCAGACTACGGTCGGAGGTAGCTTCGCAGGCACTGCAGGACGTCGCCACACATCTTTCGGTGGTCATCAGGCAGGAAGGAGATCCTTGAGCCATCGCAAGAGCCGAGGCTCCACCCCTGGCAACGTCTTTGGTCAGAGCCTTGGTCCAGATGATGATACCATGGATTTGGACTCGACCATAGAATTCGACCCGGAAGAGAGCCTAGATGGGATTCTACGCCACATTCGCAACACGTACGAAGTTTCAGGTCTAGATACAGTTTTCGGCAGTGTCGAAGAAGGCTTTAAGCGTGATCTCGTTGTCCGCAAGATACATTCTTTCGCGGTGGGGCTGCGCACTTCGACACGTAGCGAGGCTGGTCCACCAGTCGACAACTACAGGGTTGCGACGCTGTCTGAACCTGCTTCCATCAATGGGCCGGACGACCCCAGAATTCGACTATATCTCCACGATCAACAGAGCAAAGAAGTGCAATACGTCGCGCTAAAGGTCAAGCATTGCGCACTATATCCAGGGCTAGCCGACTCACCGATGGTTGCGGTACCGTTGCTCACTGGAGAGAGCAGACTCGATTTATGCGACGATATGATTCAGGTCAACGATGGAAAACTGCAGACCATTCTGTTTGGCAGTCGAGGCGTCCAGTTCTCATTGGACGAGCAGTTACCCTGCCCTCTGCTATTCGATGGCCCTTACAGAGCTTATAACGCTCTGGAATTTGACCGTAGAGTTGATGATGAGGAGGACGTTGGTAGGAATAGAACATTTCCACCTCCTCGGCCGCCACTCTTGTTGCAGCACGTTGGAGCCCGAGGAGCCTTTGACGCGATTGGCGCCGATGGGGTGCATCACCGCAGAAGACTTCGTCTGCGCCCATTTGACCCTCATACAGATCAGCTTCTTACCTTGTGCGAGCTCATGCTTTCAAAGCAACAGGCGCGCACAGTACGAAAGACATGGTGCATGGCATACGCCTGGCTGAAGCAGCATCCCGAAAATGTTGCGGGAACCAGCAGCGACAAGGAGTTCGTGGCATTTGTCGCAACAATGTTCACCTTTGTATTTGGAATTCTGGACAGCAAAGCCCGAGCGGCCGTCAGAGTGGCAAAGGTGGCTGCTGGGAAAGGCACTGCGAGTAGCACTGTTGCCACAAGCGTGATGCACGAAGAACATCAGTGGCACCGTACCACATGTTCTGCATGGTCGTGGCTGCCACCAGCTCGTACTCCAGCTGGTCCGACGTCTTCACGTACCCAAGAGAAGCGCAAAGATCAGCTCCTCGTCGCAGCCGCAGCAGTCGCTGACGAATTGATCAGCAGTAGTGTACCAAATGCCACGCAAACGAACTCGCTGGCGGCATCGACGGCTATGAAATTCATGCTGGGTCTTCACATCTTCCGAGAAGAGCATGCGCTAAATATACTCACCTCTTCGCAATCTTTGTCCGCACAGCTGGTTCCTGTTATTGCTCAGCTGGGTTCCTGGCTCGGCCTTGACGGATGGACATTCGCTGCCGGAGGTTACTACAATTTGGCGGGTGCGAGAGAAGAAGAATGGGCTTACGTCAAGTCACGGCCCACCAGAATACTACAAACGGGTCTCCTTGAGCGGCCAATTAGTGCATACCAATGGTTCGAGAATGCTCTGAAACAAAACTCGCCTGAGAGATATCCCTCACTCTACAAAGTTGCGCAAATGGAAGCAGACCAAATTGTGCCCAAAGTGTCACAAAGGACTGCGAACAAGCTCACGCCGCGAATGACCGCATTTTCGAACCTACTTGCGGCCACCAATGGTCTCACCACGAGCCCGACAAGGACCGTTGAGCTCTTGGAAGATGCACAATTTACAGTGGAGATGTTGGAAACTTTGCCCGAGTCTTTGGCAGCGCCGCTCAGGGAAGCCATCGTCCGTTGCGAAAAGGAGCCACCGACAACATGGGGCAGCGACTTGTTATGTTTGGTAGGCCGAGCAGATCTCATCGTGGGGACGCATAGGAAGACAAGCTTACCGCATCGGCCCTTGGCCACATCAGCCATGAGCACTCGCGATGTGCATGCTGTATGTAATGTCGTCGATCATCCTGTCGTCCATGCAAAGACGAAAGAAGCTGGGCGTCACGCCATTTCCCAGCTTATATTCAGCGAAGATCGCAGGCTAGTGGAAGCCGCGAGCCTGATGCATTTCAACACCGTGCAGCAAGGCTGGTGCCCGAAACATGCTGTGTGGGATGAGCAACGGCATTTCGACGAACAGCGCAAAGTCATGCAGCTTGTCACGACTCGAATGATTGCTCTTCCCGCTGGAGATGGTATGATCCATTACGACAGCCAGACGCCGTTGTTGACCGAGAAATATCACCTGGCTGGTTTCAGCTCGTCTTGTTTGATGCAACCTATGGGCCACACACTGACCGCGGACCGCACTGGTCTAACCGAGGAAAAGCTCAACTGGGCATATTTTCACGCTGGCGTCTCCGCTGGCCTTCGCATCTCGAAAGATGTCAAAGGCATCGACACTTCTTGGATCGCGTTCAACAAGCCAAGCGAACTCACGAACCGCCACGCTGGTCTATTGCTTGCTCTTGGCCTCAGTGGACACCTAAGGCAACTGGCGAAGTGGCTATCATTCAAATACCTCACCCCGAAGCACACCATGACATCTGTAGGTTTACTGCTTGGGCTATCGGCTTCATACATCGGCACGATGGACGCTCTCATTACCAAAATGCTATCTGTGCACATTACCAAGATGCTACCTCCCGGCGCCGCAGATGTGAATGTCTCGCCAGCAACACAGACTGCTGGGCTGATGGGCATTGGACTCCTCTATTACAACACCCAACATCGTCGTATGTCTGAAATCATGCTCTCTGAGATTGAGTATCTGGAAATTGAAGATCCAGACAGTGGGCCGGACCCCTTGCGAGATGAGAGCTACCGTCTTGCTGCTGGGTTTGCATTGGGCTTCATCAACCTTGGCAAGGGCAACAACCTGATGGGCTTGCACGGCATGCAGCTCCCGGAACGATTGCTGGCCGTGGCGGTAGGCCCGCGGCCCATCAACGCAGTGCATGTGTTTGATCGTGCGACAGCTGGTGCTGTTATGGCTCTAACGCTTGTTTACATGAAGTCTGGCGACCAATCCATTGCTCGCAAGATTGATATTCCCGACACTGAAACACAATTTGATCACGTGAGACCAGATATCCTCATGCTCCGAGCTATGGCCAAGCACCTGATCTTATGGGATGAAATTCAAGTTCGGACAGACTTGTTGCCTGGCCAAATCCAAGTACCAAGCCGCCCGAAAAAAGGAAGCTCACAAAGTAGCTACACCTTCGAAAAGGGATGGATTGGATCCAACCTACCTCCTTGCTATGCAAACGATCCGGCCCCGCCGCCTGGACCCCACAGCAGCGATAGAATCCCCAGATACAACATTCTCGCTGGGCTTGCGTGGGCACTGGGCTTGAAATATGCCGGCTCAGGCAATTTCTTTGCGCGAGACGAGATCTTGAGTCTTCTAAACTATCTCAGCCCTCGCTTTTTCCAGTCTTCTGGGTACTGGTTCGATGGTAAGATGGCTCGAGCTTCTCTAGGTCGTTGCATGAGCGTCGTTGCAGTAGCCGCTGCCGTCGTCATGGCTGGCACTGGTGATCTAGAAGTCTTTCGGTACTTGCGACGCTTACACGGCAGACTCGAACCTGACATTCCATATGGCTCCCACCTGGCTTCTCACATGGCCATCGGTATTCTCTTTCTGGCTGGAGGCACCTTCACTTTCGGCACAAGTGAACTTGCGATCGCAGCCTTGATGGTTGCTTTTCATCCAATATGGCCGACTGAGGTCAACGATAATCGAGTCCATCTCCAAGCCTTCCGCCATCTTTGGGTTTTGGCTGCAGAAGCTCGCTGTATTGTTGTCGAGGACATTGATACGCAACGACCGGTCCATATGCCATTGAAGGTCACGCTGAAGAATGGAGAAGTAAGGAATATGCGAGCTCCCTGCCTGTTACCTGAGTTACGCAGTATCGCGACTGTACAGACCGATGATTCGGCTTATTGGCGTGTCACTCTGGACTTTGTGGGCAATCCTGAACATCTGGAGTCTTTCCGCCAGGATCAACATGTCAGCGTGCGACGCTGTCCAGCTGCTGAGGCACATGATTCTACATTCTCTGCGGCACTCGCTGCTTTGACGGGTATCAATTTGACCTCTACTGCTTCCCCTGCCGGTCACGGTGGGCATGGAAGTGGTAGCAGTCAGACTCCTTGGATCAACATCATGACCCTCCCCGCTTTCAGTGGATTGGATCGCGCAGACGTGGAGCTTTTGCTCCCTGCTGAAGTTCAGTCTTCTGTGTATATCGGGGAGAGGACCACGGTTATCGATGATCGTCTGGTGCTTAGAAACGGGACAAACAGCATGAGTTTGCATGAGCTGTGGAACTTGAGGACGTTGTTTTCGTGGGCTGAGAGAGATCTACTTGTCCCTGCACAGGGAGGCGCAGAGTCCGATGACGGTGCGCGACCAGATGTGAAGAGTACTGAATCCGAGCACGGTGAGCAACAAAAGGTGAAGAGTGACAGGTTCAGATGGCTTGGTATGGAGGTCTTGCAAGAACTGAGAGCCGGCATTGAAAAGAGGGGCAGAAGGCGATAGCGTACGGTGGATTGAGATGCATGGTGTAGGCGAAACAATAGTATGCGCGTATCGTAACAGTATTGAGATCTAGGCCTTTCACTCCGTCGTGTAGAGGACTGGAATGATCTAACAGCCAACAGCTGCGTGTGAAGTGAAAGCTGGAATGCGGCAGAGACGGCGAGCATTCCGGAGACTAGACGAAGACGACGAACAGAGTACCTTGCTTCATCAAAATTCACAATCCTCAAAAACAACAAAACCGTGTCGCTGGGTCATGGCGACTCGCCTCAATAGCGCTGCTCTTCTCCGCGTGCTCCCTTCGAACACTACGACCCTCATTCGCCAAAAATCACTACACTCGCTTGACAAGCCAGCCATGGCTCTGAAGATGGCGACAGCAAGCATTGGGCTGCTGCTTCTGGCAGCTCAGGCTCGCGCACAATCGAGCAGCACCACCAAAAAACCCGCGGGCACAGTCACCGTCTATGGATCCTGCGGCACTCCAACCTCGACTCTGTTCCCTCCCCTTTTCTCCTACGCACCAATGTCTAGCAAGACTTCGACCGCTACCATGTCGACCTATATTCCCACCGTCTCAGACGTTCCGACATGTGCTCAAGGCTGCGTTGGCGATTTGGGAGGCTGTGCTATGGGCGATGTTCGCTGTATTTGCAGCAACTCGTCGTATATGACGGGAGTGGCAGCCTGCGTCAGTCGGAGTTGTCCATTCGGGCAATGTCAACGTGAGTGACGAGTTATCTGAGGAGACGAGTGCGTACGCAGCTTGCTAATCGTTGACAGAGGTTGTTGACTTTGGGACGAATGTCTGCAACAATGTGGGCGTGACCGTATTGCCACAAGTTTCTTGCCCTGCAAGTTCATCAACTCCTGCTCCAACGCCTCCAGTATATGGCTCTCCGAGTGCCTCTACTCCCACTCCTGCGCCCACACCCTCATCATATGTCCCCACGGTTGCGGATGTCCCGAAATGCGCGCAAGGCTGTGTTACAGACCTGGGAGGTTGCGCTACAGGCGATGTCAACTGCGTTTGCCGTAACACGCCGTACCTGAACAGACTAGCAGTTTGCGTTCCTCAATACTGTAACGCGACGGAAGTTGCACGTGAGTACAGAGAGATAGCGCTGACTCTGGTCGAGACGTATGCTGACCGATAATACAGAGGTCGTCGCCTTTGCGAACTTCGTGTGCAGGAGTGTAGGCGTCACGAGCTTACCATCGCCTTCTTATGCCTCGACTACTTCTCTTGCGCCATCATCCTCTGCCGTGTCACCGCCGCCAGGCTACAGTGCTCCCAGTATGCCAAGCAACTCAACATCAATGGCAGGCTCGGCGCCACCATCGTACGGCGGTCCATCGAGTGTACCGTCGTCATCTGGGGTTTCAAGCAGTTCGTCTGTCATCCCAGAAGGCCCTCCGGCTTATTCACAGCCAAGCTCGATTCAGCAGACTACTACAACTACAACAACTCCAGGAGCTCCACCAGCGTATTCCCAGCCAAGCTCGATCCAGGAGACGACTACGACTACAACAACTCCAGGGGCTCCTCCGGCTTATTCACAGCCAAGCTCGATTCGGCAGACGACTACAAGTACATCAACTCCAGGAGCTCCACCGGCGTATTCGCAACCGAGCTCGATTCAGCAGACGACCACAACTACAACAACCCCAGGAGCTCCACCAGCCTATTCGCAGAATACTCCGTCAAGCAGCACATCAACCTACGTCCCAGCTTTCACTGAGCTCCCAGCTTGCGCTCAAACTTGTGCCTATACTGTTGGCTTCGGTGGCTGCCAGATTGGAGACGTAACCTGCTTTTGCCAAACTCCAGGTTTGCAAACTTCATATGCTGACTGCCTCAACACCGGATGCCCTGCAGGCGACGCAACTCGTATGTATCACCCGAAATGGGAAGTTCCCCCTGGTATGTGCTAATGCATCTTTACAGAAGCTACTCAATATGCCCGATTGGCGTGCCGAGCAAAGAATGTTGTGGTCTATCCTACGAGCAGCTCGTCGGCTGTGGGACCTCCGGGTTATTCTGGTCCTTCATCCAGCTCTAGCTCTGTGTCGTCAAGTGCTAGTTCGACAGCTGGAGCACCCCCTGGCTATTCTGGACCTTCGAGCAGCAGTGCCACGCTCTCGTCCAGATCTGTCTCGTCGAGCATCAGCTCTGCTGCATTATCTCCGCCGGGATACTCTGAGCCTTCGAGCAGCAGCTCTGTACTATCCCGTTCCAGCTCAGTTTCTAGCTCCATCTCTTCAGCTGCCAGCTCCCGCTCTTCCAGCTCGTCCAGCTCATCCAGTTCGTCCAGCTCGTCCAGTTTGTCCAGCTCGTCCAGCGTTTCTCCCATCGGTCCACCAGCATATCCGCAGCCTACAACGACGACGACGACTACGACCACAAGCTTGACACCGTCAAGTTCAAGCTCAAGCTCGGCATCCAGCTCGTCCAGCTCGTCCAGCTCGTCCAGCGTGTCTTCCATCGGTCTACCTCCGTTATATCCTCAGCCCACGACAACGACGACTACCACGACTTCGCCATCGCTATCAAGTTCGAGCTCCAGCTCGTCGTCCAGCTCGTCCAGCTCTTCCAGCTCTTCCAGCTCGTCCAGCTCTTCCAGCTCGTCCAGCGTGTCTCCGGTCGGCCCACCTCCAGCATATCCACAGCCCACAACAACAACGACGACGACTACAACCTCGACGTCGTCAAGTTCGAGCTCAAGCTCGTCTAGTATTCCTTCTGTGGGACCTCCCCCAGTATATCAACAACCTACGACAACAACGACGACGACTACAACCTCGACGTCATCGAGTTCAAGCTCGTCTAGATCGTCTAGCGTCATTTCTGTCGGACCTCCCCCAGTATATCAACAGCCTACGACAACGACGACGACGACGACTACAACCTCGACGTCGTCAAGTTCGAGCTCAAGCTCGTCTAGTATTCCTTCTCCCGGACCTCCCCCAGCATATCAACCACCTACGACAACGACGACGACGACTACAACCTCGACGTCGTCAAGTTCGAGCTCGTCTAGATCGTCTAGTGTTCTTTCTGTCGGACCTCCCCCAGCATATCAACCGCCTACTACTACGACGACTACAACAACTTCTTCTAGCCCCTCATCATCAGTCTTGCCATCGACCGCGACGGCACTCACTAGGACATCGACAACGAGTGCCAGCTCCGCGCCGACTTGCTCTACGCCTGCCTATACAGCTGGAAATTGCACCATCGACGGCGGCAAGACTATTAGAGAGCCCACTACGGAGACATACTACAACATCTATTGTGACGATGATGTCGAAGGAACTTTCTATAACATCGAACCCACTTACCTCAACGCTCTATCGTACACCACCTGTATGAGCATTTGCGCCAGCAACAACAATGGAACTGGTTTCTACCGGACCGACACTCCCGGCGCGTTCCCTTGCACAGGATTTGTGTACTCCAGTGGCAGCTCACCCGGCAATTGTTACTTCAAGAGTTTCCCCAGTCTGCAAAAAATCGTCGACAGTACCAATATCCAGGTTCTGGCTATTCTACCGCAGTACGTGTCTGGCTACGTGGCTCCCACAGGCGTCTGCAGTGAGAAGACCCGTATCACCACCACCCGGGCTGCCACGACCACTACTGCTAGGCAGACGCCTGTTTAGTAGAACTAAGGATTCCAATTATGGAGACGGTGTTGCTTAGAAAGATTCGTAGGAAAGGGGGAAGGGGGGTGCTTCTTGATGAGATTTTTATGATAGCAATTATGTACTTGTGGTGGCTATTGATTGGGTAGAGTGAGCGTAATTTAGCTAAAGCCGTATCGGATATATCCAATTCGAAAGAGTGTTTCTCTCCAGCGTGTAGTAAGTAATAATAGTAGTTTCTCGACCTTTTTTTCTGCCTTATCGACACGACTCTTCATGGTTTATTGTCTTGTCTTGTCCTCGTCTCGCGAGGCGTAAAGCGTCTTTATTTGACTGCATACTAATTATCATTTGAACTTGCACGGTACTACTTGGAGGGCCGAGAGCTATTGTTTTGCCCCTGACTGTCTGTTGGAGGGAAAGAGGGAAAAAAAGGGAAAAAGGAAAAGAAAAAGAAAATTTTTTTAATCCTATTGACTCCAAACAATTCGCTACGCTGCTTCGATAGCATAGTAACCACCTACATCAATCTCTCTAATCCCCGTTCGAGATTACTTAAACCTATGCTTGGACTTACAGTACTACAGATAATAAATTCCCTTTAGAGAAAGGAAGAGAAAGCCGCTCCTAACAACCATTCAAGTTATATATTCCAAACGCGTCCTATTGCAATGGAATTGGCATATCGTACATATAGGAAAGACCCAATCCACTCTATACTAACCAACCAGCTGCCGGGTATAGTTTTATTGCTACGGCTGTAACCTAGTACGATTCGTATACCACTGGTCTATCCCAGAGACTGTACGAGGAAATAGGTATGTGCTGCACCTGATTGATGACTTTGATCGAATGTCCTTCACCTCGGCATTACCAGGCTGTTCGTTAGAAGACACCGTGAACGGACTGGCAGCACATATCGCCTACCATCCGACACCTGCGGCAATTTTCTGCGATCCTAGCAAGCATTACGTTGCGAAGTACACCAAGCAATTCTGCAAAGCCAACGGCATTTACCTCGCATACTTGCCGTCCGAAGCCAACGGCATTTACCTCGCATACTTGCCGTCCGGAGCGTCTCGTTCCTAGAAGTACGATAGTTTAGTTAATAGCTATAGGGAAAGGGGGGTTTTTTTTCTTATATAAAGGAACCTTCTCTAAGACTGGCTCTCTTTCTATAAGATCGTGTCTGAGAATAGAGTAGCGTAGCGCTTATAGTACAATCAGAGATAGATACTTCTATAACTTTTTTGGGCTCGGTGCCGTCTTCGTCGGTCGCTCTCTAGAACTACTCTAGCATCTCCGGCGCCGGGTCTTGGTCTGCCTAGCCTGCCTCGTCGATTCTCGTGGTTATGTCGCTGTAGGACTATGAACGGTCATCGAGCAGGGTCTTGTATGCGGTGGGACCGTAGTCCTCTTGGCCGGTCGACAACCGTCTTGACATCGATCTCCATCCATACCCTTTGTCGGGCGTGGACATCTGGCAGGGTTGTGTCCGTCCCTAGTTGCTGAAACAGACTTCCGATGTATCCCGTTCTGCTGCTGTGCACCGGGGTGCTGCTTCTGCTAAAGAGATCTCGAATTGGCATCGATGTTGCTAGGGTCGCTGTCGTTGGGAGAGGGGCGTCTTCCATACCGTAGTATCCGGGGACGAAGTAGCATAGCGCTTATAGTATAATCAGAGATAGATACTTCTTTACCTTTTCGCTCTGATTTCGAGTCCTCGCTCGCTTTCTCTAGTAAATCACAATGAATGCTATAGCTCTCAACAATCTGGCGAAGGACTAAACTTTTCGCTCTAATTTCGAGTTCTCGCTCGCTTTGCCTAGTAAATCAGAATGAATACCACAGACCTCGACAATCTAGCGAAGGAGAGCAGACTCTAAGTTAATTTTATACTTCTATTTTATTCAAAAAGAAAGGGGGAAGAATAAAAAGAGAATCTAACGAAGGACTAAACTTTTCGCTCTGATTTCGAGTCCTCGCTCGCTCTGCTAAGTGAATCAGAATGAATGCCATAGCTCTCGACAATCTGGCGAAGGAGAGTAAACTCTGAGTTGAATTCAACCTTCCCTTTTATTCAAAAAGAAAGGGGGAAGAATTAAAGGAGAATCTGGCGAAGGACCAAACTTTTCGCTCTGACTTCGAGTCCTCGCTCGCTTTGCTAAGTGAATCACAATGAATGCCACAGCCCTCGACAATCTGGGCGAAGGAGAGTAAACTCTAAGTTAAAATTCAAACTTCCCTTTATATTCAAAAAAGAAAGGGCAAAGAATAAAAAGAGATCTCCCGACCCATCAAATCCTCCCATTCCCGAATCGCCGCTTCCCATTTCGCCAAATCGCCCTCCAACCATTCAATTTCTCTCTGCAATTCTCGTAGACGCCGAGTCATCGTAGCCTCGTCCCTGAGATCTTCCGTTTTCATATCGAAACTGAGAGGCCAATTTGTATAATCCTCCACATTGGCACCATTGTTAGAACGATAAGCTCTCTCCAAAATCTCATTGCGCTTCGCAACCAATTGATCCACCAGCTTCAACATCTCCTTCAATTGTCCGCCAGAGTCCTGTTCCACGAGTTTCGTATCACGAGAATTCCGGCTCTGTATCTCGATTATGAGGTTGAAGAATTGCTGTAGTTCGAATTCCAACCAGATTTTTTGAGATAAGGTGGCTTTGCAGTAATGGGGTATGTCTTCCTCGTGTACCATTTCTACGTCGAAGAGCAGAATTCCGGCGCGAAGCTCGCTGATGCGAGGCACGACTGTGCCTTCTGGAGAGATCTTCAAGCGGCTGATGTGCGCTTTTTGCGCTTGTGCGAGTGCCAGCGGGAGTTTTTGGTGGAGGGAGAGGAGCTCGGCGCGGGCGTTACGGAGGTCTTGTCGCGTGGTGCGGGCGCGCGGCTCGCGAGGACGAGGAGTTGTATTGGTGTGCAGCGACTCCTTGTTGGTGAGATTCGTAGTGTCAGTCGGCGCGATCTCTTTCGAGTCGTGCCGCTTGTGAGACTCGTGGCTCGGTATCTCGTTCGCAGTACACGGCGGCTCAGTGACTTCAGCTGCGGTGACTTCTTGCGCCTCCTCCCAGTCATTCAGCACCCGGCAGTAATCCTTCTTAATGACACAGCCGCAGGTATCGAGCTGGCGCGCGCGACATGCTGCTTGCAGCACGGCAACCGTCTTCCACGGTTTCCATTTCGTGCACTTGGCCATGTGTTTGAGTTTTGTCGTTCGTGGGATTTCAGGTGCTGTTGCAAGGAACATCAGCACCTTCCTGATATAAGTGATGTAAGTGAAATCAAACAGGGTCTCCGGCATTTTCCGCTCATTGATTTTCATACTCCCTCTCTGAAATGGACCAGACACTGGATTTGGCCTAGCTTAGCATACAGTGCCGCAGACAGTGCGAGCATGCAGTAAGGAGAAAGGTCCCTATGGTAGATTAAGCTTGTGATTGACCTATTCGCGTCTGGTTAGAGCGTCACTAAATCCCAGGACACGCAACCCCGAGTGACAATCCGGAGTTCAGGGATAAGCTATGAGCTGTAGAAGTTGTTCAGATTTCTGTTCAGTATAGACTTGCCTGCTGGTGCAATGGGTATCAATTCTTCCTCCGTCCTAATAACGCCTCGCTTCGCCACGCCGTGATGCCAGTTCTGTTCATGCATGCACATTTCCTTCTCCCTTCGTTTAAACATTTCGCCTTGCCCTCCTTCTTTTAAAACATTAGTAATTATCTTCCCTCCCTGCCCGTGCAACCATGGCTGCCAGAACAATCAAGTACACCAGAAACACTGCGCCAATGATCCAAAACGCAAACACGGCGCTCCAGCTCTGACAAATACTGTTCTGCTGTAACCAGGCCAGCGTATTCACAGACAGATCGTCCGGTGAGTGACCACTAACGTAAGTCGAACACTTGGAGTTGATATCTCCTGCAGGACCGAAAAGTTGAATAGCGGTTTCGATCAGGCCGGTGATGTAGAGAACCAGTAAAATGAAGCATCCGATGATCAGGACTCCCGGAAGTAGGCGACGCTGAACGATCAATATCAACATCAGGATGACGAAGGCGAGCGTCAGAGCTCCGACTGTAATGCCGAAGGGCATGATCCTGCAGGAAAACCGTTAGTATAAATTCGTTGAAAGTCAGTCATAAGCGGTAATTTAACCAGTATCTGCCCATCGGCCTGCAAGCACGTAAATGCTCAGCGACCAAACAAATTGACAACGTGTGCAAAGCAAGTGAAACTGACCATGGTATGCCCAGCCCTCCCAGCGCATTTTGTATTGTCACAAAATTGGCAAAGATTCCCACCAAAGTCCCTCCTGTTGCCAACATGATGATGATCCAGATGTTGAGCTGCCAGTCAGGCCAGTAGTAGGACTGCCGCACTATCACTCGTTCGCGTGTCATGTCGGAGCGTGCCATCTTGAGCTGATCGTGGATGTTTTTCGCGCCGGCGGTGATCAGAGTCGAGCTATTGACTTTTCGCGGTCTGATATGCAACCTCAGCTAGCAATTTGATATTGCTGCCCCCTCTTATGCCGCACCGACTGTCTTGGAGGCGTTGTATCGCATATGCTGGCGGGCTTGGTGGGGTGTGGGGTCCCGAGAAATAGCGACGGGCAGGCGGCTGTACAGAAACGAGCGAGGTGTGTACGTCGATGGTATTATCGTATGGGAAGTGCCGTGAGGTGTGAGATGTGACGTGTGATGCGAAGAGAAAGTGAGGTGAGGAATGAAGAATGTGCAGCGGTGAGAAGAGGAAGAGAAGAGCAGAGCAAAAGAACAGCTCCAAGTCGGCGTGACGTGTTGGAGATGCCGTTCGCGTGGCTGGAGGTGGCCGGGGATTTTCAATTTAAGCTTACCTTGCGGGCCCGTGCCGTCCTCCCGTGACACCCTCCCCGGCCCTCCCGCAGATGTCGACTTATTGTTTCGTGTTTTGCCTTCAACGTCCGAAACAACTTCAGCCGGCGCAACACCAATGAATACAACAGCGTAACCATGTGCTCGGAAACATGAAAGATGGATTGAAAGCTGAGCGTGAAGAACATCAGCTGTTTGATGTAACTATGGAGAGAGAACTAGAGAAAAGCTTGCCCGAGCAGCAGGCTCGTCCATTATCTGCTACCAAGAGGGGCAGCGACAGTGCGTCTCTAACAAGTCTCTGTCCGATCGCATCGTGTTGTCCCATATATTATGGGTATTGGTACATTCTCGTCAAGTCTGCCACTTATCCTTGGCTGAAGTGACACTCTGTCCATTTCGCTTCGGCCGCTTTCAAGACTTCTTCGGAAGTCATGGCTCCCTTTGCGACATTGTAAGTCTGTGAAGTTCGGTGAGCCTCATGTAATTCTGTCAGGCGTTCACAGTCTCCATGGGGACATCTGATTGAGCAGGGGGGATCGCTATCCGAACGAGGAGGAAGATAACCCCTGGTGTATCTTACCTGAGGCAGATTCATGTAAGTTCCACGCCAGGTGCCTTCGTAGGTGTATTTGATCTCGAGATATATCTCGAGACCAGGTCTCTCCGTCTGTGCAGCATCGAGGAGCTCTGAAACAGCATGTCGAAAGGTAGTGGTCCCACTGAAGCCTTTCCTGCAGCCCACATCGAAAGCCGAAGGTTGATGGTCCCACGGTGGCCTCGTGAGCTCGATGTTGAGGAAGAAGTGCAAGGCTCGGAGGCCGGACAGTTGGGCTAGCAGAGATCTCATGCCAGCTTTGGCAGTGTAGATGACCGCTGGGTACTTTTGTCGGCCTGGATCTGATCAGTCATTAATGTACAATGTATGTGTGATGAGTGAGGTCTCAAGAAGGATGATATCACATACCGATGGGAATCTCGAAACTGAGGGTGAGAAGAAGCTTTCGGACGGGATGCGGCAGGCTGAGGACATGTGCAGGCAACACGGCAGTTCTGTCTTGATCTGTACGCTGGAACTGGGTATCCATGGTAAGGATAGACTGTTCAAGTATTGCCTGACGTAAGTATGGTACCAGAGGCTCAGTCACTGGAGACTCCCCCAGAAGCCTGCGCGCAGCGGCGTCGAGAGAGTCTGCATCGTGAAGCCATACATGGGACATTGTATCCAGCGCCATGTATTCCATGATCTGTATGACTACTTCCTTAGGTAGTTTCTGAGCCATGGTGAGTACAACTTGACGACCTCGTTGCCAGCGACGGACATCTCTGGCACATTGCAGTCGACGACTGGGGATGTCACACTTGTGGTCTGGGTAGTAGTGTTTGAGGGGAGTTTGGCAGCCCTGTCGCTGGAGTGAGCGGAGCGCTTCCTCCTCGAGATGCGGGCTCTGTTCGATTTTCCAAGCGGGGCGCTGAACAGCAGGCTCCCACGTGGGCTTTTTAGGAGCAGATTTCTCTCTGGACGTGATGGGCCAGAATCGAGAGAAACGAGTGGAACTTGCGTATCCGCCGTCTCTGGCAGCTTTGCGCGAACTGCGTCTCGTGCCCACACGTCTCTGCGCCAGGTCAAACGGAGGTCTGGACATCGAAGAAGATGCGGCCACAGCGGAAGCCAGCGATACATAGGCGGCATCGGCGGACTCTTGGTGGGGGAGCATCGACATGGCTGAGCAGAGCGTGGTCGCGCGACGGCGACGAGCGATATTTAGTTCTGATTGCTGAGAGAGCTGCTCGCGGCTTTGAGTGTCTGACGAGTGACGACGAGGAGGTCGCCGAAGAATCGACAATGGTTGCAGCCAAAATGATCAACAGTTGAGGCAAGTGGTCAGGTATTTAAATATTGGCGAAATGTATATAAGGAAGGTACGGTACGGGTCGGCCCGGTCGGGCGCACTGCGGCAAAAGTGACGCGAGTTATCATTTTCGCCCACCTGGGCATGGAGGTTCTTTCAGAAAACTACCTGTACCCGACTTCAACCTGGAACAACCGCAATAAAGCAACAAAAAAGCACAATATGTCACCAGTAACAGAGCCGCCGGAAGGTGTTCACGCCTACACGTCTCTAGATGAGGTGCCGAGCGACTTGCAAAAGTACTGGATGCAGCGCAACGACATCTTTTCCCGATACGACCAAGGCATCTGGCTGACCCACGATGCATGGTTTGGCGTCACGCCCGAACCCATAGCGAAGTATGGTGGAAACGCAGTCTTCAGTAGCCTACAACTCGCACAACTGACTAACAGGGAAAACCTCCCAGGAAAATTGCTGAGCATGTTGCAACGGCGCCCAAGGAGAAGAAGGTCCTGATTGACGCATTCGCGGGCGCAGGAGGCAATGTCATCGCCTTTGCTCTTTCTGGCCGCTGGAGCCAAATCTTCGCCGTGGAGAAGGACGCCAAGACCCTCGCCTGCGCAAAGCATAATGCTGATGTCTATGGAGTGGCGCGCAAGATCTTCTGGATTCAGGGTGACATATTCGAGGTGCTCAAGGGTCGTCTGAAGGCCGCTGCTAAGAATGCCGTCATCTTCGCGAGTCCTCCTTGGGGTGGTCCTTCCTACACTGACTGGGACGTGTTCGACCTGTCATGTATGGAGCCCTACAACATGAAGGTCCTCTACGATGCCTTCTCTGTCTCGAGCGAGGTGGTGCTGTATCTGCCAAGGACATCGGACGTGCACCAACTGGCTAAGTACGCAAAGCAGGACGAGAAATTGCCTGTAATGCATTACTGCATGAAAGGGGCGAGCAAGGCACTATGTGTGTTTTACGGCTCGTTCCAACTGGCTTAACTTTCATTGGTCAACAATACACAAAACGCATCCCGAATAGCACTGCCTACATAAATCAATGAGTGCACCAAGTACTTCACGCATCCGCTGGCTAGGGTATCACAACAAACTCATCTGAGCCTGCTCAGCTGTTTGTGGGCAACATCGCTCTCAGTCCTCGAGCGATACTCTGTGCCAAGCATTACCGAGGAGCCCACGGAAGTTCCAGGTGGCATCGAACGTCTGTGGTTGCGTATTATACCCTTCGTCAACAGCCTTGCACACAAACTCCGGCTTTCCCGGTGGCAGCTTGTCCTTTGGCCATTCAATGGTCCATTGTGTCCATGCCCACCGCCTTGCACCTTTAGCGTTGTCCTTGCGAAGACATGCTGGCTCCCAGGTCTTTCCACCATCTGCTGAGACGTCGACGCGCACGATTTTTCTTCCACCACCACTGTATGCATACCCATGCACTCGAATGGGTTCCAAGGCATCATCTCGTCGGCAAACGTCTGTGATGGCACTCTGCACGGGCATTTCCTGTATGCTTTGCGCTGCGTCCCAGTCTTCTGGCTTGAGATCTGCAGCTCGTACATTTGGCGCGAAGCACTTGTAGTCCCGGCTGTGCCAGTTAGATTGGGACTCTTCGCAGCTGATTCGCACTGTGCCCAGCCACTTTACACTTCGAGTTGCTACCACCCCGGGCACGATGGCTCTTAGTGGTCCACCGTGATCGCGTGGCATCTCTTCGCCGTTCATCTTCCATGCCAGCAACACATCCGAAGCAGGGTTCAGCGCCGTTTGGAGCGGTATGCTCTGCTCATATGTGTCGGAAGGCGCACAGAGGTGGATGTGCTGATCAGCCTGGGGGTTGTCTGGGCACACTCGACATGCCTGGTCGACATCGTAGCCAGCATCAAGCAAAACATCTCGCAAGCGGACTCCGGTGAACTCTGCGGTACCAATTGCACCAATGTCCCACGCTAGTCCAGATGTCTTGCGATTCGTAGACTCGTTCATATGACTCCTGCGATTACCCGCACACTGGAGAGTGACACTGATGGTATGTTCGCGAAACTTCCGCTTCAGGTCATCAAGCGAATATGTCAATTCTTCGCCATCGGAGAGCTCAATCTTGAGCTCATGTTCCTTTGCATCAAGCTTGGGAACCCATAAGTGGTGTCTAACGAAAAACAGGCGCAGTGGTGTGATGAAGTCGCCTAAAAACCTTCCTGGAGTTTCTGCATTGCACGGTTTCGGTGTTCGAACGATCAGTTCAGCGTCTCGTTCCGGGTCGTCGCTGAATGGATCCTCGACGCTGCAGCCCTGGACACCAGACCACTTGATGCTGCCTCGATCATCCAAGTCTTGCTCATCGAGCTCGCCGATGTAGTACTCGTCGAGAATCTTCCGAACTTCCGGTTTGTTGTGTATGCTGAACAGAGCCCAGTATGGATCGATAGAGCTACCACAGGCTCTGAGGATCACTTCTCCGCCAGGGTGGGCATCGACAAACGATGTGATATCGTATACTGATGTCCCATGAATCACCCATTTGCTCGAAGACGATCGATCATGCTGAACGACTTCCGAAAGACGGAACTTGGTAGGGCCACAGTCCCCATCATTGTCGATCTGTATGCCCCCCTCCTCGCTTTTAACATCGATATCGATGCTATTTTGCACCCAGGAGACGACCGGCGTCGCCAGAATAGCGATAGCAGACGCTCCAAACAAGGCCACCAACACGCCGTTTGTATCCGATCGTTTTGGCTCTGATGTGTGTCTCCACGACGAAGACTGCCGCAAGCCATTCCATTGCATGAACCTCCGCTGGTCCTTCATCACCCCAGAAAGCACATGTTTATGTCCCAGAGGCCCACTCTTTCTCGCCTCTACGGGCGCAATCTGCTTGACATGACTCGCTGACAGCCTCCGGGAGGCCGGGAACCGTCCAATCAGCGCTTGAGAGGGTCTCGCATGGTGGAGAAGTGTTTTCGGCATGCCGATGAGATGTTTGAGTCGCTTTTGACCTGTTTTTGGCATTTTTTTGATGATGGACGACCACTCAGAGAGACGAGAAATGGCGTGATTGAAGCTAAACTTCATTTTGGAGTGGAGCGTCTAATAATACCACCTGACTCCGATAGGCCGGCGCACGTGATCTGAACATCCTAGCACTTCATGTGACTTGGCTAGTCCATCTATAAAGCCAAGAAAGCAGACTTCACATGCTGTTGGAGTACGCAATACAAGATGGCAGTGAGTGTATAGCGTGGTACTGGTGATGAGTGTTTCTCCAGCAACGACAACAAGAACAACAACAAGAATAACAAGAACAACCGAAGAGGCCTCTTTTGTCATTTCACTGACATTGCCATACACCTACTGCGAGGGTACTCGAGCTAGGCGGAGTCGACGATGGAACCAACCAGGCTACAAAAGCCAGACAAAGAAGCAGCATTGCCTGATCAATGGAAACATGTCTGGCCCCTGCAACAAGAAAATTTGTCGCGACTGTGCGGCAGTTAAGGCTCGAAGCGAGAAGAATGTTCGTTTTCAATGATGATAGTGCGATTTTGACTAGAAGCAGAAGTATCTCTTCAGCAGCGGTGGCGTGACCGTTGCTCTAACAACGCGGGTACACTTTGAGAGATGCCCAGATGTACTACTGCTTGATCAGAGATTGATGTATTTGCTATGACAATAAGGCTTCATTCTAGAAGTTACCTGGTCACGCCAAGAATTTCGTTGTACACGGTGAACACCACGAGCCGCTCGACGCTCTGGTTCGAAGTCCTATCGATCACATCGGGAAATCAGCCGCTAGAGTCTTGATATGGCGTCTGACCGGTCCACAACTTCTAAGGTCATATGCAACTTCTCGGCATGCAGTCCCAATCGGCTGCACGAGAACATTGTCCGAGTCGCTAAGGCTGCGTTGCCGCCTCCCTTCAAGAATGGCAGGTATCAAGCTCCAGATCACAAGCAGCTCAGGTCGTTTGAACCTGTGGCACGAGCAGTCCAGGCCAGCCCCCAAAATCGACCTCGCGTCCAGAGTGGGCAGAGTCTTTTACAGAACGACATCGAAGAACTTTGTCGACCTCGGAAAAAGCTCAGACCTGCCTCAAGCCATCTTGCCCCAGCGGAAAAAACCCTGAGCCCGCCTAATTTTCAGCATACACCCGCCCATCCTATCGCGTCCGAGAACGCGGCAATGACGACAACACTGAAAACGAATCCTATTCGATGGGATCTCACAACGACATACCAAGCCTCCGAATCCCTCCTGTCAAATGCCAGCCGCTCCGATTCGCAGCACATCTTACCCACAAAATCAAAACTATCAACAACACAGCCCCTCCCACCAATCCCCACAGTCGAGAACACTCTCCTCCACCCCCAAACCCTCCCTCTCACCAATCCCACCAACAAACCCGCAGAAGAAGAAGAAGAAAAAGAAACCCCCCAACGCCCCCATCCCCCCAAAAAGAAACCCACAAACTCCAAGCCTCCCTCTCAACCCCCAGCAACCGCCATCTACGCCCACGGAACCACCCCCATCCCTCCAGCAATCCTCTCCCTCGCCACCACCATCAAATCCTTGCCACAAAAACACACCTACCCGATGCCGACGGCTCTGCGAGGCGTGACGGGGATGAATCAGCGAAATGGATTTTTGCTCAAACAGTCGCCGTTGATGGCTTGGTATGGCGATACGAGGATTTTTGGGGAAAAGTGGTGGAAATTTTTGTTTGTGGGGGGGATGTATAGGAGGGAGTTGGTGAGGGTGATGGGGAGGAGTGGGGAGGAGGAGATGATGGTTGGTGGGAGTGGTGGTGGGATTGAAGAGTTGTTGAAAAAGGAGAAAGGGGGAGTCTAAGGGGTAAGAGGGCAAGAGTGATTGAGTGGCTTCATGATAATAATCTGTGACGAGGATAAGAGATTATTATCGGCTTGCGACTAGGTACTGGTGATGATGATAATAATAAAGATCGCTATTCTGGAAACCCTCTAACCTATCACCTAACCTCACCTATGCTAACCCCTAAAAATTGTCAAACGTTAAAGAAGGAGAAGAAAAGAAGAACCCCCTATCCCAACTCATCACAATTGTAGACTTCGAACACACACATTCCAAGTCATTGAGTAAGTCTAACCTAGAAGAGCGTGTGACATGTCCATGTCCTCTTGTGCTTCCCCTCCTTTTAGGTCTTCTTCGTCTAATCACATGTGCTACTTAATCCACAAATCTCGCCGGCTAGTACATAGAATGCATACCTCAGGTACCGTACATAGTACCTACAATATCCAAGGTCTCCTCCCTCAGAGGAGCAGCACAAAATTAATCTCGCCGAGCTTCCCAACCTCTACGGCACACTCTCCCGTCTTGTGAATAGATGGATCCCTGATAAGCAACTACCGAAGGCAAGGTCGTGGTCTTGGCCGGAGCATTGGCGAGGTCGTTCAAACAGTGGCAAGTATAAACTATACATGTAAATGTACCTTCCGGGCCCCGGAAGCAGCTTCATGACAGGGCTGCTATGGCAAGGGTGCGGAGTAGGCTACCCTGGGTTTCTTTTTCCAATGCCGGCCAAGGAGCTTCGGGTCAGTCTATCTGAAGCACCCGATGATCTCACCTCGTGGGGTGCAGGCGACATCCTCTTTTTTTCCAGGAACGAACTCGTCTCGGATTGTGTTGTATACACTCGAGTATGTCTATCATATCTGGGAGATAGGAGACCTCCAAAAACCTAGCAGTACGTGTCTCGCTCGACTGTAAATGCTCAGCAGCAGCAGCATCAAATCCCAAACTCCCGTTGCTTGAAACGTCAATTGTATGCCCATATTACCACATTAACGCACGTCCTTCCATGCACGAAGGCCCACGTGCCTCAAGTCGCTCTATCCCAATGCCACGCATGCCAGATACGATTGTGCGCTTGCCGGCTAGTGTATAGACAAAGCCTCGCGATACGTTGTTCCTCCCATTAGCTCAAAACGTGCCTGTTCCACGTCGCCTCTTGGAGTAGTTGTCATTTCTACTCCGCTCCATCTTCTCTTTTGCGGAGACGAGCAGCCTAGATACCCTTGATAGGACGAGTCATTTCACTCTCAAGCTTCTCGCGATTCCGCTCCTTCTCCTCCTTCTTGCAGTCCTCCAGGCCCGAGCAGCTATGGCTCTCCAACATGCGATGCTTGTTGCAGTACGACTTGTGGCAGAAAGTGCAGTCGCCCGTTATACGTACAATTGCATCCTTGCAGTCTTTGAACGCACAGCGAATCTTCTTGGGGCCGCCGCCGCGGATGGGGAGAACCATGTGGAGAGTGGACTCGGAGGCGACGCGGTAGGAGGAGAGGGTGGAGTTGGATTGACTCAGGTGCTTGCCGGCATGGACGATTCGCATCGACGACTCTGGTACGTTGGTGCGCAGGGCGAGCAGAGAGCGGAGGGTGGAGACGGTGGTGCTCTCGGGGATGGTGAGCGGGAATGCTAATGGGGAGCAAGTTAGTCGCAGCGGTGGAATGAAGGGTCGCATGGCCATGATGGAGGACTTACTCTCTCCTGCAATGTCCTTGACGAAGATCTGCATCGTAGGCTCGGGCTCAGCGGATGGGGCGCGACTGCTAGTGCTGCTGATAGAAGAGATGCTGTTGGAGCGCATCGTGCCTTCTGTTGGCTGCCGAGGTGGTGGTGGTGTTGGAGTTGGTCGATTGCTGGTACCTTAGCGGGCGTAATGTCGCTGACGTTGGTCTGGTGGCCAGGCGATTGTGTTGGCGATGGTATCAGATGGTCGGGTAGCGGATGTTTGATCGATGAGACGGGGGCTGGAAGTGGGTGTTTCGAGCCAGCGGATCTGATGTAGCTGGTGGTTGATGACGATGGCACACAGTCTCCAGCAGGAGTGAGCTGAGGGAGTTCAGGTCGGTGGCTGGGAAGGCAAGATAGGACGGTTGTCAGGAGTAGGTGGTGGGAGAAGGAGAAGGAGCTGGGAGTGGAGGGGGAAGTCAGGTACAAGTAGAAGCGGAAGTGGAAGTGAAAGTGGAATCGGGAAGTGGAAGTGGAAGAGATGGGAAGGGCGAAGTTACTGAGGTACCTACGGAGCGTCCAGTGTCATCACTTGGCGGGTGCTGATTATTAACGTTGATCACAGGAACACACGACAATCTAAACGCCCTGCCCTGCCTTGCCCTGCCTTCCTGGCCCTGCTTGGCCCTGGCCGTCCGTCAACTTCAACTGGGACTACTCAGCCTGGGGGAGTCTGTGAGGGAACAGGCGAGCGAGGCGGTGGCGGCTTCGTCACGCACTCGCGCTCGCCCGCACTAGGAGGTACTGACACGAGTAGAACTACTGTAAGTCACTCGGCCGCGTCGCACCGCAACAGGCAACGCTAGTTCGACCACCACTCCACCAGGCCGCTTCTCGGACGGTCCTCGAGTCCCTGCAGCGGCGAGCGTGGCGCGGCGATGATGTCGCTGACCAGTGACAAAACCCCCCCATGATAAAGGTACAGTATGCACTCGTACCCTTCTTTCATCAGCATCCGGTGTTCTTCCAACACTACTTTGTTGTTTCGCTTGCCGCGCGCCGTGGTTCATGCAGAGTGCTTGCATGAGTGCATGATTCATTGCATGCGGAATTGCGCTCGGGGACGACTGGCATGTTGGCGACCTTCCTAGCCATCACCGGCTGCTGCTACGTGGCCCTCACCCTGCCAACAGGAACAGCGAGCAGCCCGACCAGCAGGCGACCATCAGATACGTATCGCGACGCACGTAGGAGGCAATGGGGAAATATACGCGCGCGCGCCGTGCGGCGTCTCATGTGTATACAGACTTTGGCAGCCATGATGGCAGAACAAGCCGTGATGATCGCCGCCCAGTCTGCGCTTCCCAAGCGAGAAGGCTAGATCGCACTTCATCCTTCTTGTACGACTGGCTGTACAACCACGAGGCGCAATACAAGTCAGTGGGCGCATGCTGACACTGGCTGTGTCCCAGATTGGAGCGTCTTGGTCGCGACACCTTATGTGCGTCCGTGTACCAACGCTTCTGCAGCCGCAAGCCTGCCATGCATCACACCCCATTAATGCATTTGTTTTGGAGCCAACAGGCAAGCGAAAAGTCGAAGAGGTGATGTTACGGAGGTAGGACAATTGTGACTCCGTGAGTCGTGACGTATATATACCCAAGTGAGGAAGCCGGTCGGCTTGCGCCTTCCGCTTCTGCGTGCGGACAAACATCAAACATGACGATTACGATGGCGGCTCGATCAGACTACATGTAGGTACCTACTGTAGGTAAGGTACCTTACATGTACCTGATGTGAAGACCGCCACCGCACACCGCCTCAGCCCAGATATATGTATGTTTATTAGTCTTCTTCGTCTTCCTCTCTCTCTCTCTCTCTCTCGATTTCTGGACTGTATGCGATCTGCAAGAAGCTCGCGACAGCAGAGTGCGAACTGCTTATCGGCGTTTGATTGCCTGTCGAGGCGGAATCGAACCACGACACGTGTAACTGCAGGTGCCCATACAAGTAATTTCCAGCGTGACCTACTTACTGGCTTGCTGGGTCACGCCTACATCATTGTTTCCGGCTTACATTCTATACCTTATAGTACTGTAGGTAGCTTGCACTTTCCTCTGCCATATATCCACCGCCGGCTGCGGTAGATTACTTTAGCCTTATATAGAGACCCTCGTCCGATGCGCCAAACAAGTTCCCATTGGCTCAAAAAGGCCCGGAAAAGGTCCTGCACGGCTGAACTTTGCCAGTGCGAGCAAAAGCGCCCCTGTGTCTTGCCATTATGTCCATCCAGGTGCCTATTGGGGATGTGTCGGGTCAGATATGTTGCTTGCTAAGAAGCTGGTCATGTTCCTGCGTTCAACCTCGAAGATATCGTAACCCGAAGAAAGGGTAAGCACCGGTAGCCTTTGCTAGTAGCGTTCTGGACTTTTCGTATTCATAAGTGGGTTGTCTATGATGCCAATTTCTAGGCTATGAGATAGTCTGTTTTCAGTCATAGTATGGGAATAGGTACTGAGCGGCCGGCGAGGCTTGTCGCAGGCGTCGGCGTGATACGCTGATATGCCACAGGGACGGGACGGATCGGGTCGAAGCGCGGCGGCCCGGATGCTAAGCTTACCATCATCCTTCGTCACTTCCGGAGGTACATGCCCGTACACGTAAAAAAGATCCCAACTTCAGATCAGAAATGAGTTCCACATTCTTCGGGACCAACACGCCCGATGCGGTCAATTACATCCTGTGCATCCGAAAACGTACCCGGCCCCGGCATGCCGCCTCTTCACATCGGCATGAAGAATCTATGCCACTCTTCGGCCCGATCTCTGCGCCCTATTACCATCATGCGATATTGCAAAAAAATGATATGTCCATGTTCCCCAGAACAGGAAATACAGATACTTCCAGCTCCGACGCGTGAAAATCGCGATTCGCCCTCACTCGGCCGGGATCGTTGGCAAACGCTCTTTACGGCGGGGACCCACATCCCCAGATAGTGTAGCATCATCCTTACGAACCACCTTTTCCGATGTGGCGCACGAAGATTCGATCTTTCATCGCCATGCCGCTTATAATAATCTTCAGGTGAGCGCGAGTCTGTCTTCTTTCCTTCAATTGCTCTGCTGCTCGCTCGCTTGCTTTGCATCTTAGACCGCCATGTCAAGTCGGAGTCTGAGGCCATACCAAGCACGAACCGCGACAGCGAGGTCGACAAGGACGGCCGCAACAGGTATCAGCCAAGATGTGGATTACACCTTAGCCGGTCCACCCTCACAGGCGGGCCACGCTGACCCTCACGGCACGCACTATGATGAAGGATATTTCGATGCAAATCCTTGGATGGAAACTCAGCAACCACAAAACGAGAACTTCTCACTGGCAGGCACCTTTCCCCACAAAATCAGATGGGGGTCGAAGAAGCCGAAACACGGATCCTATCAGCACAACGTATCGTCAGACGAAAAGGGCGAAGCAGAAGCAGCGCCACAGGTTCCCACGGCTATCGGTCAAGGAATTGAGCAAACCGAATTCAGGAGAGATCCCAGTGAGGGGAAGCGTGATCCTCGCGATCCTCGCCCAGATGCCTGTGAGTCGTGAACTTCTGACGGTGATCTTGAGGAGTATCTTGCAAATCCGTTTCAGTCGACCCCGAAACGAGCACCCTGGATAAGATCAAGGAACACCCGTCTGATGATGATGACGAAGGTGATGAAGGCGAGAACATTGAACCATCTACCACCAGGCAATCTCTTCGACCATCGATACAGCAGCGAACCGTGTCGCACTATAATTCGAAGGGTCAGAGGCGTGGTACCTTGGCAAACGAAGCCATTGTGGAAGGACTAGATCCGAAGGACAGACCTTTTAACCACTGGGCACTGGTACGACTACGACTTCAGCGACCACTCGCGGAATGGTTAGGTTCAACCGTATTCATATTCATTGGTGTGTCTGCCAACTTGTCAGTCATCACCTCCAACTACCAAACAGGAACCATGCAGTCCATGTACTGGTGCTGGGGCTTCGCCGTCATGCTATCCATATACATCGCCGGTGGCGGCTCCGGCGCTTTCCTCAATCCTGCACTGACTCTGATGCTGTCGGTGTTTCGAGGGTTCCCGGCTCGCAGGGTCCCTGTTTACATCGCAGTGCAGCTGCTCGGCGCATTTACAGGGGCTCTACTTGCATTCGCCATCTACAAGGACGATATCATCCATTTAGACGGTGGCCTTATACCGGAGTCGACGGGCATGGCTTTCTACACTCAGCCGAAAGATTGGGTGAGCAACTCTACGGCCTTCTTCACGGAAATGCTAGGCACTGCCGTGATTGGCTGCAGCATCATGGCCCTCGGAGACTCACACAATAGCCCCCCAGGTGCTGGTATGCACGCCTTTATCATCGGTCTACTCACGACTGCTGTGACGATGTCACTCGGCTACAGCACTGGGGGCTGTTTCAATCCCATTCGAGACCTTGGCCCACGACTCGCTACGATAGCTGTAGGCTACCCTGCCTCAGCGTTCACAGCCAAGCAAAACTGGTGGATATGGGGACCATGGTGTGCTACCATTACAGGAGCGCTGCTTGGAGGACTGGTATATGACCTGTGCATATTCAAGGGCGGCGAGAGTCCTGTAAACTACTCGTACGGGCGCTGGCGAATTGAGACTCTGAAAAACGAGGCTGGCATTGCGCATGCCTTGGGTCTGCACGAAAGAAAAGACGAAATCGAAAGACGATTAGAATCGGGAGAGATACACGATGAACCCAAGCTATAACGAGTTTCAATCACCAATTCGCCAGTCGTATTCCAGCTTTAATAGCATCTTTACGAGACTGTATGCATGATATTACCAGGAGCGCCATCTATGAAATGTACGATATCACGACCTTTTGTGCGCTGACGCCCTTTTTCTGGGTATCGAGACCAAGTTGTACTGAGCGCAACTGCTCTCCCACAATCAATGCTTCTGGGGCTGGAACGATCGTTTGCGACTTCAGAGCTGCAGGCAAGAAGTCCTTCCAAATGAACGGTCCAACCTCGTTCCCAGGAGCGAAGATTTCCGAAGCAGAAACTGCATCATGAATCAATAACAGTCAGCTCGTTGCCACGTTTTTGCGAAAAATGTATGATATATAACTAAGGGTAGGTACCAGACATAACTTACTTGTTTTGGTACGCACCGCCTTTGGCACATCATCACCCCCACCGTCTCCAGGAGGAGAAGGAATCCCACGAACCGAAACCACAATAGCTTTCCCCTGACTACGATCCACAATGCGCGCACAAGTCTGCACCGCACCATTTCCACCCCTAGCATGAAACGCACCCAGCACAGTTTTGCTTTGCAGCCAATTCACAATTTGATCTTCCACATCCTCGGCACGATAATCAAAAACTTCCTCTGCTCCCAATGTTTTCACATATTCGAAATTCTTCGGACTCGCGGTCGTGATGATTATTGCTCCTGCGGCTTTGGCGAGTTGGATTGCGCAAGATCCTACACTGGAGCTGCCGCCCCAGACGAGGAGGACGCGATTAAGTGGTTTGGGGGGTTGTTCGGGCGAGGGAAGAGGGAGATTTAAATAGTCTTTTTGGAAAAGTCCTGCTGATGCTGTGGAAATGCCCAGTGGTAAGACTACTCCCACGGATGTGCGGATGGAACTGGGGAGTTGCGCGATGGCGTTTCTTTGGACGACTACGTATTGTTGGAAAGCGCCTGTGGCTCCTGGTGTGAGGTGGTGGTCTTCTGCTGAGGGACTTCTTGCGCAATGACTATTTTTTCGAGGAGAAACAAGTTTTCTTTTTGTTAGTAGATGCCATTCATTCATTCATTCATTCAAAAAATAAAAACAAAAAGAAGAAAAGAAAAAGAAAAAAAAACTCACGCAACAACCCTCTCCCCAATCCTCAAATCCACCACTCCATCACCCACCTCCACCACCTGCCCGGCAACATCCTCTCCCAAAACAGTCGGATACTCTGTCCGTTTCAAATCCTGATTCTCCTGCACCATCCAATCAATCGGATTAATCGCCACATCAAATACTTTGATCACGACGTGTCCCGCGGGAGCTTTGGTATAAGGGGCTTTGGCGACGGTGAGGGGTCGGGTTTGAGGTTGGAGGGACCAGGCGGCGACGTTTTTGAGGGCGAAGGGGTTCCAGCGAGTTGTGGTGGGGTTGAGTTGGGGGGTGCTGGGTGGTTTGATGGGTTGTGGGGGGTCGTGGGGAGATTGTTCTTCTGATGATGATGATGAGGATGATGGGGGTGATGGGATTGGGGCGGGCATGGTGGTGGTGGTGGGAGTGGGAGTGGTTGGTGGCATGGTTTGAGAGAGGTAGATAGGCCGTGTGAGTGTTATGAGGATGATGATGATGATGGAGATGAAGATGACAATGGGAATGAAGGCGAAGACGATAAAAAAGGAATAAATGTGATTGATTTCGTCCCAGTGAATTGTGCGTGTGCGTGTGATGCAAAAGGGTCTGATCTGTCTGTCAAGTACAGGTACCTCTGGACAATAAAGCTTGAAGAGTGATGTGATGAGAGCTCTGGAGGTAGAATTGGAGGGTACCGGATCTTGAAAGTTCGTACCGTACCATTCAAATCGTGCACGAATTTGGTAAGTCTATTGCTTTTTTTATATATGAATTACATACTATGTAGGAGGTACCATTGCTGCTTGAAGTCTATTGCTTGGGTATACAACATTCCATTTTGGTAAGTGCTTATGAGTGAGTGAGTGAGTGATAGATATTTGCTGTCTCCCCAAGATAGACTCCCCGGGTTTCCTTACAGACGAGTTTGATGATAGGTAGATTATATAGACAGAAAACTATAGTGATTTATCCCAACTCCATGCTCATCGACATAGACACTGTAATGAAGACTGGTATTAGCAAAGATGTGGTACCTTAGGTAGGTAGGAGTAGAAGAGATATTGGAAGCTCAGTAAATCTTCTTTGAAAATACCCAAAGTTCCTCAAACCAAAGAAGTCCTCACCTTTTCGAGATAATATATCTCTCATCCCTCGTCCCTCCCTCTCTCTCGGATTGATTCACATACCACAGCAACAACCCTCGAGCTCTGCAGATTCCGTACTTGCACACCACTCAAGGAAAGAATCAAGACCATCTCCACTTCACTCCTGCCAGACCAAAGTACGCAAATCAGACCTCGTCTAATTTCCCATCTGTCACTAACAACAGAGAGAGAAAAAGAAACCCTCCAGCTCTCCAATTTGATTAATACCACCATGACCTTCGCAATCGACACAATCCCCTCCCAGCAATCCACAACCATCGCGCGCGCCAAACCAGTCACGGAGCTCTCTCTCGTTCCCGAAGAATTTCCCTGCGTCGCAACCTCCATCATCTCCAAGGACAGCGGGGAATTCCTCTTCACGCTCAAATTCAGCGGTGAGGACTGTGCTGCCTGGGAAGGATACGTTTGCATTCCGGAAGAGAAGGTCTGTTCCTCGATTCGAGAGGCTTGGGAGGCACTCGAGGTGATTCAACTTTATTCTCCTGCTTCTTCGTCGTCAACAATGGTCTTGGATCAATTGTCCACGAATCCGTTTCCTGAAATCGCTATTGTGGAGGATATTGTTCGAGTGGCACAGTCATTGTCAGCAGCATCGAGACGTGATGAGACGATGTCATTTCAACGTGAACTGCGAATCGAATACGAGGGAGGGTGGTTTTATGGTTGCGTGTTTGTGCCGAGAGATGATGTGTCCACTCTCGAAGCCATTGCGCAAGCGAGAAAGGAGTTTGCGAATGATTTGGATCTCCAACGGGAGACGGTGACGGCTGTGCCGTCGGTGGAAGTGAAGGAGGAGGAAGCGGAAGAAGAGGAGAAGCGGGGAGAATTGAAGACGTTCTCTTTTAAAGACTATCCTCAAGTAGGTCAGCTGGCGAATGTCACGGCTGAGGATGTGCACGGGTTTGATTTGGATGATTTCGAGGTGTCGATTCTGGCTGTGCGTCATGAAGGCACTACTCGAGATGTGCGGTTTAGATGCTTGTTGCCGGGTAATCGGAAGTGCTGGTATGAGGGAAGCTTGACGGGAGATTTGAGGTTAGGGAGGTTCGTGGAGATCAAGGAGCCGTAGATGAATCGATATGTGTATTGTGAATTTGTTTTCCACCTAAAGACCGCTGGTCCAGACGGATCGAGTCACTGGCTGTCGCCGGTCTCTCCTACTCAAAACGCAGCTCGTAAGTGCCTGTCGGCTTCACTGGCTGCCCCATCGTCACGATCGCTCGCGGCACAGCAAGGTCCATCACGATGCTGAACAGTGTTGCAAACGTGGACTCTCCCACCTGCGAACGACAGATGGCAGCAGGGAAATCCTGTTGATCCTGCAGTATTCGAGCGATGCCATCAAGTGAAGGTGTCGTTATCTCATCACAGAGTGCTTCGATCCTGGACAGACGCGGCGGTGAGTCTTTGAGCCAGTGTATATCCTCCACTCCCGGATGGGGCAGCACGAAGTGGTTGGTGTGGAAGAGCTTGCTGCGTTCGCTCATTTTCACTTCTTGCACGTCAGTGGAACTCCACTCAAGCCCCGTGCTGCCCTCCGAGTCCGCGATGAGAAAATGGCATGCTGATGCGACACCGCATTCGCGAAGTCCATCGACTGCTTCTTCTCGACTGCGAATTTCGAGAACCTTGCGAAGACCGAGGTGACATGGAATTCGATTCATGTCTAGGCCGGGAATGCGGATTGCATTGAGACACACACCTACTCCGGCGGAATTGAGACCAATCTTCCCAATGATTCCAGCTTCTGTAACCATTTTGATTGTCGGCTTGTCTGGCTGGTTGATAGTCAACAGAAGAAGGTTGGAGCTTTGTTCCTCTTGCCAGTCCCAATTCTGGGCCAAGAAGCCGCTCTTTTCTGTGTGCCACGCCAAAGCAGTGCAGCCATCGCTGGCTGTTCGTGATGAATTCCACAAGCCGAACGTGATCTCGGTCCGTACGTTGAGAGCGATAATATCAACCGCGGGGACAGAGGCTCCAGTGGCAATCCCTAGTAAGTTGAATCAGCATCTCTACTCTCGGACTGCTACTAGACTAGCAACGGACCTCGTATTTCTTCGAGATATTGTGGCCATTTCGAGGCAAGAATTGGCTCAAACTGGCCAGCAACATCACGAATTTGCTGCCAATCTTTGCCAGTGCTCTGAAGAAAGAGCTTGGCATAGAAGGCGATACATCGAGTGATGGCCGCCGCTGCCGCCTCGCCGTGCTTGATGCCAATCTAATACTGTCAGCTAGAATTCTCCATGAGCTATACCACATGGGCTTTTAGGTCACATGCTTGGTGTGGCGTTCCAGTACACTGTATGGATAACATATCGGCGGTGTTGGCGTGAGAACTATCTGGATGCAGTGAAGTGTAGCGTCTAGCTGCCGCAGCTGCGAGGGCTTGCTTGTTTCTTCAGGTTCACCATACTGTATAGTTTGTATATCGGGCGTGCTTCTGCCTATCGATAGGATCCGGCGGCGAGGTCCTGCTATCTGCCATCGGCCGCGGCTGAGGAAGTGAGGAGAAGAGAAGGTAAACAGGGGAGAGGGTACCTCCTAGCTAGCGACCGGCCTTGGCGATATAAATCAGAGCAAAACCAGGAAAATAACATTACTACGGAGGTAGTGCTACTGCGGTACTACTACCTGAATTCCATTATACACACACTAGCCAAAGGACCTTACCTTAGGGTCTCTTGTTGCTCTAACGTCCTTTGCTTCTTCGCCCTACGGAGGTAGATCTGTTTGAATATACGGAGCTTGTACCTCTTACCTACTTACCTGCATCTAGGTACAGTTGACCGGATAGACAGGCACTCCTGTCAATCAATTTGATTATCGTAGAATTATAATCGACTAGTGATTTTAAACTGCTTGTTGTTCTACCGCGTCGGGTAACAGCTAGCTATAGGCATTGACCTGTAGGGGATTGATTGATTGATTGATACATTATTTATAAAGCCGCCTTAGAACACGAAGTGTTACGTAGCTCTACCCTAACAGTATACGCTAGACATAAGTTACGTAGACTTAGCCGTAGGCTATACGGAAAAGGCGGTTATTATGTTTTGGAGGTAGAATTCAAAGAGTACTCCTCCGAGAGGTAGTATTTAAAGAATACTCCTTTATAGGGTAGAATTTAGAGAATGCTCCTCCGATATTTGGCTAAACCCCTGTCCGCTATCGGCCTTCTCCGATAAAAAACTCCTCTCTTTATACTAAGAGTAGGAGAAAATCGAAGGCTCGATAGAATAAGGGCAGCGCTGGTTTCTCTATCCGTATCGTATCTTAACGACCTTGTAGGATGTAGGGGTATATTTCGTATATAGGGTCTCGCGCGTCTAGAAAGTAGTAGGCTATTAATCCTCCCTATACGCGCCGTATACCCCTTTTCCTAGCTCTTAAGAATACGTCTCTTTAAATCCCTTAGGCGATCTCAACTCGAGTGTATCTCAGAAGGGAGGAGGGCGTTTTAAGTAGTAGTATTAGGATATACGCCGTCCTAGACTCGGTAGCGTAGTTAATAGCGACGCCGATGCACCTTTACGAGCCGATGTTGAATCGCAGCTACCTCGTTGGCAAGGCATCCAGTTACGTCGAGATTCTAGGTAGGTTTATTATATATACGTATCTCTAGAGTCGTTAACTCTGTCTTAGACTAGGCGGCGGCGGCGGAGGGCGGAGGGCGAGGAGGGTGGAGGTCGCGTCGGCGGGAGGGGAGGGGGAGGGATCTGTCTCTAAGCAAAGAGAGAAGAAAAGGCAAAAGGCGTTTTCCGTGCAATGGTAGAACAAAGCTCGATGGCTGACTTGATGCAAATGCTCGTCGCGGTGGTGCACCGACAAATCCGGAAAAAATGTAACTGAGACTTCGCACCTGACCTGTAGGGGAGATATATGTTCCTTGTGAGTGGTAGAGTATCCGCTCACGATTCTTGTCACAGTAGCTTCCATCTGCTCTTGTATACAGCATCAACCTAGAGATAGCGGTCGATCTCCCGACTCGCCTAGCCAGCTCAAGACCTCTGGGAGTGCATGACGTAGACGTTGACTCCAAGATGGAGAGACTGCAGTGTGCTGGAAAAAAATACCAAGCTGGAATCGAAACTCTGACCATGTACCTCCTGCGTACTGGGTACGAAGGGCGTTTCACCTTCGCGACCTCTCTGCTTCAGTGTCAGTGACACGATCAGATCATGATCGAGCGTTTCCGAGACACTGGCTGTACCCCGGCGTAGCCTCGCGGCCAGAGATGACGCATGCGGCGAAATGAATACGAAAGTGGTGGTCGAGGTCGGGTGGAAATGGTGTAGGGCGAGAGCAGGAGCCAATCCGATTGTTCTCTAGGCGAGTGAGGGGAGAGGAGTGAGAGGAGGGAGGGGAGGGAGAGGAGGGAGAGGAGTGAGAGGAGTGCTCGAGTGGTTGTCGTGGTATGTGAAGAAGCCCGCAAAACGGATCGTGGACGGACTGGGGAGAGGGACGAGGTTGCGCGCTTGTTATTGGTTGAAAACGCGTGCTGGGGCGCGTCCGTGGCGGTGAACCATGTCATGTGTCACTTGGATATTTTGCAGCTGGTAACAGAGCAAAAAATGTTGCTATGACTGTGACCACCTCTTTTTCTCCCCACAACTTCCCTTGTTTGTCTTCTCACATCCCAATTCTACTCGTGCAACACCCACCCACATCACACCTCTCTCTCTCGTTTCCGCCAGCTCGAAACCATCACTCTCACCACCGACAGTACCCTCACCGCCGCCGACAATGGCCTTCGACGGTGCCAATGGCCCGGAGCTGGCCCTGCCACAGGCTCACCAGGACTTGATGCAAAAGTCTCTGGTCGACACTGATCCAGAGATCGCTTCCATGATGGAAGACGAAATCAAACGTCAACGCGAGTCCATCCTCCTCATCGCCTCCGAAAACGTCACCTCCCGCGCCGTCTTCGATGCCCTGGGTTCACCGATGAGCAACAAGTACAGCGAAGGATATCCAGGTGCCCGCTACTATGGCGGCAACGAACACATTGACCGCATTGAGCTCACCTGCCAGAAGCGAGCACTCGAGACCTTCCGTCTCGACCCCGAGAAGTGGGGCGTCAATGTGCAATGCTTGAGTGGCAGCCCAGCGAACTTGCAGGTATACCAGGCCATCATGCGTCCACACGAGCGCTTGATGGGTTTGGACTTGCCTCATGGCGGTCATCTGAGCCACGGATATCAGACTCCTACCCGCAAGATCTCGGCAGTGTCGACATACTTTGAGACGTTCCCATACCGCGTCAATCTCGACACTGGTCTGATTGACTACGACCGATTGGAGGAGAATGCTCTGATGTACAGACCCAAGGTGCTCGTGGCTGGTACTTCGGCGTACTGCCGCGAGATCGACTACAAGAGAATGAAGGAGATTGCAGACAAGGTCGGCGCGTACCTGATGATGGACATGGCACACATCTCTGGCCTGGTCGCTGCCGGAGTCAACAAGTCACCGTTCGAGTACGCGGACATCGTCACAACTACGACGCACAAGAGTTTGCGTGGCCCTCGTGGTGCCATGATCTTCTTCCGCAAGGGTGTGAGAAAGACTGAGATGAAGGCGGGCAAGGAGGTTCAGGTTCTCTACGATCTTGAGGGTCCGATCAACTTCTCCGTCTTCCCTGGTCACCAGGGTGGACCGCACAACCACACCATTACAGCGCTTGCTGTTGCCCTCAAGCAGGCTCAGACACCAGAGTTCTTGCAGTACCAGCAACAGACGATCAAGAACGCCAAGCAGCTCGAGAAGTCCTTCAAGGGCATGGGATACAAACTTGTGACCGATGGCACTGACAACCACATGGTGCTCGTCGACCTCAAGCCTCTCGGCCTCGATGGTGCCCGTCTCGAGGCTGTCCTCGACCAGGTGAATATTGCATGCAACAAGAACACTACTCCTGGTGACAAGTCTGCTCTGACACCTTGCGGTCTTCGCATCGGTGCTCCCGCCATGACGAGCAGAGGTATGGGCGAGGATGACTTTGATAGGATTGCGGGCTATATTAACGATTGTGTCCAAATTGCTCTCAAGGTGCAAAAGGAGCTGCCCCAGGAAGCCAACAAGCTGAAGGACTTTAAGGCCAAGGTCGCTGGCGGCGCCGCGAGCGTGCCTGAATTGGGCGAGCTCAAGGCAGAAATTGCCGAGTGGGCCGGCTCCTTTCCTCTGCCTGTGTAGAGGTTCGTTGCATGCATGCTGTGGTGGACCGACGGGACGCCGCAGGATCGACTGCTGTGCATTTTCAAGGGGGCGTTCTATGGAGGAATGAACAAAAGTGACCTTCAACACAACGGAAGCGATGGTGTTTGGGGGGAATGACTTTGTTTGCGGCGCATTCAACCTTGCTGCTATGGGAGAGGCAAGCTACATGTACCCCAAGGGGTACCTATGTAGCGGGAGAAAGTCGGGAGAAACGACAAGCAGGGCCATGCTACATGTATGTACTGTAACTCAGTCTGTAGCTGCTCTGCTCTCAATGGTATCGAACTATTGATGGCCTCGAGGGACCAACGAAGTTTCACATATATGAGTTCTTCGTAATAGCTGGCTGGGCTGCATTATGATCCTGATTATTGAACGTTCCCCTTGTTTCGTTGTGAGCCAAGAGGAAGTGTGAAACCAGCGAAACCATCAGTGACGTAGAGGTACAGGTATGTTTATTTGTCCCTCCCCTCAGGCCCCCCGCCCTCCTTGGAGAATTAATGTGCGAACGAACGTGTCAGACGCGTGCATTCCATTCATTCACTCACTTTCCACAGCAGTACCTTAGTATTCCTCAGCAGTAGCAAACCAACATCCGCCCCCTATTATCGACTGAAAGTACACTGCAGTACGCAGCGACCCCGACGTGACTGCGACGAGCAATACCTGTAGCAACAACTTCGCAACGGCAACGCAACGGCAACAGCGACAGCGACAGTACGAGCAACAGCAACAGCAAGGTTCGCGCATCGGCGAAAATACATCAACACATAACCCGAGCCTCAAATTTCTCACCATCACTCCAATTCTCCTTTCTCTCTGCCATCATTCTCACGGCACATCACCTCACCTTACCACTTCACCACCTCCAACTACTACACCACCACCGCCGCCATGTCGAGCGGTCCCACTCTCATGAATCTCCCTCCGCCGCCGAGCGATCCTCAGACGCCCAGTGAAGTCCCGTGAGTCTACGTTCTGCTACTCGCCGTCGCATTGCGTGAGCTGACCATAGATGCTAGATCGCGCAGCGGCACTCCCAACTCCACCATGACCTCCATGAGCGAGCTCTCCACCGTCGCCATCAAAGACGGCCATCGCGGCCACCCGCCCCACCAGCAGCACCACCAAGGTCCTTCCGGTCTCTCCAACCAACTCGACGCCGAACGCGCAGATCGCATCTCTCGTCTCGCAGGTCTCGAGCGTGTGACCACAGCTCGCAACCCTCCGACCCCAAACAGCGCCGGCAACCTCACGCCCGGAGGTTACCAACCACAAGCGCACCCGACCGTCAGCTATTTCGACGCGACAGGAAACCCTACGATGGGCCGCGAACGTAGTACCGTCGGCAGCGCCTCCGCGACAGGTTCTGTAGGCGCACGCACGACATGGGCAGGCAGCGACGCAGGTATGGGAGACTTTGACAAAATGTCGGAGAGTCAAGATATGGACATGGATGCCTCATCCGTCGGAGGCATGAGTGATGCAGACAGAGACACGGGCTCACTCGTGGCTTTTGGCGAGGGAGCTCGAACTCCCGCGAGACAGAGCACAGCCGGGTCGGCGTTTCCACCACCGACTAGTCTGCCCAGCAGCAGAGGTGGACCGGCCTCGACCCCGACGGGCATTCCGAGTAGGTTCATTGATGGGATGACCTACGATGAGGGCGTGGTAGACACGACTTCGAACAGAGATGGTCGTAGTGGTGGACAACAAGAGGCGGAGCGTATCATGAGGGAGAATATGGATACGACTTCGGACGATCGCATGGGAACTTCCGGGTCGAATATGGGCAAGCAGCAGGGACCAGGGGACCTGGGCAAGTTCGGGTTCGAAAAGTAAAGCGTGGCAGGCGTGGTGGGCAGTCATGGCGAGAAGAAGAAGAAGAAGAAGAAGAAGAAGAAGACGATGGACGGGCTAGCACAAGGGCGGCGAGTCGCCAAAGAGTGCACGAGGGGCGGCGTTTTGGTGGTGGAAATCACTTGCTTGGGATGGGCAATGTGCAAATATGTCACTCACTACTTTCATCAAGAACGAGTTCGCCGACCGAATTCTTGCAGAGCAGGCATGCATGGAGAGAAGAAGATGATGATGATGAATGGGGAAATGTGATACCACACAGGCTGATAGCTCGTGCAATAGAAAGCGTTCCATATCACCACCTCCATCAAGCTACAAGTAGGTTTGTTTGCAGCAAAAGATGCAACAATGCAATGCATGCTTCAGTCATTCAGGGCGGGCCGGCCATTGCGGACCCTCACTCCTTGGTCGCGTGTTCTCGTGAATTCATGCCTCTTCTCGCTCTCATCGCACCACTACATGTACCTGTAGGTACTGTACTCGCACCATACCCATCGCGATCTAAAGACTTTCTCTTATCGTCACCCCGCCACCCATCATCACTCCTCCCCCGGCCGCCTTTCTACGACTTCCGTTTCCGCAAATCCACCACTTCAAACTGTAAGCCAGGCCCCTCGACGACATGTCCCGGCCGCAACGCATCCGTGTACAGCCTCTCCTCGTCATGCACATGAAACACGCCCGGCTTGGTGCACTCTAGCACATGCGGTAGACCCGGGGGATCGGTCAAGCGGAAAATTCCCCAATCCGGATTGTGTCGAGGAGAGCACACGATGGCGATGGCTTCGGGTAACATGACCTGATATCCCGAGCTGGTGTGCAAGTCGCGAGAGGAAAGAAAGCAGCTCTGGGATGGGTGGGTATGGATCCAACCCATGACGAGCAGGTTCTGGGAGTCGCAGTAGGCAAACAGGTCGAGTTCACCTTGCTCGGTCGTGTCGCAGGTTTCCGACGAGGAGACTTGGTCGGGGATGATCAGGTGGCTGATGAACAGAGCATTGCTGATGAGAGTTCCGGATAGAATCCCGCAGGTTTCCAGGTTTCGAGATGTGTTGGGATGAGCCAAGTTGAGGAAACTGGTGCGGAGCTCGGGGGGTAAGAGGACGGTTCGGAGAGGTGCTCCGGCTTCTGTGAAAGCTGTAGGTTTAAACGTGTATTTTGCGTGCGCCATGGGTCCTTGGCCGGGGGAAGGTGAGCCAGCACTGGCCGAGTACACCTCAGGTCGGGGAGGCCGAGGTGGTGGACTTGCATGCGTAGGAAGCTCGATGCGATAGGGTTCGTAGAGCGATTCCTTTGCTGGGAGGGCAGGAGGCATGCTGGCGCGAGATTGTACTGTTTGTGAATGCCCGGGTGGCAGATTCCAATCCGTACGTGCTTCATTTCGCGGCACAGGTGGATAATAGTAGGACGAGGAAGATTTCGATGGCCTCGAAGCTGTGCCATTCCGCGTCGTTAATGACTGTCTTTGTAATTGGTTGCCAACCTCTCGAACACCATCATCGGCCATCCAGGGGTCTTCCACGTTTCCGGAGTCGGGCGCTACCAGACCTCTCCGTCGCTCGGCCACAGTCGCAGCAGGTATCCCAGCCTGGGAGGTTGACTTTCGAGTAGCACCACGCCGCCTCAACTCGCGCTGAGCCAGATTGACGGCGAATTCCCTGTTTTCCACAGCATTGAGAGTGCTCACAGGACTCGGTGGTCTGCTGGAAACTCGTCTGCCTGCAGCATCAAACTCATGCTGCACACGTTGCCTCTCGCTCTGCCGTTTCTCCATAGCCTTGACATATCGCTGGTAGTCCTGGTTGATTCGTGGTTTCCATTCCTCCAACTTGATCAGGTTCCGTTGGAGTGTCTTCTGCGCCTGCGCCAAGTCGGCCTTGAAGCGAGGATCTTTGTAGTCCGCGTGCTGAGGCAACTTACTCAGGATGAGATCAGCGTGTCGATATAGATATAGATATGCAGTGGCCAGGTTGCCTTCTTGCTCGCATATGGCGGCTTCCGTGAGCAGCATCTTTGCCGCTCGAAGCCACTGTTGCAGCGGCCGGTTGGGATTGAATTCGAATTCCTGGGCTTCCTGGACGAGATCCTCGACGCTTCGTGGGCTAGAGAGAGCGGCATGGTGGCGTGACAGCGCCATTTGGGAGGTTGAGGGTAGCTTTGGCTGTTTGCTGCCGGGTCGCTGGGTGAGACGGGGAAGTCCAGTTGGGTTGTTTGGTGTTGTTGAATCTTGGCAGGCTGTATACAGCAAGCAGTCCACGTCAGGTATGTGCGTTACCTAGCCTAGCACCATACAGGTAGCCATTCGTGTTTGGAAGTGGCTTGGCGGCACAGCAGGCTGACCAGGTAGAAGTACGGTACCTTGAGGTAGGTGAAGGTAAAGAAGGTTTGGAGGTAGTGACTACAGGTAGTGAGTAGTGAGTAGTGAGTGAAGAAGAAGACAGCCTCGGCCCGCCGCCGGGGTGTTCCCGCCCAGAAGTGCAGTCCAGTGCAGTGGCCTTCCACTTTGATTTGCGTGTGAGTGTGTGAGTGAGAGAGTGTGACTATCAGGTCAAGAACGGTCCAGGGTATTGGAGTGAGAGTGAGCAAGTACAGGACTAGGAGGTACAACTACAGGGAACTGACCGGTGATCGGTGATACGTTGTTCCTGTCTATGCGGTATTAATTCTGCACTGCCTGAGGCCTCTATGCCAAGAAGTACAACAATACCACCTTTGCATCCCATCCACACTGCACTGGCATCACTTCAGACCGCTTCGGGCCCCTCCGTCCATGAGTACAGCCAGGAGGATATTGTCCTTTTCAAAGCCGACCGACCCGGCCTTGCGTATAGTTTTCACTCCCAGACCAACTAGGCCCAGAGGAAAGTATCGAGTGACTGCCCCCCAGTATGGAGTATCCGGCACGCAGTCCATTGCCGGCCTCTGCATCGCAGGAATATCGGTGCAACACAAGCTGCCTCGGGCAAGATTCATTGTGAAGCCGACAAAAAAGGCTATAGAGCAGAGGGCTTTAAAGGGAAAAAAGGGGGCAAAGGAAAAAAATAGGCCAAAGAAAAGAGGACCAAAAGAAAAAGGCAGACCAAAAGGAAAAAATGTCAAAGCACGGAAGCCAACCAGAATCAAGATGAAAGATGGTTCGGTAAGGCCACCAGAAGTGGTGGGCGAAAGGCTGATGGGTATGGAGATTTGCTAGTCTCTAAGAAACATTTTGCTAACTCCGAGATAGATGATATATTGGAGTACCTTGCTCCGACCTTGGAAAGGTATAAAGGATGCGCCATATTCGACCTGTGCCCTGGCACGTGCTTATGGTCGCGCAAAGTCCATGACTTTCTCAAGCCAACAACGCATCTCCTAGTGGAGCCCGACGCCCAGTTTCACGAACATGTTCATGAGCTGGTGAGCCAACCAGGTTCTTCTTACAAGCACATTGCTCCGCCTCGGGGAGTGTTACCATACTGTTTTGACCAGTTCCATCACGTCTTCGATGAGGGCGGACCGATTCCCCGACCACGCCTAGCGTCGAATGATCCAGGTCTACTGGAAACAGATTACTCTCTTCTGGTGATTGGCAGTCTCAATCGACGCGACACCTTCCACATGAATGGGGGAAAGACGAGAAGCGGGTCCCTGTGGGCTACTGATATGATGTGCTGGAGCGCACTCGAAAACAAGCACATGCATCGTCGCGGCCCAGTGCGGATGCTATTGTGGGCCCCAGAGCAGGACCGGCTGGTCTATCTCCCCGAATGGATCATCAAACGGACTGAAAAAGAGGCCACAATCAGTCTTGCGATGAATGTCCAGGCAGTGGCTGAAGTGGGTAGTGTGAAGAAGAAGAGGGCCAACAGTTACGAATGGAACAGTCCCGCCCGATGGAGCGGCTTCGACCTGGCCAGCGAGGAGCGCGTGTCGCGTCGAATGAGCCAAATCAACATGCGTGTACCCGAGGGCCGTTCTATTCGCCATATGTCTCGCACCGATGTTGACAGGCAGATGCCCAAGGGTAAATCGCCCTACGAAGTCTGCTACGAGAGCGTAGAAGAGGTCGAAAGCGCGCTGGCGGACTTGGTACAGCATTGGAATGAGCACAAGTCGAGATACACGGGTGTTGGTGCGTCAGGCCTGGCAAAAGGAGTGTCGAGGAGAGATGCCACGCTGGAGGAACTCTATTCACTAGTGACATTTTCCGATCTGGTAGATGCCATGCACGAAAATCCGTGTAAACTGAGCAGATCGGCTATCAGGAAGGAAGAAGCTCTCAAGGAGGAGATGGATGATGAGGCGGAGGCACCAAAAGGAGCAGTGCCCGTCAAAAGCGCGCAAAAGACTCACATGAGGGGAATAGATGCAAGAATCACTCTGCGCGCCGACGCTGCTCTGCGCGCCTTCAATCTGGAGGTGCATTGCAAGATTCTGGAAGAACAAGGCCATGATATTTCCTCGCTAACGCAGCGCATCACTCAATTCCACGACGAACTAATCGAAACCACCTCCTACGGCCTCGAAGACTGGGAACGACTAGTCGAAGACTGGATGTCATTCTACGCTCCCACCCCCCTCTTAGCCATCGACAAACGCCAATACGAGCCCCTCAAAGCCAATCCAGAAGACTTCTGGCCCGCCCAAAACCTCGACCTTCTCGATTTCACACCTACCAACTGCGACCTCACCGTCCCGGGCCTAGCCAACCAAATCAAAGCAGCAGGCGCATGCCGCGATCTCCTCAACTATCTCTTCCTCTTCCGCAAACAGAGTATTACATTAGCACTCGAAAAACTCGCGCCGAATGCTGCTAGTGATTTAATTTGTCAAGTACCTGCTATGACGGATCCGAGACGAGGTGGAAGATTAGATCCGAAATTTCTCAAAGTTCGTCAGTTGACTTCGGAAATGCTGCAGGGGTTGACTAAGGCGTGGTTTGAGTGGCCTTTTAAACCTGAGGGGTGGGAATTTTTGGGGATTGCGAGGGGTGGGGATTATAGTGGTGGTGGGGGTTCGGATGATGATAATGCTGCTGCTGCTGTGCCTGGTGTGGTTGACGACAGTGGATGAGAGTGGATGAGAATCTTTAAGACTAGGTAGGTGGTGTTTTTGTATTTGTACTTTTGGTTATAGACCTGTACTATATGTAATCATACATTATGTATCATTGAAATCGTCATTCTTCACAGAGACGTGTATAGATAGGTGCGTGTTCATTCTGGGAAATGTGTATATGTACCGAAACTAGTGCCTCTCGTGGCTATTTCCCGCGAGTCATGTATACCTAGCTCACAGTGGAGGTAGTAGGTAGGTACATGTATTCTATAGTCCCTAATGTATTCATGCCACTCTTCTCTTGGCTGCATCAACCACACACACCATGCAACAACAATACCTCTAATCTTTCTTAAAGAAAAAGAAACATCTCAACTAATAGCCCTCAACGTCAACTCGACAGTCGCAAACGTCCCGGCCGAAACAGGCATAGCACGCAACAAAGTCGGAGCAATCCCCTTCCAAAACCCCCTCGCACCCTCCCTGATCCAAGTCTGCGCAAAAGCACTCCTCATACTCTTAAACTTCCTCTCCTTCCCAAACCCATCAGTTTGCATTTTCGATTTAATCACATCAAACGGATACGAAGCAATCCACAACATTTCGCCCGCCAACCCTCCATACAGCGCCACCTTCCATGTAGGAATTTCTTTCCTTATCACAGAATTGCGTCGGCAGTCCGAGGCCATGAGATATTCAAAGGAGAGAAACCAGGCGCCGTAGGCCGAGGCTTCGCGGAGGAGAGTGACGGATGTGCCGCGGTAGATTCCTGGGAGGCCGAGTTTGCGGATGACGTCGAGAGGGCCGTTGTAGAGTTTGGAGGGGCCGTGGGGTTGGGTTTGCAGGCGGATACGGATGTGTTCGATGGGAGTGGAGAGGGCGGTGTTGGCGAGGCCGGCGAAGGCTCCTGCTGCGTAGTATTGGGAATAAGTCAGGGGTTGCTGTTGTTGGAGAAGGGCTTTGCTGAGTGTGTTGTTGTTTTTGTTGTTGTTGTGGGCTTCGAATGCTCGTTTGGCGTAGTTGAATGCGCCAAATTGGACGGAGACGCAGGCGCCTATGCCGATCAAGGGGGTGAGAGTGCCTTTGTAGAAGGCGGGGGCGCCTTCATTCTTCAAGATTCGAGACGCGCAGTCGAGGGCACTCTTGTATTCGGATGTCGTCTGTAATCGCACTTTGACAATGTCTGGTTGGGGTTAGATGTTTGGGGGAAGAAGCTATTGGTGAATGATTAGCTTACCGAATGGTTGTCCTGTGATTGCTGATTAGTATGTGTTTGATATATCCAGCAGCGCAGTGTTATTTGAATAGTTCTGTTCAGTCACATCTTACCAATCAGGACTTGAGCAATGCCTCCAACTGCGCCAGAAAAGAGATCCTTGGCCAGACTCGCACCTCCGCCAGTCTCGCCGGCTTCTTCCAACACATCTGCCATGGTGAGGTTGTTGTTGGTGGCGGTGGTGTTGATGGTGTTGTTGTTGAGAAAAGAAAAAGAAAGAGCAATGACTTGGACGTGACTTGGCCGAAGTGAAGTGTCAAATTGCGCCATCGCATTTTCCCATTTTCCAAGTCTGTGGCTGCGCGTGGCTGTGCGTGGCTGATGGAACCAACAAAGCTTTTGGACAAGCTCGTCGAGGTTTCTGCAGGGAATGAGAATTGACTTTTTCTCTTTTCCATCATCACTCGCCCCCAATCTCTTCTTTTTCTGAATCTCACTCTCACTCCCCCTCTCTCCCTTCCCCCCAAAAATCAAGACATCACCATCATCATGAACAACAACAACATGAACACCGGTAACCCAGCTGGCGGCAAAGAAGACTATCTCGACAAAGGTCCGACTTCTGTCCCTTTTCTTCCCCTTTAACATCCATCATGCGACGGGCGACGGGCAAATTGAACAGAATCCAACAAAAACAAACGAAATGGCATACTAATCCAAATATCCGTGTCCACTATACAGCCGTCGATGCCGTCGAAAAGAAACTCGGAGGCATGAGTGGCAAAAACGTCGATCCACAAAAATACCGCGCCCAAAATGAGAAACTCACCGATAAGATAAGAGGTTTTCTCGAGAAGGCTACTGGCAAGAAGGTATGTGTGTATTAAAGAAGAAAAAAAGCTGCGAATGGATGAACAAGGACTGGGGACTGACAATTTTTTGTTGTTGATTAGATGCCTTCGAAGTTTTCCAATTGATTTCAATGCGAATTGTTGGTGATTACCTATCTTATCACAATTTGTACGACGAAATGTTATGAGGATGGGTTGTTTTGTTGTTGTTTTATGATTGTTTTCTGTTGGAGTATCGAATACCAAGTATCAAATATCAAGTGTATTGGAAGGGATGGATAATGATAAAAGACTTGGAGAAAAAAGACGAGATCTGTCTCTCTCTCTCTCTCTCTCTCTCTCTCTCTCTCTCTCTCTCTCTCTCTCTCTCTC